AACATATTTATACGTCTACTTCGGACGAATTTTGGGGATGCTTGGTATTCTTTAATTTGAAATGATGAATCATTGACTACCATGTCATTTGGATTTAGTTCGACATATTTTTGTATAGAGAACTTGTCTAGATGCCAACACTTCATCTGATTATACGAGAGCACGTTAAGTCCTCAAACAGGAGTAGAGAAAAAATATTCCAGCTGTTCAAAAGTCTTTGAAATCAGGGAGCGAACTCTTGAAGCCCTCGATTCACTTAGACCGCTCGGGTGTGTTACCCCTATGTTGTTTCATCCCACACCTTTATCCATCTGGTCTCTAGGGAGGGGGGGGGGCGATTTCCTTCCATTAATGAGGCTCCCCTGTGTTGCCCTCCCCGGCTTATTCCATACTCCCGGTGGAGCCCCCCGCCAGGATCTTCGCTAGCCCGGTGCCAGATCGCTGTCAGTTCCGCACATGGGATTCCATCTGGGCCCTATATTTCCGTGCTCTCACTGGTCCAGCGATCTAGCCAGTGCTAGTTCAGCGCCTGAGCCTATACACGGGCCGTCGTCTGAATCCAGAATTCCACTTTTCAGAGCCCGTACTCAACACTAGTGCTCTCACTAGTCCAGCACCAGAGCCCGCTTTGCCCTCCTAGCCCAAGCCTGAAGATTGGGTGAGGATGCTCCCCATTTCATGTGTCCGTGGTTATTCCCTGAACAACTCTATTCCGTCGCAAGTCAGTATATTCTGCTCAGGGGGGTGTTCCTTAGCTGCTCAGGCTCCAAATATGAAGAACCTAGGTATTTTATTCTCTGGCCAGCCATTGCGGGACATTTGCAAAGAATGTGGGATGAGGTCTCTTCATCTTCCTCGTATAGTCAACACATTGAGCCCTCAACCACACCGATATGAGGGTCATGTGTCTCCTGAGTCTACAAACAGTGGCCGGTTCAAACTCCTACCAGCATAGATCATTCCCTACTAGGGGGATTCTTTATGGACACAGTATACTTATATCTCTCATCTCTTCAACTAAAACATTTTTCTGTCCCATGTTATATCGTAGATTTTGCACATTTTCAACTACGCGACCTTGCTATCATCTCGCATTTTATAATCAGCGGAAGGATGGCTTGCCGGCTCCTTCAATATTTTTGGGTGTAATCTTCGTGTGACCTCTTACAAAATGCTTGTATGAGAATTCATGAGGTATTCTGACTCGGGTTCATCCGCAAATTACCATCTTGAAATGACACAAAATAACAATTGACAGTATATACAATTGTAACAAACTTTCAAATGAGGGAGTTGATAGATAATCAATAGAATAACCATGCTGGAAGCGATTAAACTGTTGTTTGTTTTTCGATTATCAGCTTATTAAAAGCTCTGGAAGAATCCTATAATGAAAAATATGGTAGAATCTTCTTGATGGTATTCTGATATAGAAGATAATTCAATCTGAATGTTCAGAGGAAGGTTTCTGTCAGATCGTCAACAATATCAATAACAAAAGCACTGTATATGTACATACATTTTTACTAGTGAAGATCTATGCTAGTGATAAATTGCGTTCTACAAGAAGGGGTTATTTGAGAAGGACTACAGCACAGGCAAGTTCAAAGATATGCTTGAGTTTTAGTTCTGTATTGGATCGAAAGCTGCTTCAAGAGGTGAACTACTTCATGGTAATAACGGAAAATCTTAGCTTTCGTGACAATGCTTAGGCGAGACTATTATAGATACTTAGTTATATTAATGTAAATAAAGTCTTATCATGTGGGTAGATAAAGTGCTTCAATCCTTGATGATATTTCTCGCGGGATTTGTATTTTGGATCCTCTTCAATATTCACCTACCGAGCCAATAATATACGGCTATACGTAACTGTATTTTCTTCGCTATATCATGCGATATAGCAACTTGAAGCTCTATTACGCTCGTCAGCTTCAGCCATTTTGACATCTTGATCTTCGTGAAGCTCATTCTACAATTTCTACATCAGTCTTGTCATGGTTAACCGCAGACGAAAGAAGTTCCTTCAGGGGACGGGGACGCTGATGCAACTTGAGCATACGAATGTATGTACCTGCACGCCCCTGCGCAGGATCCTCTGGGTTGACCTAATACGGCGTGAATTCATAAACGTGGGGGTGTCTTCCCCCTTTCGCACATTAATCTTGATTAAGTTTTTATTGTGTGAGGGTCATAAACTGTTTCTAACGAGGCGGGAGTGGATTTTTGAATTGAAAAACTCGCACACTATTAAAAAGTTGTGAACCAGAATCTAGTTGATTACCTACTAAAAGAGCAATCGGCGATTTTTGAAACTATTTGATACTATTTCTGCTACTACCCCAACGCCGGTGAGCATCCAACAAGTAACTGGGAATTTCGGACCAACACTAACAGCAAACGATCACTTGCGTCTAGGGGTAAATTTCTCTTCTTCTTTTTCTTCTCCGTTAACAGAGCCTAAGAACTACTCAACCTTGGAAAAACAGAGTTGAAGCTCATCACAGAGGATACTGCTTTTTGAAGTATCACTTGAATAACGATTGAATAAGACTTTTACATATGGTTGAACACAACTAAATCTGAAGTATTTTGAGAACCACCTCCTTCACAAAATTTCGAACTATAGATAATCACGATGGTCCCCGAATATATTTGGGATTTCTTTTCGGGCAATCCAAGAGTTTAAGTCCGAAAATATGAAATTTGTTCCACTGTGAAGTTCATTCAACGAATTGATAGATCAGTAAAGTAGGTACAAATCTTCAAACTGGAACTGGAATATTCCAATTCGGTCGATCAAAATCAGCAATATCTACGTGAATCCGGATACCGAACCAGAACATTCCACCCGCACAGGATTCTCAATCCAAATCCTTAATTGGAATGTTTTCTGAACCATCAGAGCCAGTGATATTGCACACACAAAAATAAATGGATTTGGAGTTGGTCAAAATCCTTTATGGACACCACAAAGGACCATTTCCTTCATGGTAGTGTGGGAATCCCTACATGTAGATGTACCCACTGAACACTCCACCTCCTTTCAAGGCTCGCCTTACCGCTGTATCTGATGACACTTAGGCCTGTTGGCTGTACCATTGTACCTCGAATATGCCGTTATTGATTTTATCATATACGACCCATGGTTCTACTACAAATGCCGCCACAGTAACTGTTAGCAGTAACTCTTCCGAGCCCTGGTCTCCTCTATGGAGGTCAAAAGTTCACCTTCTCCTACAAATAATGAGAAAACGGGTTGATCCAGCCCTGTGGTGCACGGAGCTGAGGCTGTTTACTCTGAGATGTCGCCCTGTTTCCGAGAAGTCCCGTTATCGACACCACATAACCTAGATGCCCACAACTTGGATTAGGTTGCCAGAGCCTCGTTATCAATCTGCGGCCACATAAGCAATGTTCACAAATTGCCCCATCCTTGCACTCATCAGATCTCCACAAAACTGTCCCATCTGAGTGATAAGAGCAAAGATGTTCCCAAAATGCTCAATCAGCCGAGCAGCGGCGGCTTGTCCTCCCCAAAAGGGGCCGATAGAAAAAGTTGATAACTGAAGACTGAAGAGGATACCACCGAAGACAAAGTTGAAGATTAACGAGTATCCGACTAGGGTACCTCGGGATTGACATTCCCGTACTAACAAGTTGTGAGCCCCTGAGGGGAAATAAATGGATGCGTCAAGTAGGTAATATATTCATAAATGAAAAGATCGTTTGAAACTATGTTTGAGCCTGATTGAAGTTGTGAAATCAACAAGAAAGGGTATCAACTAGGTACTGCAATAATATAGACACCAAACCTTTTTTTTCAGTTCAATTACAATATTCAAGATAAAACGTACATTTATAAATTGGTTTCCGGAACACTGTCACAATGGTATAAATTTCGTTAGAGGTACGATGAAAGTGATGTGGTCCGCTAGCTATAGGAAGTTTAGATACAGACACACACCACAATCACACACAGAGATAACTGAATTGGCAGTCTGCCAAGCATAGGAAGGCGCCGAAACATCATTCAATGGGGGGAAAACCCTGTTTCTGTAACAATCACACAATATTATTTCCATTGAATCTGCAATGATGACTCCATTTCCATAAACAAACAATATAAAATGATAATAGGTTTCAAATCGTTTAGGCCCGCTTCTAAATTTCCTTATGCGCAGTTGGGCTTCGATAATTCAGAATAGATCTAATATGATATTGACACGGATGTTTCAATGCGAATTTATAAGAACTAGAAAAAACTAAGAACCAACAATTTAATGAAGGATGACTTACCTATATAATGATGTGGTTCAAGGTCCGCATATTCAGCTGCTCCTTATTCAACATGACCTGATGTAGGATTGTAGGAACCAATCACTATCATGAATATCAATGACTGGGTACATATACGTATAGATTTTGCTTGATATAGCAAGGAATGATAATATACATTCATACATACATATACATTCCTGAAAAATTTCAATACGACCAAAATTCATAGAGATGATGTACTTTGCCACTTTATGAACAGAAATTGCAGGCGAACTGTGATCTAGTCTTGATAATTGGAACATACTGTTAATAACTGCTGCTCTTATATCATTATAAATTATAAAGAGGACTCATCTAGGTACTAAGTAGTAATTTCGACGAAACTAGAACACACGTATCTTAATTATCTCATTATACTATAAAATGCACTTTGAAGAAGCTAATACACCTATCTTTAGCGAAACAATTGTCGTGCAAGTTCTGAGATTTGTGAAATTAAGTTTTTCTCCATGTTAGAGAATATTTCCCACACGAAATAGGGTAGTTACACTAAAAAACAACGCCACTAGCTTCCATCAAATCAGGGTAACAATGAGTTTTCAAGCTGAGAGGATTTAACGATTTGTAGAACAGAACACTAGACTCTATTTAATATTCTCTACTTATGCCTTGATTACATTCGCATGAACTCGGAAGTGATTATTTTTTTTTATTCTCAGGACGATGTGATGAAAATACGCCATGCGAACAGCTGTGCTACGAACTTCATGATGGAATGTACGAATGCGATTGTCGGGAAGGTTATATACTCAGAGAAGATGGCTACAGTTGTTACGGTAAGAAAACATGTTCTAGTCATCTCATAAAATATTGAGAAATTCAGTTAACAATCTACGATTCGCTGTTGCGTTCCAATTAACAGTGCTGCTCCTAAAGTGGCGCATGGAGTTAGTAACAAAGCCTACACAGAACACGCAGAAAGATATGATGATGTGGTTGTGAGCATCAGAGAAGAAGTAGGACGGTGTATGTAGGTGGGTGTGGAAAACTACCAGCTGAGCGTGAGAGCGGGCCAGCTGCTTAAGTAGACCTCGGTCTCGGGGGTTAACGATGATAGTTAGCAGGCCTGCCACTGCGCATATGGTAGTGAGTACATTACTAGCCTACAAAACACAGCTGAAAAACTCTGAAAAAGAGAGCTGATGGGCGGTGCCTGAAAAGGATGTTAGCCAGCTCTATTGAGCGAACCACATCAGTCATTGAAAACACTTGGGGTTTGCAAAAAGGTCCCATTGGGGACTAGTTGCTGCCGTGGAAACGTCCCCCACCAGTACCAGTACCAGTAACAATCTACAAATGAAGAAACAATTGTCGAGTAGTTAGACGACATCTTGTTTTAATGCATTGGAAATCCTATATACCAGCAATTTTTATATCTATATAATCATAATGTAATATTCCATTTTGAGTTACCATGGACTTCAAGCAGACATGTTTTGAATGTTTATTCCAACTTGCCTAGGTACAAAGTACAATAATACTATGTCATATCATCAGGTCGTCTGTTATATCAAAAATTGGAGGGCAGAACAAGCAAAATCTACAAACTTTATCCGAATATCATTAACGAACAAACGATAAACAAACTACATGTGAAATTTGAACTTTATTTCTCAGCTTCTGTTGAATTTCTTGATCAAAACATAACTTCATGCCTTGCCTAGGGCTATACCTGCTCAGACATATCAAATACCTACTCTTCGACAGTGACATGAAGCGACATAGCTCTTTGAAGAACTCCAATTACAAATGTTATTTTTTGGTTGAATCAACATCAGTTGCCCTTCAACATATTTGACGAACATTACACGCTAGAGTGTGCAAAACTTTGTGAAGACTATTGAGGAAGTTAAATTAACTGCAGATCAAAGAAAGTTCCAACGCTTACTATACGAGCAACTCCATTCATCATTCGACTGAATAGGAAGTACATTTATGGAATGTATCCCATTGTGGAATATTCACTATCATTTTCTTCTAGAAATCAATTCAACAGCATCACCTCCGTCCTTGGAAGACTTGAACTTACACGGCATAAAAGATATCCTGTACCAAAAAGACGCAGTAATGGACGTCTTAGAGTTCACCATATCCAACAGTACGGATAGTACAGACACTAACGAAATTCCTCAACACCCAGTCAACTTGACTATGCCCTTATCGAATAAGCTGGTCTATACCACCCAATCTCCGAGATTAGACCAGAAACTGACATCGGACGGTTCGGTGGTGTGGAATGTGACCAAATCTCTTTCGACGATGAAGCCATGTCAGCTGGACTGCGGTCCAGGTGGAGGGTGCAGTCTGGACAATGTCGAAGAAACGCCTATGTGTCTTTGTCCGTTGGGTAGAGGTGGAGACAAGTGTGATATTGGTAAGTGCAGTCTTAATACATATGTTAAACACACTACACTGTTTTACCACTAACCAAACCGATTTTTTTAACGCCTCGACACGTGTTTCGCTAACTATGTTAGCACCTTCAGGAGAAGATTAAAACTAAATAGTTTTAATCTTCTCCTGAAGGTGCTAACATAGTTAGCGAAACACGTGTCGAGGCGTTAAAAAAATCGGTTTGGTTAGTGGTAAAACAGTGTAGTGTATTATCGTGCCAAAGGTTCCAGTCTTCGATATATATGTTAAACAGTTTCTATAAGTCGCGTGTTCGATAACCGACCCTGGAGGTGAAATATTGAAACACAATCTCACTTTCCTGTAAAACATTGAAACATAACCTCACTTTTTTCATCTGTTTACGGATAAATCAAAGGATTGGAATAGTTTTTCACAATATTGTGGCATAAAAATCGTGTTTTTTAATGACATCTAGTTTCTGATACAGAGCCAGATTTAGTAAGTTAGAAACTGGATATCATTCTATTAATGTATATCCCTAAATAAATGATACCCGCATCCATTATATCTCCACATTATTTCGAAAGTAACTAATCACTATACCTTGCCTAGCAGTAACTGGCTCACTCCTTGGATCTCTTGCCAAATACAGAGGCAACAACAACATTCTAGTGTATTTTTGAAGAACGGTTCAAAATCCATATTTTTTATCAGAAGAAAAACAAATATTCAGGAATAACAACCCGAAATATCTTGATTAATTTTTGATTGGCGTGAATTTGAGAAGGCACTTTTGGATGCGCTCTCCTTATTCTATTTATGATCATTTATCAGCACTTCTCAAGTTGGAAGTTGGCCATCTTCTTAAATCTTGAATGTAAAATCATAAGTCTCAAATGGTTTTATAACATAACCAATGATATTTCCATGTTCCATCTATCATAAGTGATAAGCCTCAAATGTTAGCTGACAAATCTTAAGTCTTAAGTTAAGTTCATTTCAAGTGGCCCTGAGTTCACTTTATTGTACCAGTATTCCACCTGAAGAAGCTACTGTGTTAGCGAAACATGTACGAATTATGTGGAAATCTTATCTTATCTTATCTTATTCGCAGGAGACTGATGCTCTGTACCTTCCTTGGGATATGAATCATCTGTTCTCTCTTCAGTCTCTTCCTCTTCTCTATATACTATATGCTCGGCCAGAGTCTATTATTTCCCTTACATGAACCTGATAGTGGACCATCTAGAAAAAAAGCCATGTTGATCTGTCATGAAGAGATCTAATATCGTATTGAGTGTTTACTGAAATACCACTTTACATCGCAAGACGTGACTGAACATGGCAAACCTCGGTGAAAAATATGATTTCTGTCGACAACTAATGTACCTATCCTATATGACGAAATTATTTTCCTGCCTGATGCTATTCGAAGAGCTCACCAAACAACCTAAAAAAACTCAATATAGCCATTCATTACAGCTCCAGATATCATATTTCCCGATCCTCTTCACCTTTTATTCATCGCAGCTCGTGAGTCGGCAGTCTCTGAGGCCGTGAAATAAGGAACTGTCCAATAACCGTGAATCATTTCTTGCAGATAAAGAAATTCAGTCACCGAGATTTACCGGTTCCAGCTGGCTGGCTTTCCCTACATTGAGGGGTGCATACAAACATGTTCAACTGAGTCTTGAGTTACGCCCCGAGGCATATGATGGTATTTTCTTTCTGACTGGAGAGAGAGACGATATGGCTGGAGATTTTATGGCTTTGCTCCTACATCAGGGTTTCGTGGAGTTTAGGTAAGATTATACTCTAGTAGCGTCGGGATGAGCGTGAGAGTAGATAATTCGACAAATAAAAGATCCCGGTAGACTAACCCAATCCAGTTATATCGACTGTCATTAGAAAAAAACATTCTTGTTACTGCCCAGGTAGCGGTCGTCCGAATGAGGCCCTAGTGACTGACCGAATGATGTCGAAAAATTACGTCTTGAAGACCTCGAAAAGCCGTCAAAATGTCACAGCCATAAGACGTCATATTCATACGTCAAAATGACGTCTCAGAATGACGTATAAAGGGCTAAATTCAAAAAAATGCTGATGGGTAATAGTACATTGTATATCAAGGAACAGAAATGCGAGATTTTTTCCAAGGTGCAAAAAGACGTAATTTCAAGGTCTCTTTGCAGCCGTGGATGTCATGGATCAATAATGACTTGAAAAAGACGTCATTATGGCGTCATTTTTAATAACTACTGCTAATAGAATGGTATCGTTATTAGAATGGTCTTTGAAGGCATCAGTGGATAACATCGATTTGAAAAGAAAGCCAAATGATGTTTATTGAAGATTGGGAAAGAAGAAATAATAGGTATATATGTTTTCTCTTGGTGAACCGCGTTCAAAACGGGTTGGAATCATAATACTCTATTGATTTAACTGAGATGTGATCAATGAATGTTTCTGGTTCAAATATGGCTGAAAAAACGGTTCGAAATCAGTAAGTTCATCAGAATTCTCAATCATCGGTGAAAGGTGGATCATTTCCAATTTGTTATTTATTTTAACTATCTGAAAATTTCAATGTCTCAAAACTGTCTGCTTTCTCGAAGGCTTCGAATGATGAGGTCACATTTTAATGCGACTCTAAATCAACATTGAATGCCGTTCATCAGGAAAATGCAGCTTTAATGGTGAGCATAAATACATCAAGTCTAGTCGATTCCATGAATCATCAAACATTGAATACGGCTGGTTCTATCTACTGAATTATTTATACGTACTCAAACAAGAATCGTTCGAAACTCATGATCATTTGAATGTCCATACGATCGAAAATCGAGGAATGGTTTCATAAAATTCCGCTTCAACAATCCCATACGAACAACAGCACTCTGAATAAATAGCACTGTAAACAGTCATGTCATAAAGTGTTTACCACAAATGTCCGTTTATTTTTACGATTTATCTGCCCATTTATATCTCAATTTAAAAAATCCATGAATGTGACTTTCTTCCTTCGGGGTACCTCCCACTGGAAAAACATCTTTCACCTGGGCTGTGTTACGTCTGTGGTTTGACCAGGCACATACGTTCAGTTTGAAGTCTGACCATCAGTCTGACCAATCAGCTGTTTAGGCATACCGGTCACACAGTTACCACGTTAACTTTTGATGGGAGTCGAGTCAAATATTGACCATATTGACCATTGTGGTTGAACGACTGACTTGACACAGCCCTGGTTATCTCTACCTTCAGGTTTGACTGTGGTTCTGGCATCGGAGTAGTCCGCTCCGAAGAAACAGTCCTCCTGAACCAGTGGAACCACATCACCCTGTACAGACACAGGTGGGACGCTTGGCTTCAACTCAACAACGGCAGACACGTGCAAGGGCGAAGCAAGGGCCTCTTCTCCAGGATCACCTTCAGGGAGCCCCTGTTTGTCGGCGGTCCGGGAAACACCACGGGGCTATCGGACAAACTGCCGGTCGCCCAAGGGCTGAAAGGGTGCATCAGACACTTGGAGGTGAACGATCACGCCTACAAGTTTGCTTTGGAGCCTGCCGGAGAGGCTACGAAAGGATATGGAATCGGTATGTACTTGATGGACTTCATACTTATCTACAAGTCTGAGTATTTTCGAATGAAATTGAAGAGCCTGTGTCATGCTATCCAAATAAATGATACCTATCGTTTGGTGCCACAGCGAGATGTCTATCGTCGATGAATTTTAGTGGAGGAAAGAATTCACATATACCTCCTACTTTATTCTGTGCAACAAGAATGTATGTGTAACAGATACATTGATGTTGCGCCAAACAGCTGAGCATTTTTGATTCGAAGCCATCATCTGGACACAGTTTTTTTACCCTGTGATAGGTGCTTCGAGGTCGTTGAAAAGCATGTGCGTAAAATTGAGAGGATATTTTTACCTTCAGAATATATATATCAAAATAGGAGCCCTAGAAATTTTGTTGTGGTTCCTGTCACACAAGATATGATTTTCAATTTCGTTGAAACACCCAGTCCTTTTTGGAAGAAGACCATTCATGATAAAAGCAAAGTTAAGTTCAAAATTTCGCAATATAGAGTGTTCGAATATTCATCTGAACAAGGAAATGAAATAAGATGCTGTTCATTAAGCAATATGGTGATTTTTCATGATTTCGTAATCCAAAAATGCCCCGTTGATCTTCCGAAAATTGTCAGAAATATATTATACACTCAACCTCTTGTTCTGAAGAAGGCAAAGTACGATAATGTTATGCACCTTGCCGAAAGATATGTCCTCAAAGCAGATACTGCTGATCAAGATACTAATGTCACTCATGATGGTGAATTCTCCGACCAGAATGATTCATTATTATTCTTTATGTTTGCGTTGTGAATTTTCCTTACCGATTTGTATTTAAAAAAAAATTAATTTTTAAAAACTCACGTCATGTGTTTTTCATATCTTTGGGAGAAATAAGGAGGTATCTGCATTCTCAAAACGAATTTTAACATAGATATATGTGATTTTTTTTTCAATCCCAGTAACATGAAAATGATTGTTTGCACTCGTACAATGATCCCACAAGAGTTCAAAACATGATCTTTTTTATTTGATAAAATATTCATATTTTATCGTCTCCTGAAAAATTTAGAAAATGACAGATACCTCCTTGTTGCTGCAGAGTCTTCAATTGTTCTCCTCCACACTCTTTGGTTACGCAGTGATTTCATTTTGCTGTTTGTAAGGCTTTGGAGCATTTCATTTGATTTCCAAATTATCTACAGCGAGAGACCGTTTCCTAAGATACACTAGGTACTGAGTTTTCTGCACTGATATTTTAGGAAATTAAGTTTATATAAACATGTGTCCTAACTTGCTTCATTTACGAGATTACCGAGGAGATAACAGTGTATTAATATTTCCATGAAAAATCTTTTTTCTATTAATTTATCAATTGTCTCTTCATTAATTTCAATAAACCGTTGTGGTTTTGTCAATAGTAATATGGAGCTCCTTCTGGTGCAATTAGATTCGAAATAATATTTCCAGTAGCGTCACAGTGGGTAAATGTATCGATATTCATGGTGAATGTCATTGTATGCCACCGGTTTTTCTGAGTTTCATATTTTTATTAGATTGAACTATTGAAATAACAACTTTTTCATCATCTGTCTGATTTTTGTATCTAGATTAGTTTTTGAGGAGACAATAAATGTATTGGTGTTTTCAAAACTTCTATTGAGATTACTCAATAACCCAAATTAGAATCATTTCGATATTTTGGGGCTTTCTCAGTCTCCGTCCATACTGAATTTTGGCACCATAGAAGCCTGTATACAGGGGGGTTATAGATAAAAACAATTGATACTTCAATTTTGTTTGCTAGAATATCACAAGGAAACACCCCTTGAATTTGTTCGGATGTTCGGTGTTATTTAGATACACCCTGTATATAGTGCAATGGAGGTAATGCTGTTCATCAGTATGAAGATTCCAGTCCTTTAAAATAGTGTTTCCTTATCATGCTGAAGCCTTGTTATAACTCGGAATTGAGCTAACATGTTTTCTATAGACATCGCAGGATTTGCGGGATCAGACCTCATAAAATACACCTGCTTTGATTGATAAATGATATTAGTCTGGCTTTCCATTCCCTGATATTCTCTCGATGAGCATGATAAGCGATAATATAGTCTCCGATTCTAGCCTGATCTCACTCTATTTGAAGCATTTCATGATGAAAATATTGCTCTCTTCGACCTCTACAAAACATCACATTTTACGTTTCAATTTCCGAACGAAAAACCGACTATTTCCGAAGGCGAGTACTTTGAGTCAGCAGACACTAATTTTTGTCCGAAAACACTTTTCGTCCGCTGCAGGGTTGCCAGTACTACGGAATTTTCAGTAGATCTCTGATTTGCATATTAATCTACTGATCTACTGAAACATTTCATAATGTACTGACACTTATTTATTATTACAATTACCTATATTGTTATTAATCTTTAGTTAATCACATACACTTACAAATTGCATAATATTTCGGCACGCTCTGTTCAAATTAACCAAAAAATGGCAATAATTTATCTGATTCAGATCAAATTCAATTTTTTATATACCTCTGTTACAGCGTTGATTGATATATTACGCTTAAGCCTAAGCGTAATATATCAATCAACGGTTACAGTTTGTTTCTTACGTTTAATTTTTGTATTACTTTTTGTATTTTTGTTGTTCATTTTTACTATTCGTTCCTGTTTTTTATATACTCAAATCTTAGAAGTACCCATCTAACTGTATTTTGTGATATTTGTGAATATTTTTGAATCTAGAATTAGGAATATAATTATTTCTTAATGAGATTGTTTGTTTTGTTTGTTTCTATTCTGTTGAAAATAGGTTACTTTTCTGTTTACTAAAAGTATATAATGTTTTGACGTCATAGGTTTATTCCATTACCCTTTCTTGAAATTCGTATAACATGAAATAGATCTATTGAAATCTACTCAATTTTTGACAAGGTATTTAGTGATGGAATAAAAACGAACTGGCAACCCTGGTCCGCGTGGAGAATTAGTTGACAACAACTGTCATTTGCTGTTGTCAAATTAATTATTCACGATATCCGAAAGATTTAACGTGTGAATAGGACCGTTATGTGCATATGAGTGTTTCAGGTCGACGAAAAAATGTAATATGCATCTCGGCGAAAACTATCTATTGTCTCGCCTGACTCCTAGCCTCGGCTATAAATTTGCAGACTGGACTATAATATACAGTGTTTCTTCCTTGGTACATTAATATTTATTTGATATCTCTTACAGAGGAGTGCACTGCTGACAGATGCAGTAGGGTGCCATGCCAACATGGAGGAAAATGTCTCACCAGCGATAACTCCGCAGTTTGCCTCTGTCCATTGGGGTTTTCAGGAGACTTGTGTGAAATACGCGTGGACTTACAGGTACGTTCTAAATTTGCCAGTATATCCATCAAATCACGCAGGGTATAACATGAAGTCCCAGTTGTCAGCAGACCGAGAGCGGCTGATGAGACCTGGTGGGTCGAAACAGTACTGTCTCGCTCCTGCTGACAATTGGGGCAACTCTGTTCATCCTGGATCTCTTAGTTATGAGATTTAGCAGTCCATCAAATCAATCTGTCCATTTCAGGTGCCTTCTTTCAATGGATCCAGCCACCTTCGCTACCGCGGGCTCGCTGATACCGCCTTGACTTGGCTAGACTTTGACGTGACCTTCAAACCGACAGCACCAGATGGCCTCATCATCTACAACGGTCACCGAATAGACGGCACCAACGACTTCATGGCGTTATACATGGACGACGGATTCGTAGAATTCGGTTACGATCTGGGTACTGGGTCTGTAACGGCCAGGAGCCAGTACAGGCTTCCTTTGAGCGAGTGGCATCAGGTAAAAGATAGATTGCACCCTGAATAATACAGGCAAATTGTAGGTAATATGTGCTCAAAAGGGAAAGTGTTTGGATTTTCATGATGCAACATTGAAATAATCCAAACATAATGCAAAATGAAAAATATGTTCTGCTTATAATTCGGAAACAATGAACTATTCGGAAAAAACCTCGCCTCAAAATGAAAGTAAAGAAAATTTGCTGTGCAAAAAAAGCAGGTTACCAATCAGAAGATGTTGTCAGCGAAAGTTCAATCCTAACACAAACAAACACAGATCATATCGACTGACCAACCAAAAATACAAGTAATAACTTGGTAACATCAGGAAAAATGAAGGAACAAAATTTGAAAATTTCACTCGAACCTCCAGTTTCATCAGACGGCCGCCATAAGAAAAAGGTAGTATTTAGTATCCCAGGAAATGACAGAAATGACAAATTAGACAAAGACATAGAACAGAACAAAAGTATTGAAATTACATTATTTTATTTTCATTTTAAAAATGTTGCACCATTTTCATAAGAACATGTGGCTTTCACGACTATACTTTTTGTTTTATTCATCTTCATCCGGTATCTTCAAAAGATTCTGGAAGAGGAAAGGTGTCTCAAACCCTCTGCAATACTCATCTCACCGCTGATAAAACATCATCAGACCATATATTTTTCTACCACCCGATGAGTGGTTGTTGTGACACCACTGGGAAACTGAAAAAGTCCTGCAGAAGAATAATGACTTGAAATTCCACAGTGTGTTTTGAGGAGAAAACCAAAATACGCCAATTTTCAACTAGCGCTTGAGCCCGAACGGTTCATCAAGTAAAAAAAAATAAATTAGGAAATTTGTGGGAAATTTAATACACTTCCATTTCAAATAGGAAGTTTATTTGGTAGTTTTCGAGTTGTAAGCAAAACCCCGTCACCTTTTTTAGGATTTCTTTCAATGTTGCGTCACGAATTTTTGTTAGCAAACCTCAAATTCTGAATCATTATCCCAGAACACGTATCGAATGATAACCTCGGTCATGTTAGCTCCCGGCCGGCCAGCTCCAAGCGGCACTTTTCCACCACCGGTCAATTTTCGTTTTCGTATTGCTCTTCGTTTCGTACGCCGATCATTACTACTTCCTCTACTCACTACTCATCGATAACATCCACGGATACGATGAATATTGATAATCTTTGTGTAATATTCCAAGTGGAAAGAAATGTAGATACACTGTGCTCACCGTTATTCTGAGGGGCCAGCGCGAACGATAAAAGTGTTCGATTTCACGTTATTCCATTGAATTTCCAGATTTTTCATCCACCACAAGAAATTATCAGCCGAGAAAAACAATCAATAGAAATCTCAGAGGTGTACATGATCAATACAAAGGATTTTTTTCGTTTCATCATGTCAACCCCAAGAGGCCAGCTCCAAGGGTATCGAGCTATTCGATATGGATTCCTGAATTTTTTTCTATCATAAGAAATGACCGACCAAGAAAATCGATTGATGGAAATCGTAAAGGGGTACATGTTCAATACACAGGATTTTTTTCGTTTCATTAGGTCAACCCCAAGGGCTGGCCTCCAAGGATAGAATGGGCGTGTACACCTTAGTAGAACTTTTAACTCAAACCATGTTTATAATGATCCTTTTATGCCTAAATAATGATTGACGACATAATTCGATCGAAAAATTAACTGGAATGTTTTATTTTTGGACATAAATAATAGCACCATCTGAAAACGGACCCTCTTATGACGTAGAAACCTCATCTCGCCATAGTTAAAAGAAAATAACAAAAGCCCGACGGAGACTGAGGCAACTGATAAATTAATTCTTTCAACTGTGATTTCGCGCTAATTCACTCTGTCAGAAATCATATATTATTCATCTCTGTCTGGAATAGTCTTGTTTCAGTATTAGGGTTTTGACGTCACATCATCGCCTCGTTTTCAGAGGTCCGAAAAATCGGGGATTTCAATAATTTTTTTATAAAACGTAGGGAGCTCACAGCAAGAAACGGTTTGCGGTGGTGAGCTAGGTTGGGTGAGTTCTATCGAATTATGAAATAACATTTTTTGTGATATAAGCCCATTATCCAATGTCGAGCTATTCGATATGGATTCCTGAATTTTTTACTACCATGAGAAATGACCGGCCAAGAAAACCGATTCATTTATTAAAAAATTCAGGAATCCATATCGAATCCACTTGGAATAATACACAAAGATTATCAATATTCATCGTATCCGTGGATGTTATCGATTAGTAGAGGTAGTAGTAATGATCGGCGTACGAAACGATCGAAGGGCAATGCGAAAACAAAAATTGACCAGTGGTGGAAAAGTGCCGCTTGGGGCTGGCCGGCCGGGAGCTAACATGACCGAGGTCGAATGATAGAAACCAAAACTACCCCATAACTTTCCTGGTAAAATACAATTCAACTGGATTAGAAAGTGGTGGCCTATAAATTTTTGCACCTTATATAGCACTCCGAACAATATCTTCTGATACTGTCAATACAACTGCGATTTATAGGTGAGGGGTGTCCCGCACGGACCGAATGGCTTATCTTATCGGTAGACAACCAACTTCCAGTGGATGTATTGTCCCCGGGGACATTCTCGCAGCTATTGCTGCACCAGAATCTTGGGTGGAGTGCCCCACATTTCAAACTTACTTCCATTTTGAATAGTACAGTTGAGAAAAGTTGATAGTTTTCGAGTCATATACGATAAGCCGCCAGAGAATGGAACTGTTTCAACTACTAACCCTAACTGTCCGCTGTCGTTAAACCGTTTTTTCCTCAGAGCTCCATACATTGTTTAAATAATTATTACAAGGACAGGACCATTTCTGATTGTCTTTTTTATCAAAATAAGAAATGAATTATCTAGACTGATTATATTTACTGCAGATAACAGAGAACACAACACTCAACTGAAGAATCAGATAATCTGAGGATTATCTTTCAATATTCGTATCTTGACTAGTTGAAACAAGAATTTGAAGATGAAGGTGACAGAGGATATTGACGTTAGTAAGTTAGGTTGACCAATGCCGGCTAAATGAGAAAAGAATCTAGCCAGCTCTGAGCAGGCTGGCCATCTTATCGGTGGACAACCAACTTTCCGTGAACATATTGTTATTATTATTTACTCCTATTTTGAATATAGGAACGTTATTTGAGAAAAGTTGATAGGTTTCGAGTTAAAAGCAAAAAAAATGACAAGAGAATCGAAGTTTTCGCCTTTTTTTTTTTTTTTCAATGTGCGTCACGCAATTTTGCAAGCATACCTCAGATTCGCATTCAGTTTCCCAAAATACGTATCGAATGAGTTGAATCAAAATTACCCCTTATAGCTTTCCAGGTGATAGTTTTATTTTATCATTCACCAAAGTAGTAAAGAATATCCGTATCACCCTGGGACCAATAAGATTATATCCCGAGGCTTCAGCCGAGAGTTCCAAAGTCCCGTGGTAATAATTTTCTTTACTCTCTACCAAGGTGTATATTAAATTTTGATCACCACTAGCAATCCATTGAATCAGTTCTGTGAAACTGGAATATGGACCTATTGTCACTATGAAAGCACTCCTTTTTAATTCTAATTAAAATCTAGTAGCCATCATGACCATGACAGCATATTATAATGAAAATTCCACACCAGTGATTTTTATACAGTTAAATTGGGTATTTATGACGCGTCCAGCAGGGGTCTGCAAAAAAGGCTCACTGGGGCCTACTTGCTAGACGACCGCCTCCCTTTTCTCTACTACTACTACTACTAGTATGTACCTATAACTATGAAAAATCAATTGACAAAATCATAATTTCTTATCACTTGTAGTATCCCGAAGTCAATATTGAATATATATAAAATAATATCTTACATTTTGAACTAGTATTTTCATGCAAATATAATAGGCAGAAATCAGGAATCTATTATTGGTGCCGAAACTGCGACCCAAACTTAATTTATTCATGAACTAGTATGCAAATCAAATGAATAAATAGATTCTAAAACTATTTGATTTCCAAACAAAATCTGGTGTGAAAAAGTTCTTACCGAATACCCCACGAGGTCCAATTACTTTCCGGGATTTTTTTCTCGCTAATGAATATTTCGTCTTCGACTCGTAATAATTTTCCAAATATCCATGAGCTCGAAAAAATTTCCGGAAATAATTTGACCTCTAGTGGTATCACAAGTGAAAATTCGTTATTAATAAATACCTCCTATATTCGAGTGCCATTCCTGCGGATGTTGTATAGGAACAGTGAATTCGGGATAATTATATGGTATAATGGTACTAAAAAGACGCCTCGAGAAGGAGTAAATAATGATAGGCTTTATAGCTGGTGGTGGAAAGAAATACAATTTAACTGGTGGACAATACATTTTCGCGCCTTATTTAGCACTCCGAACTAGGATGTTTATAATTCCTCTGGTGTGCCCACTCTTCAATTGTTTCGTCAGACTAACCCTCGATATGAACAATTGAATGCGAGTTCGAAACGTGGGGTTCTCCTATCCAATGATAGATGGCGTGAACGATGGACTTGGAAACTTTAAAAATTTTTATCATGGAGTTGAACTATACTTTCAAGGATCTGGTTTCCTCCTTTCGGTACACGAAGAGTTCCGTTGATGATGCACGAATTCGATAATAGCTGAATAAAAGCATCTAGAGACAGGACGCAAAAGAGTCAGAGCGCAACAGATAATACGTGCGAAAACATCTTAACCTTGGTCTGTTGATCGTTATCACAGATCTTTCTTGAGTTCGGACCTCGTGTCGTTCGTGAAATCACCACTGAAAATCGAAAATATAACGCACCGTTTCAATGACACAAGAAATTGTGAAAATGAAAATGTGAACTCAAATGAATGTGTCATGATGCCTGTAAATTTAGTTTGAAACTTCGGAAATTTAGCAAGATTCTCCCGAGCCTAGCTAATTTTACAAAGTAGGCGATATCGAGAGGTTTCGAAACTCCTTTCAATAGAAAGTGATAACACCAGTTGACTTTCTATACATCTATCTCCGAATAATATCATTTGTCACTGTCATTTACAGGTGAGAGTATCCCGCACGGGCAGGCTGGCCATCTTATCGGTGGACAACCAACTTCCAGTGGACGTATTGTCCCCGGGGGCCTTCACGCAGCTATCGCTGCCCCAGAACCTCTATTTGGGCGGAGTGCCCCACTTCGGCATCGTATCCCCCCGCGTGAAGGTGCGCTCGGCCTTCGTCGGGTGCATACAAAAAGTGGAGATCAACAGGAGGCCGCTGGCTATTTTGGCGGAGGCGCTGGGCGGAGCGAACGTGGACAACTGTCCGCACCCTTGCATCGCGAGGCCCTGCGGGGTAGACGGGGACTGCGTACCGGAAATGGACTACTTCACCTGCAGGTAATGATCTTATCCTGCTCTAAGGTGAATAAAATACTCTTACCGGCAAAAAAAACAGCCACAAAAAAACACATAATCAACTGCATTTCAAAGAAGTTGATTCCCACGAACCTCAGCTTTTTCGAAAGTTTTGATGTTTCGTTCCCTAATGACGGACATGATTAAAGCAAACTTCAGATCCCAGGTGATTTGATTGATCCGAACATACCAGGAAGATCTTATCACCAATCTCGCGATTTTGATTTGCAATGCTTGTACTCTGTTGATATGAGATTTAGCCGTGTGGCCCCAGACTACCGAGCCATACAGTAAAATTGACCAATTTACTTCGTCTGTTTAGAAATGGATACAGGGCTCCTAAGTTTGGCTTCTGAAACTTGCTCTTCAATTTGCTGGGCCCACGTGAGCATTCTATCAATGCACAAACCTAAGTATTTAACTTGTGAAGACCATTCTAACTCATGACCATCTAGGATTATTCTGGTTCTGGGGGGCCTCCGCTGCCTTCCGAGTGCAACCAATTGTGTTTTTGCAGGATCCTGGTATACTTCTCATCGATATCCGTTACTTTCAGATGCAAGCCAGGCTACAGAGACCACCTCTGTTCGAGCGGTCCGCCGCTCTTCCGCGGCACCAACAGCTACATCCACCTGAACGACGTTTCGACGCTGCAGGCGATATCATCAGACCCGCTGGTGGTCAACGTCCGCTTCAAACTATCCTCGTCCGCTGGTCTGCTGGTCAGCGTTCTGGTGGGCGATGTCTTCGTCTGCCTCGGCCTGGAGCACGGAGCCCTGGTGCTCCGATTCAGCGTCAAAGGACGAGGGGAGGAGATACGAGTGGTCAACAATATAACTACAGTGCACGACGGACTGTGGCATAGGGTGAAAGCCGTCAGGTATAGCCAAAGATATTGTGTTCACATCTCGGAGATTTCAAATCGCTGCAAATGTTGAGTATTTCAAAAATTAACCTACTGAATACTATATGAAGGATTGAATATACATAAGGGACAGTGAAAATACTGAAGGATTGTAGGTAGTATATTCAAAAAGCGATAAAATGCCATTCGACTCTCATGAAAAACCTTGAGCTCGAAACTTACTTATCCTATACAGTCTGCAGTGGCAGCCCAGCAAACAATTTTGGTCGGCATTATGCTGGCCAGAATTGGCCAGAACGACAAAATTCCTGTGAACATTGATGGCTGTCATCAGGGCCACAACATGTCTGTTCAATAAAAAAAAAAAGACGATCGCCACGAGATTCGAACCCCGGTCCTCCACTATCACTTGGTTAAAAATCGAACTCATATTCCAACTGAGCTACTACACCTTCATTGCAATGATATGTGTCTACGGAATTCATTTGCGGTTAACTGTCTAATTGGAATATTTCATTAATAATTATCATCATCATAACAGATATACAGGGTGATCCACGGTGGATGGCCTATTAGAAGTATCTGGAGAACGAAAAGACAACACATTCTGAAAATTGAGATTCTCTGATAATTGAACATTCTCTATTCCTCTGAAATATTTTCATCGATACAGTGTTGCCACTTCCATCAGAAACAACTAGCAACTTTGTTATTTCAAATGGACCACCCTGTATTTTATTGCATTTTTAGATTCTTTCTGAAGAGCTGATTTCATCAATGCATCACACTTGGGGTCTAGCAGGAGTGATTACAGAGAAATAGGGTGTTCAAAATCGAGATTTTTTCAATTTTAAGATTTTTTTGTGTCGAAACTATTCATTATCGATCAAAACGGCTCACATGTCCCTATATTAACTTTTGATTGACTATCTACTGGAATTTGATTGGAAAAAATACAGGGGTGCTTCAAGATTCAGAATTCTGATCACCCTGTATCTGTTCCAATTAGATGTCAGTTGATAGTGAATCGAAGGTTAAGATAGGGACATGTAAGCCGTTTTGATCAATAATGAATAGTTTCGACACAAAAAATCCTGAAATTGAAAAATGTCGATTTTGAACACCCTATATCTATGTAATCATTCCTGCTAGACCCAAAGTGTGATGCATTGATGGAATCAGCTTTTCAAGGGGAATCTAAAAATTCAATAAAATACAGGGTGCTCTATTTAAAATAACGAAGTTGCTAGTTTTTCTGATAGAAGTGGCAACACTGTATCGATGAAAATATTTTAGACGGATAGAGAATGTTCAATTATCAAAGCATCCCAATTTTCAGAATGTTCTGTCTTTTCGTTCTCCAGATACTTCTAATAGGCCATCTACCGTGGATCAGCCTGTATACAAACGAAGAACATGGAAAAACATCCGATTCTCCAATTGACTACCTACCGAATTTCTGTCATACCTCTTTTATGAGTTAGACGACTTGCCTATTATTTTTATGGCCGAATTTGATGACTTTCAAGATAATATTCAAATGCAAAACAGCAGAATAGCGCAGTTGATGAGAGCTTGACTAGCAATTGAAACGCCGAAAGGTTGCTAGGTAAGATTCCTGGCAGAGCATGCATTTTTTATTCATAAAACGAGTTATAAGTTCTAATTCTCGTAGCCTCGGCTGGAGATGATTCCGCACGATTCGTATATCATGTGGACCTCATTAACCTCATTAACCAACGAATTGGCCCAATAGTATCGTACCGAACCATTTTATCGAAGCTATTATTATATATGATCTATAAGCCGTAAAAGAAAAATGTTGGTAGGTAGAGACTCAAATTCGTTTTGATATTTCAGAGATGGTACATCCGGCCTTCTGATAGTAGACAACGGTCCCGCCATAACGAGACAATCAGTGGAGATAGTCGAGAGACCGGTGACGCATCGAGAAGACGAGGGCCTATACATAGGCGGCATGTCCGAGGCGCCTCTGCTGGCCCTCACGAAGTACAGCCAAGGCATCCGAGGCTGCGTCGCCGACCTAGTAGTCAGCACCGACTATCACCTGCAACTAGTCAATCACTCGGAAATAGGGCACAACATAGGGCAGTGCGAGGCATGAAGTCAATTTTGATGGCGGAAGCGACGCAACTAGATGTCAATACGGAAATTTTTAGATCGAATTGATGGAGACCAGTGAACGAAACTGTCGCCCACTTTTAGCTAATGTGTAATATCACTTGTACTCTGAAACTTACTTCCCAACTTCACTGACTCGACGTGCTAACTGTGTCACAACATAAGGCTGATTACTAGGAGCTATTGAGGATTATGAAAAGATGCGGTTATAACAATTCATGTGCCTTATATTTCATGTAACTACGATACCGAGAACCCCTACGTTTCTGAGTCGATGCGAGGCCGTAATTTTTGTTACCGTATCTTTTTGCGAACGTCCTTTAACTAAATGTATACATCGTAAAGATCAAACAAATTTCTGGGGATTTGTGTTAGAATTTTAGATAAGGATAAATATGGGCTTTTTGTATGTTTTTACTTATTTGGAATTATCTCACTGGAGACATGTCGACGAGGCTTTAGAATGAATGTTTATAATGTAGTTTTTGTAAAATATATCATCTAGTAGGGTCATTTCCAGAAATTTCATATTTTTCCAAGCATTAAATTAAAATGAGTCAATATTCAAGCATGAAAAAACAACTATCATATCATTTTGTAGTAATAAACACTTGAGGATCATTTGTCGACATCTTTCTAACTTTTACTTTTCAACTTTTGCAACTGAGTAGGTACTGTATGTGGTACTGTGTGAATTTCACCTTGTTATATAGCTATGTATAATAATATGAAATCTTATTTGTACAGGTAGTTTAATTTGTGTGTTGAATAACAAATTGCTTTTGATCTATACCACTGTTGACATTATTTTAATATTGCAATCCTCCCAACCTTAGATATCCTACTTCTGAAGTAGATACATAGGTACCTGCATTTTCAGTCTCACTCCAGTATTTTGGCGTTAGTAGAGCATGAGATCAATGAAAGGATATGGTCAATGTCAAAGTCAAAAATCCCAAAATTTTCCCGGATAATCCTAAAAAGGCAGTGGCCTATTTTTAATCTGAAATTTTCGGGAAAAATGTTGTGGCCTATTTGAACTATCAGAAAAACTCAAATTATGAAAAGACTGAGCGTTTTTTTTACTCTCAATGTGAAACTTTAGGACCAATTCTTACATTGATGGAGACGAAGAAATCGTAGGAAGGAGCCAAATATGACAAGGAAGAAGTATATAATCATCTTGACTGTCACAACTTTCACGTCTCAGTTAGCGCGGTCTGGTGGACAATGAAATAATGTTAGCCCTCATTATGTGATGCCAGAAGTGATCAGAATGAGCAATAAATGTAGATTTGACAACAGGGCATTCCCACTGAGAAATTGGCTTACACAAATGACCTTGAAAATGGGAAAACAGTTAGTCATTTTGTGGTATTACTGTCAAAGTGAGTGTCATGTGTCGAATACATTGTCTTTTGCTTTTGTCAATGCCAGTTATAATTAGTTTGAAAAACGAGGCGTCCATGAAGATGTTCATACTCAGGTGATTATTTGGAAAAATACACTGTTTTTAATCATGTATCAAATAATATCTAGAATCGTTCTGATTGGCCATACACGGATGTCTGGGCTAAACGAATTCTTGCAATCCTGCCTGACATTCAATATGTTCGTGGAGTGGGGGGTGACATTTTTGAAGTTTGCCAAATCGCCAAATCAAAATATAAAATTTCTCAAATTTCAAAAATATTGAGTATTTGCAAAATAGTTTATGATAGTGCAACAGATCATTTGCAAATTCAGAGCTAGGTGAGTTTCATCCAAACATCAATCTGAGCTGATCAATCACTCAAAACTTTGAAAAAATATTCCTAATAGCTTATAGATAAAATAAGAAAATTATCTATCCTTATGGTTGATAATATCATTCCAATTTTGCAGAATATGAATTCGTCAGAGCACAGACCAGACTGCACCAATCAATGCAAGTCAGTACAACATGGGGAAATAATTACTGCAGCTATCTCAAAGCGCAGCATATCAGACTATGATTTATGTTCTTTCCTCAATTTTCTATGCTCGCGTTGTGAAAGTGTAGTGGACTCTGTTGGAAGGACTGCCTTGCAAGTAGCTGCCTCTTGTGGTAGATTGGAACTGGTTAAATGGTTGATCCATTCAAGACATGCAGATATCAACCTAAAAGATCGAGAGTCAGGGTATACTGCATTGCATAGGAGCATTTTTTATGGGAAGATGGATGTAGCAGTAGAACTCATCAAATTAGGTGATGTTGTGCAATACTACCAATAGTTCACAATACCAATTTCTGGGATCCTAATTTGTGAAAATTGGTCTTCCTTCAGGTGCCTCTACATCAGATTTGGATGCAGATTGTCTTACTGCCATTGAACATTCCATGAAGGATGGGTTAAGGCCATTTTCGGGAACTAATGGCGGAGAGCTATACTCTTGGGGTTCAAATAACAATAATCTTCTTGGTCCTCAACCATCAAGGCAGTCACCAGAGCTTTTGGATATATTTCACAAAGAATTCTCCAAGGAATCTGTCAGACAGATGTGCATTGGTCAATTTCATAGTATTATTGTCACAGAATCAGGTACCTAAGTGTTTTTAAGTAGGTATGCAAATACATCACTATTGATTGATAGACAAAGTCAGTAATAGTAGTTAAGTGATTTGATTTCTGTTTTATAATCTATTGTACTCTCCTTTGAATCCATATGAAATTCATTTTGATACTATCAAAAGTAGTGAATATGTACAGATCAGAGGCATGTAATTTTATCTTCAGGAAAGGCATTATCATGTGGGCATGGTCAAGGTGGTAGGTTGGGACTAGGTGATGAAAAAGCAGTTGTTACCCCACAACTTTTGAGTTTTTCCAATGGCCAAAAGGGGGAAGTTATATCCTGCATACAAGCTAGTATTTCCAGGGATCATAGTATTTTTTTGTGTTGTGATGGAAATGTGGGTACCAATTTTGAATACATTGCCAAAATAGCTGTTTGATTGCTTTTAGGTATACACTTGTGGACTGAACACTTACTATGTATTGGGTCAACTCCCACCACCAGAAATAGTATTAGTACCAAAACCCATTAAACATTTATCCAAAGAAATTTCAGGAGTTTGTGCTGGTCAGTTTCATTCTGTAGTGTGGGGCCCAGAGGCTTTGTACACCTGGGGCCTCAATGCTGGACAGTTAGGACACAAAGTGAATGACAAGAAGAAGGAACAGTTTGTGGTCACCCCCAGAATTGTCAATATTGTGAATGACATTAATATAACTTGTGTGGCAGCTAGCAATGGTGCAACTGCAGTGTGTACAAAAAGGGGGGATGTTTATTTGTTGCATGAGTATCAATGCAGAAAAATAGCCTCAAGGTATGAGACTAATAATATATATCATATTCTAGGTTATCTGGAACCAAGAAGAAACCATTGTAAATTGAGAGAATTATCAATTCTTTCAGTGGACTCTATGTATAAATTCAAAATATTGACCATACATTTGAATACAATTTTTAAAAATTTAAAAATTTATTAAAGATTTGGAAAACAAAATATCTAATCCCATGTCAAACATATACACATTGATAGCCTTTATATATATTTTTATCAATGTTTCATGTTATAGATGTTTACATTGTTAACATAACTTGATAAAAAAGTAATGGACTGAAAACATAATTGAAGACCAGTGGATTTGAGTGACACTTTCTTGACAATTGAAATATTTCAGGGAATTAAGGTTTCAAGTATTTAGTATTTTTTGGTATAGGTTGATTAAGGGTCTATGTACAATTTATCAAACTTTCAAGATCAAAAATCCTTTATCCACAGATAATAGCAGAATAATTTCAAATTCTGACAAAATTGTCCTCAGTTTCAAAAAGTGAGATTGAGCCAATTTTTTAACAATGAGTTTCCCACTTTGAAAGATCTCTTCAGTTGTCAATATGGACTTTCCCTATACAAATGTTCATGGAAAACTGATGAATTTTGAAATTCCAATGCAAACAGAATGTTTTATCTTCACCTTTCGCGAAAAATGTCAAGTTTGATAGAACACAATAATTGTATATGGTGTTCTCAATGAAAAGAAAACATGAAAATGTGACTTCAACCTGTCTTCCATTTAAAAAACTTGAGATTACTTAATGCTGTTTAATAATAGTATTATCGATTCATGTGACTTTTTTTGTTTTTTACATTTATACTTATTAAAATTATGTGAAACAAATCTAGTTCAAGGTCTACTGAGAACAGCTACTTCAAAACTTTCGATGCCATTTTCTCATATGGACTTGGAAGGCACATGAATCTGTGTCATCAATTATTATTATGCCTTGATATATTTTTGATAACAATTTACACAAGGTTTCTATACATGATTTTGGTATCGTAATTTATAGAAACTACTAGATCCTGACAATTGAAAATTTGAACCGCATCAGGTTTAATATTAGAAATATTTTCCAGGTTACTGAATGCAGTACAAATCAGTATTGTGGGTGGAAAATTGGAATCACCTCTTCTAGACAGAGAGTTGACTAAAGAACTTCACAAGGAATTGAAAGTTGTAGTTTTAACAAACACTGGCAACCTGCTGTTATGGCAAGAATTGGATCAACAGTTATGCCGATGCATTTATTCGATAAATAGAGCAATAATAGTTAGACAAGTATCTATGAATCTCAATGAAATGTTGCTTGTTTCCAACTGTGGGGAGGCGTTCAAGGGTATCATCAAACCAAGAAAGAAGGCTGTGACAAATTCTACTGACAAAAATACGAAAAACTCGTTTCATAATTTTTTAGACAAAGAGGATTGTGTTGTTGTTTCATTGCAAAAGATTTCGAGGATACATAGGGCAGTCTCCATTCAGAGTGATTTGAAAGGAAGGGATTATTGTGTGGTACAGGTAAGAGAAAACATAACAGAAGTCAATCTGAATGAATCATCAAAATGAAAGTTACTACAGAAATTTTAGTCACAGGAAGATGATTAATTAGATATTTTTGGTAGAATATACGAGTGTGCATCATCTTTCAATGTCAAGTTTTGTTCTGCAGATGACACAATTATATTCACACATCATTCTAACAACTTTTTCTAATAGTCTCGTTAACATAAACATGAAAATTAACCTTTTGGGTGTTGGGTATTTTTCATTGAATTCGAAAAGTTCTTTGAATGGGATGGAACTGATTATCAATAACACTTCAGCTCAATTTTTAATAACTAGTGATGAAAATGTCTTTCATAAGGTGCATTTTTTTCGTGACAACGATTCTAGATAGCAAAAATATATCAAATCTGATTTATAATTGATAGTATTTCAGGCTCTACCATACAAAACCTTCACATTTCCTCAAATTACAAAATCAGAAATGAAACATGACCTTGAGACTTTACTGAAAGAATCAGACGAAAACGATAATATTCACGACGTGATATTCAAGGTCAGAAACAGAATCTTTCCTGCCCATCAATACATAGTAACTAAGAAAAGTGCGTATTTCGAGAAAATCCTCAACGACAAATACAGTTCTGTTGATTTGGGCAACATCAATCCAGATATATTCGAACAATTCTTGGAATTTGTTTACACTGGCGAATGCCAATTGTCAACTTGTGGTGTATTAAAAAGCGAAGGTCTCCGCAAGCTATGCCATGTGAAAGAACACACGAAAAAAACCGACGATATAATAATTGACACAGAGAATATACCGGCAGACATGTCTGCATATGAATATTACAGTAAAGAGGACAAGGAAGACAACAAGCAAAACGGCTGTTTAGTCTTAGTAATAGAATATATAAATGAGATAATATATTATTAATTTTTATATATTTTTTCTTTTCAATATGTTTTTTGTCGTAGCTTGATATATTGAGAATAATTCATTCAAATATACTTTATCAAATCAATTTTCAGTTCTTATATTTGCTTCTAATTTTGTGCGTCTAGTGTAATTCACTTCGCGACTATATGCTCTGTCAAAATATCAGCTTGATGTGGTACCTATCGAGAAGAGTCAAGAATGATAGTGCGCTCTCCTATTTTCATTTTACTCACTCATGTGCTATCAGTGATCAGAACACGTTGATAGATTGCACTGCTCTTTTGTTCGCATTTTGCCGGCAATAAAGTGATACCTCTGACAAGATAAAACTACCACTGCGAGCCATTTGAACCAGCATCCCTCCTCCAAGAGAAAAAAAGGTGGTTGCAACCAAGCAGTAAATGGAAAGGACTCTGGAAGGAGTATTAGCCAGGTAGGCCCATTTTGCTGTGTTTGACGGAGCAATTTTCCCGTTTTTTCGTCCGTGTGCAAACATTTTGGTCAACTTCGAGTCGGATTACGCAATCAAAGTTAAACTTTATTCTTAGTATATCTCATTCTCTCATATTCTCTTTACAATCATTAGAAATAAAAATATATTATTTTTAATTCTATCGTATTGCCGGTTAAAAATTATTCTCCAAGTGTTTTATAAAATGTTTTAAGAAAAGAAAACTCCTCAAAGATACCTATAAGTACACAATTAAATCTCAAAATTGATCGATCAATTGATTTAATTAAATAAATATATTTCTTTAGTTTCATTCATTCATTCTAGTGGTGCGTAAAAACTTGTCTTTGGAACAGTGTTTTTGTGTTCCAAGCGAAAATCCCCAATGAGTTTTTGTTACCTGCCATCCTAAAAGTGAACTTTGGCCCATATAATTGGAATTTTGATAAACTGCTATACACAATTCAGGAATGGTCGAACACATCATTAGTTTTTAATTTTTTTTTCTTGAACAATTATAAAAAATACTTCTTTTACGCTGTCTGCTGAACAGAGAACCAATCTTTTCAATAATATGGCGGCAAAGCAACTCAAACAATATCGCGCTCAGCGGCAAATTTCAGCTGATAGAATCTTGGAAATCCATGAACTTGCACTACTAGCTGTCACTGATGCCTCTATGAGAACTGCTCTTCAAATCAGAACTGATGAACTCTCTGACATTTATGCGGAGTTCAACTCTAGTCATGTTTCTGTCATACAAATTATATCCGTTCTAGAAGACGCTGACTTGGAAGCTGAAAAAGTCTTTCGCATGGAGGTAGATAGACTCTACTATAGTATAAAGAAGATCAATTTCGAATTACGTGAACCTCAAGTAAATATCCCAGTTCCAAAATATTCCCAAGTAAAATTGCCAAAATTAAATGTTCCTACTTTTGATGGTACTCTCAAATCATGGCCTACATTCATTGATCTTTTTGACTCTCTCATCCACAATAATGATTCTTTGTCTGACATTGAGAAATTTCAGTATCTTTTATCCGTTGTCAGTGGAGATCCGTTGGGTTTAATCAAAAATCTCCCACTTACTGCTGATAATTACGCCATTGCATATACAAATTTGAAAACTCGATTCCAAAATGAAAGACTTTTATCGTCATATTATTGGGAAGAAATAAATAACTCTCCAAAACTCACAAGTGAATCAGTACGAAATCTTCGGAATTTATTAGACACATTCTCAGATAATCTTAAAGCTCTTGAAAATTTGAATTTTCCAGTCGAAAGTTGGGATTTCGTACTATTTCATTTGATGAGCAAAAAATTGGATGCTGATACTCTGCGTCGTTTTGAACTCGAACACGCCTCTGTAGCCATTCCGACTTATAAGAAGCTCTATGAATTTTTAGAGAAGCAATGTATTGCTCTTGCTTCTATGGGTGTCGCTAAAGCTCCACAGAAGTGCAATACTAATTCAAACTCAAACTATAGAGGCTCGAAGCCTTTGAGCCGATATAATTCTTCCCCATCGACTGCTACTCTTTTAACTGAAACTAATTCTCCGAATAACAAATGTTCTCTTTGTAAACAGCCTCATACAATATATAGATGTTCCATTTTTGCCTCAAAATCTCCCCAAGAGAGATACGAAACTGTAAAACAAAATAATTGGTGTACAAAGTGCTTGGGTAACCGGCATTCAGCAATAAATTGTACCTCTCGTTCAGTGTGCAGGGTGTGCAGCCGCTCATCTCACCATACTCTCCTCCATTTTGATAATAAGGTTGCCTCAACGCAGGCTACTCCCATTTCTGATCATATGAGGTCAGTAACCTCTTCTCAGACTGCATCTTCGGAACCCACAATATCTCAGGTCAACTCCATGACCAATGTGGTCTCTTCTAATTCTACGGTCCTTCTGTCTACTGCTCAAGTTGAAATCCTCGACTCACGTAATAACTATCAAAAGGCTCGGGTTTTATTAGACTCTGCCAGTCAAGCCAGCTTCATAACTGAAAAATGTGCTAACCGTTTGGGATTGCCAAAAGAAAGATCCTCACTGGCAATCAATGGTCTTGGTCACATGTCCTCGATATCCTCGGTCAGCCTCACATGTACTTTGAAACCCCTTATGACTCCGTCTCCTCTGTTAACTGCTGAAGTGGCGGTATTACCAAAGATTTGTTCCAATATGCCGGCCTTTAGCTTTTCACTTTCTCAGTGGCCACATTTGGCAAATCTCAAGTTGGCTGACTCCCACTGTAATGTATCTGGTCCCATTGATATGCTCCTCGGAGCCGATTTATTTTCTATCATCATGAAAGAGGGTAAATTGGAGGGAGGCAATGGGGGGCCCACGGCTCTGAATACCATATTTGGATGGATTCTTATAGGCAGAGTGAATACCTCATCTAATTCCTCTGTTCACTCATTTTTCACGTCATGTGTACCCCCTCTGGAAAAAACACTCAAACTCTTCTGGGAATTGGAAGAAATTCCTCAGGCTCTAATCTCCTCACCAGAAGAGGTGAAATGCGAAGAACATTTCAAGCGACATCACTCTCGTAGTCCTGGTGGAAGGTATATTGTATCTCTCCCTTTTAAAGAATCTGAACCCTATTTTTCAGATACACGATCTCAAGCTCTGCGTCGATTTTACTCGTTAGAACGCAGATTATGCCAAAACCCATCTCTCCATAAAGAATATTCCATGTTTATGCAGGACTATTTAGAAAGCAATCACATGGAGGCCGTATCTCCCACGTCCTCCTTTGAGAATACTTTCTATATACCCCATCATTGTGTTTTAAATCCTAATAGCACCACTACGAAGCTGAGAGTAGTTTTCGACGCCTCAGCGAAATCTCCCTTAGGTTCCTCATTGAATGATACTCTATTGGTGGGAAAGAAATTACAACAAAATATTATTGTTCTTCTTCTGAATTTTCGGTTGCATTCGTATGTCTTCACGGCTGATAAAGCAGATGTATCGCCAAATTCTAATCGATGAAAAGCATCGTGACTATCAGCGTATTTTGTGGAGATTTTCTCCTGGTGACATCGTTCAAGATTACCGATTGAACACGGTAAGCTTTGGTGTCAGTTCAGCCCCCTTTCTTGCCATTCGGACTCTGCATCAGTTAGCTCAAGATGAACAAGAAAACTTTCCTTTAGCTTCGGCAATATTAACCTCCGATACATATGTTGACGATGTCATTACTGGTGCTAAAGATCTTCAAACTGCTAAAGTTCTTCAAACTCAATTGATTGCTCTGCTTGAAAAGGGCGGTTTTCAGCTTCGGAAGTGGTCAAGTAATAATTCTGATCTCTTAACTCCATTTCCCGGTGAAGACTGCCAACAAAACCCGTTAAATTTTGATTCTGATGACTCTGTCATTAAAATTTTAGGGCTCAGGTGGTATCCTTCACAAGATCAATTTTTGTACCATGTCTCACCACGGGACTGTTCCTGTACGAAAAGATCGATTCTCTCAGAAATTGCACGGATGTTTGATCCATTAGGATTTCTCACACCACTTATATTCTTCGCCAAGCATCTCTTACAACTCCTCTGGACTCTAGGGCTAGACTGGGATGCAACTCCTCCCTCAAACGTAACGGAAAAATGGAAACAATATAAGGCTGAACTTCCTTGTCTCTCAGAAATCAAAATTTGCCGACAAATTTATTTTGATTCTCCTTCTCTTTGTGAGGTTCATGGGTTTTCTGATAGCTCTGAGAAAGGATATGCAGCAGTAGTTTATCTTAGAGTTAAAGGGGACAACGATGATTTTGCAATTCAGTTACTAAGTGCAAGGTCAAAGGTTGCACCTCTCAAGACTGTTTCCATTCCCAGGCTAGAACTTTGCGCTGCTGTTCTCTTATCTAATCTCATGGATCTTGTTATTGGAACCTATTCTAGTAAAATAAAGTTTTCGCGAATATTCGCATGGACAGACTCAATGGTTGCTCTATATTGGATCCGATCGTCACCTCACCGATGGAAATCATTTGTGAGCAATCGCGTTAGCCACATACAAGATAAAACATCACCTAATATATGGTATCACGTGCCGAGTACAGAAAATCCTGCCGACTGCGCCTCTCGAGGTCTCCTACCGATTGATTTAGTTCAACATTCCCAATGGTTTGTAGGTCCCCCTTTCTTGAGCAAACCTCAAGAAAAATGGTCAATTTATCTCAATATGGTTCCTCCCTCCACCACGTTAGAAGAAAAAACAATAAGTCTCAGTACCTTCCTCACCTTAGATTCTTTGGATATTCTTTTAGAAAAATACTCTTCTCTAAACAAAATAAAACGAATAATTGCATACTGCTGCCGGTTTATTCACAATATAAAACACCCCACCACGAAAAATAGTGACAAATTCACGCAAGAGGAATTACATCAAGGGTTGCTGGTACTTGTGAAGCGGGTTCAATACACTTCTTTCACTGAAGAAATCTTGAATATTCACAATCACGTTCCCTTATCAAAGCCCATTCGAAAATTGAACCCTTTTCTTGGAGACGATGGTCTCCTAAGAGTAGGAGGTCGACTCCAACACTCGGGTTTATCATACGAGCGCAAGCACCCTGCTCTCCTCCCTCGAAAACATCGTCTCACTGACCTCATTATTGAGAGTGTTCATCGAGAAAATTTCCACCCTGGACTTCAAACACTCCAGCATTTAATATCCCAAAATTTCTGGATACTGTCACCTAAACGAGCCATAAGGCATGTTTTGTCAAATTGTTTGAAATGTTTCAAGGTCAAACCCATCCCTCTCGAACCGTTCATGGGAAACTTGCCCGCTCTACGAGTAAGTCAGCTTAAGCCTTTTCAATGTGTCGGTGTGGACTTTGGTGGCCCTTTCAATATAACCTTAGGTAAGGGAAGGGGAATCAGATCTCAAAAGGCATATATTTGCCTATTCATCTGCTTTGCTACCAAGGCAATCCATTTGGAATTAGCGTCAGATCTCTCGACTGACGCCTTTCTCGCTGCTTTGCGCCGATTTATAGGCCGCCGCGGGCGCTGCTCCCGAATAACCTCTGATTGTGGAACTAACTTTGTGGGTGCTCACCGAGTTCTGTCTGAGCATATGCAAACCGCTGCCCAACAGGAAAACTTGTCTTTTCACTTTAATGCTCCAGCATCGCCCCATTTCAACGGTTTAAGTGAAGCTGGTATAAAGTCAGTTAAATCGCACATATACAGGGTGGTTGGTACCCAAATTTTATCGTATGAAGAGTTCTATACTCTATTAGTGCAAATCGAAGCTGTCCTTAACTCTCGTCCATTATGCCCCCTGAGTTCAGATCCCAATGACTTATCAGTATTGACACCTGGTCACTTTCTGACGCTTGAGCCTCTAACTTCAGTGCCTGACCCTGATCTTTCACATCTCAAAATGAATCATTTAAATCGCTGGCAATTGATACAGAGGCTTCATCAAGATATTTGGAAGCGGTGGCGGGATGAGTATCTGCACACTCTCCAGCAGAGACAAAAGTGGTTGAAAAATGATAGGTCCGTACAAGTTGGTGAGCTTGTGCTCATAAAAAATGAAGCCACGCCTCCATTACATTGGCGTTTAGGCAGGGTAACAAAAACTCATCCGGGACCTGATGGAATTGTTCGAGTCGCGACCGTTCGTACACCACAAGGGATCTTCCAGAGACCCTTAGTGAAATTGTGCCCTTTACCATGTAATTATAACAAATCTTGTTAAAATACAAGGTATTTTGGGGTGGGGTATGTTTAGTCTTAGTAATAGAATATATAAATGAGATAATATATTATTAATTTTTATATATTTTTTCTTTTCAATATGTTTTTTGTCGTAGCTTGATATATTGAGAATAATTCATTCAAATATACTTTATCAAATCAATTTTCAGTTCTTATATTTGCTTCTAATTTTGTGCGTCTAGTGTAATTCACTTCGCGACTATATGCTCTGTCAAAATATCAGCTTGATGTGGTACCTATCGAGAAGAGTCAAGAATGATAGTGCGCTCTCCTATTTTCATTTTACTCACTCATGTGCTATCAGTGATCAGAACACGTTGATAGATTGCACTGCTCTTTTGTTCGCATTTTGCCGGCAATAAAGTGATACCTCTGACAAGATAAAACTACCACTGCGAGCCATTTGAACCAGCATCCCTCCTCCAAGAGAAAAAAAGGTGGTTGCAACCAAGCAGTAAATGGAAAGGACTCTGGAAGGAGTATTAGCCAGGTAGGCCCATTTTGCTGTGTTTGACGGAGCAATTTTCCCGTTTTTTCGTCCGTGTGCAAACAACGGCAAACATTCTAGAAATCCCGTTCGCCTGCTACACGAGTTAGCAAAAAAATTCGAGTGTACAACATTACAGAAAATCTTGAGCAATTTGGATATGAACAATTATACAATCAACCATAAAACTAACATTTTGACAGCTCCAATCAGTATGCCTAAGTTCAACAGACTCGATTTTCCTAATTTGCATGATGTCACAGTGAAATGTCGAGATGGCAAGGAACTCAGAGCCCACAAATGCGTTCTATCTGCCAGGATGGAATATTTCAGTAACCTGTTTTCAACACGATGGGGTGGAGTGAGTACAAATTTTATTAAAATAAAATATTAGTTCAGTCAGAAAATAGTTGTCAGTGAAGGCGGTTCTAGAATAAAAGTGAAAGCTGAAAAAAAAAAAAAGTTCCTCGAAGGGATGAATGGATGACTTCTAGTTGATCATAATGATTATAATAGTAGTGATGATAACATTAATTTTGCTTCAAAGTGTTTACAAAATACACAATATAAAATGAAAGTATGCCGACATATTAGTCTCTAATAAATAAAGAAAATCTTACACATTTCTACTTGCAAGAAATTACTACAAAACTATGGTTGATATGAATCAATCAATTATTTCGGGCAAGAGGAGATAAAAAACTGGATATCTCGATTTGTTTTCAATAACCAAGTTCACAAATTTATTTTTATATACTCTGATTTGGTTATTAAGTATTGTTCAGAGCAGCAAATATGATCTGTAGAACTTTTCTGCGTTATTGACGTCTCTTTGCCTGTATGGTAAATAGAGATAATTACCGCCCTTGCATTAGGCTCACCGTTTTTCACAAAATTACAACTCAAGAGGGAATTACAATTTTTTGTTTCTTATTTTAGGATCAAACATCTGAAGTAAACCTACCTTACGCCAAAAGCACAGTTGAAGCTCTACTTGAATTCCTCTACACAGACTCTCTTTCAAGTCTAAAAGATATCGAACATGATAATCTGTTCAAGGTGTTAGTGTTGGCAGACCAGTTATTTGTCTTACGCCTCAAAGACCAATGTGAAATGCTTCTGTCGGATACTCTCACCCTGAAGAACGTCGTTCAAATACTGTCCTTCGCTCACCTCTACAATGCGGAGAAACTGAAATACTGTTGCATGAAATTCATCATTTCAAACATAACACCCCTATTAGAAAGCAGAATGCTGGATGACCTTGAAGTCGATCTGCTAAAAGAATTATCAGAGTTCTACTTCAATGAGAATGAAAACGTCTGGTGCAGAGTAATAACACCTTATTCCATAGCTCTTCAAGACGAAATCATTCTGTCTATTGGAACAGCTTATCCGGTTGATCTTACATGCATCGCCGAGGTGACCCCGGTGAGATCCAGTCAGAAGAAAAGACATCGGGTACATAAGACGTCCGAGAGACATGTCTCTATTTCAGTAGAGAACGATACCAGCCTGGAAGAGATACTGCAGTTTCCAGATGAGCCGGAATCGGTACCTGAATCCAGAGATTTGCCTACTCGCATCAAGTCAATTATGCTAGCCAGTACAAGGATGAATTCTGAAAGTGTCGAGCATAATTTTACCAAACTGGTATCCCAGACGGTTAGCGGTGATTTCAGTTCGTCATTGGAAGAGTCGTTCGATTTTCCAGAGTTGAGCAGCCCTCCCAACCATCCTCTGCATGGGTTTTCCCCCAAGAGCCCTCCTCAGAGGGTGGTGCCGAAGCTCAAGATGGTAAAGTTGTCACAAAAGCAGAGGAAGAAGTTGTCTTCTGAAAGTCATAGTGAGATTGTAGCTCAGAGTCCTCCAGTTTCAAGTGAGTGTATTTTTTGACACAGATTAATGTCCAAAGAATAGGGATATGCCATACAGTGTCTCACTAATGATGGAAGCACCCCAGTATCTTAGAGGACTAACATTTTCAGTCTCACCAGTCGGTGCTATTGTCAAAATCCCGCAAATTTTGCTGGATGGACTGAAGGCTAAGACCTGTATTTCTATTGATGTGCAGAAAAAGTGGCATGTCCTTTGTTCTGAGTAAAATAATACAAAAGCTTATGATCAGGCTCTGGCAAGCTTAGAATTTTTACTTCCAATGTGTAACTTCACGCGCAACGTTTTCATTGACTGAGAAGAATATTATCCTGAAGTAGTAGAGGCTAATTGAAACAAAAGAAGAAGTGTATGTCTTCCAAGCCCTCACGTTGTCACAGAAGCGCGATCTGGTGGAAAATCACCACTTGCATAACGTTGTCATTCATGATATCGACTGATGACTTTCATTTCGGTTGAGCTGAGTTGTGACAGTCGATCGGGGCAATCCACAAGATTGTGTGTAAGCTTGTAAATAAATAAACATGAGCAATAATTTCTTCGGTCTTGCAGAGAGAGAAACGAAAATCTACTCAGCAGTGAAGAGTTATCTATACCCTGTTCAGGTATATCCCATCAATTTTGAATGCAACATATTTCATGAATAATCTCTGTACTGACGACTCTAGACTGCGACTATATGTTGAATATATAGAAGACCAGTTTTGTCAAGTCGGTAGTCAACATTCATTATTGAATTAGAAATCTGAAATTCGCAGGGGCGAGAAAGCTACGGAAGATAGACTCAATGACCATATAATATATGATATGATCATCAGTGATACACACTGCTGGTCAGTAGCCGTGGAACATTGACGTATAAAAAAGAGGAATCAATTTCCGAAAAATTATATTGGGAGGCAAAACAGTTTGACAATCTCTTTGGATTTAGAATCAGTACATTAATCCTACGGAAGTGGCGCCCTATTTGTTGAAACGAAAGGTGGCGCCGGGTCTCACAAACTTTTCGAAGAAGTGAAAATTCCAAATATTTTGGCTGATGAATAAAGATGAGAGATGATTCAAAATAAGCTTTTTATTGTGCAACGGAACGTATTACTCAAAATAATCATCGGATTCGTTAAAAAAACTAATTTGTGTAATTATGCTGATATCGATTAATTTCACTGCCACAAGAAAAAATCAAAAAGTTAAAAAATTCCACGTACAGAAATCGATAAACATATAATGAAATCTCATCATTCAGTGATTTTTCAGTGAATTGAGGCTAGCTGGGCACCAAGCTCTGAAGTGAGAAAGGCGTTAATTTTTTTTACACTTTTCACAGTAAAATACGGTTATCGAGTCTCATGTGCAAAAAAAAAACCTCTTTCGTGATCCTAGAAAAACTTGGTTGGTTGGTGGTGGTCCTGGTGCATCAATATCACCAAAAGAATATAGTTTCACCTTCTCATCCAGTAAACAACGTTGTATATATTCATTCATCAAAATCGATAGTTCACATATACAGGGTGTAACTGAATAAGTGTAAAACATTTAAGGAGGTGATTCCTCATCGAAAAAAAGATAGGATCTTTCATATAAAGAAACTTCATTGGAGCATCCCTTGTTAAGATACAGCCCCTTAAAGGGGGTACATAAAATTTGTATAACAATTTTTTTCACAAGCACTGAAAAAGTTACAATATTGAAATTAACCTGACAGCGTCATACCAATTTAATTGTCACTATCGCTAATAGCGACCTACTAGATAGATTAGTTTCGTATTTTCGCATTTATGACGATGTATCTCTGTAGTTGTTCGTAAAATAATGTTTTGCTGCTTACTGGTTTATTTTGGGCAAAAAACCCAAAAGACATTTTTTGTTTAGAATGAAACAGGCTATCGGAAATAAATTTTTAAATGGTAAACAAATAATAAGACAAAAAGTTACATTGGAAATAAATTTTAGGGGTTGCGTTTTTCACCCCTTACAACCATGGGGTAAACCAAATAAATTACTGGCTAAGTGTCTTTTTGGTAGTACAAAACGTCAGGTTAATTTCAATATTGTAACTTTTTCAGTGTTTGTGAAAAAAATTGTTATACAAATTTTATGTACCCCCTTTAAGGGGCTGTATCTTAACAAGGGATGCTCCAATGAAGTTTCTTTATATGAAAGATCCTATCTTTTTTTCGATGAGGAATCATCTCCTTAAATGTTTTACACTTATTCAGTTACACCCTGTATTATGATGCAATCTCACTTGTTTCCTCTCGTAACTCATTTCTAGGAATTTCAACATTGAAAACCAACTGATAATCTTCCATGATAAGAAATAACTCACGCAATTGATAACAAATGCCGTCCACTATCACTAACAAAAAAATATCATCAAAGGTGACGCCTAGTCTATCAGACTTTTTGTCCAATATATCCCTTGGAACGACACATACACATCCCCAACCTTACGTAGAGATACTAGTGACCAAAATATGAAGGTACCTAGGAATACGAAGATTTGAATTTGATCGTCGACAATTGAAGAATGATTATAGATGCGTCGGGTCTCTCAGACTTGGCGCCACTTCTGGAGGGTTAAATTTATTGTAAGTGTATAAGTAATGTAATATATGTGTTGAGGCAAATTTCCAGACCTGAAAAGAAAATACAGGAGTGCTTCCAACAGACTGTATAGTGTATAGTCCTGTTTCCTGTTCTGGAAATATATTCATTCATGATTTTTTTTTATATCATGGTGGAACCATCGATTATGTCGTTTTATTCATTGGGAATTTGGAAAAGCTTGACCATATATTCACAGAATTTTGTCAACTGACATACATATACATTTCAATCATCTCAAACTGATATTATTCAAGAAATATTTTTTCCATTTAAAATTTTTGTAGCTCCGCCAAAAAATCCATGGAAACCAATTCCAGATGTGACTGGTCCATTGTTGAAAGTGGATGCAGAACGTAATATAGGCGACATCATATTAGATGAAAAGAAGCAAAAGGAGAATTTGATTAAACTCAAGAGTAAACCACTCGTTTGTACTCAGGTAAGTTCAAAAATATCTGAAATACCCCTTCACCAAATTACATGAAATTCTTTGTGATTTCTTTTGCAGATTGAAGATAAAGCCATAGATGACTTGCATAAGTTTTACAACACTGAAAATGTGTTGGACGAAGTTATCATCATTGAAAGAGTCAACTCTGGGGCCATTGCTTCTCCTGTATGGGTGCCCAGGGCCAAACAGATATGTTGAAAGTGTTTTTGTGATGTTTTTTAATCATAAGTTTAATTTGTATATAGGATTTTAAATTTATTTTGTGTTAAAGTTTTATTTTATTAAATTTTTTATAAAACCTAGTTTTTTAATACATGGAAATCTATAACTTGTGACAACATTAGAATTAGTATTTTTACCTATACAGGGTTGCTTGATAATATGTAAACGTTGAAATTCGAGAATTTGTCTTGTTTATCTCAAAAAAATCCTCATGGTGATGACAATATGATAAATTTTTGAAAATTATATATTGTCACTAGTGTTGGCACAGTTTATGTTCTTCTGATTCATATTAAATGAGGCAACCCATATATTATTTCATATTATTCCTATTGACAATTCTCAACAGAACAGGGATATGTTCAATGTATAAGATGAAATAAAAAAAACAAACATTATAGCAACAATTGCTATGTAATTTTTATCAATTTTACATATTTTGTAACTATACCCTGTAAACCTTTCCAGAGAAATCTGATAAGCTCTAGAAATATTTCCAAAAATTTCTATTTTTTTCAGTGACCCTGTATAAAATTATGTTACTGTGATAAATAATCAATTTGGTTTTTCCACTACTATGTCTGAAATACACCAGTTTTTCTCAATTATAAAATTCATTTTTGGAAATTGTATATAAACCACAGCAGTAGAGAGTATAGAGACAGGTTAACAAACCTTCTAGAGACTATTCTCATACTTAATCCAGCTATAGGCTTGTACACATTGTATGACGAATTATCATACCTTTAATGTAGTAACTTCTATTATAGCTCAATGATTTTGTCAATCAGGTTAAGTAATCTAATTCATGAGGGTGTCTTATTATTGCCTATACCCTCATGATCATCTGACCTTTCACATTCTGAATGTGTTTCCAACATTAGTTCAAGGCTATAAGATTACTTTGATTCATAAAAAATCATCTTCAATCAACCTTCTTACAATAGTTTCAATAAAAGTCATGCATCAGTCTGATGGTCTGGGAAAAGGATATTTTGAATAATGAATGGAATGGGGAATTACAGCTAGTTCAGTTCATAGTAATAATATGTTGCTTCAGGAACTGACTTAACAGTTCAAATTGTTGGCATCATCATCTCATTACATGATTGTAATCTAATATGCATTTCTCATCATTTTTTTTATATTATAAACTGTTACAGGAAAATGTTATAACAATTTGGCAACACAGGACAGAAACATTGTTGGATTTCTACCACATCCATTGGTTGAAATGTGTGGGCTAGCCCATCACAGACCAATGATCATTGATAAATCACTTCAGTTCACAGTTGCCAAACTGCTTTTTGTCATGTATTTTGTGGTTGCACTTTCAGCAGGTAGGTAAATACAAGACTGTGCAAGATTAAAAAAAAAACGGTTAATTCAGATTTCCTTTCAATTAATAGTTTGATTCTTGTTGAAGTTGAGAAATAAGTAAATTTACACTGAGACTCAGAGACACCTACTTTTCTATATTACCTGTTGGAGAAATTTTCAGACATATCATTGTAAAAAAACAGCTAGGCTCTATAGAGGGTGACCTAGGTATGAATAAGTAGGTAAAAGGACTCTGATGATTTTACCTACCTATATATGGATAATTTTATAAAATCTGACCTTGATACATCCTGGTGTGTGTGTTCTACAGTTTTTATCCCCATCAATACACATAAATGAAGTTGCTTAATCTACTCCATCCTGTTCCTATTCCTTTTTCTGCTACTGTTTCAAATCACCTTGAACTGTGACTTTCTCAGTTACCTGTGGTACCTATGTGTGATGTGGTATACCCTCAGATGGTATAACCTACCAAAAATAATAGCATTTAGTATTTTTTAGTATCTTCTATCTCAATGCCTATCTCCAAAATTATAGTATCAACCAATCACTGCAAAAATGATGAAATCATTAAATGGAAAATGAAATACTAAAGTCTGATGACATATGTATACCTACTGAAAGACTGGAACTGGTGAATATTTTTCAAAAATGAAGGAAAAGATTTCTAGTTTACAATGTAAGTTATCATAGCTACCTATATTCGAGATTCTTACCAATGACATGTTATGTAAACATAAAACATCCGTAATTAACTTCTTCAATAGTTGTTCGTTCAACTAATTGTACATTTATTTATGATTGATATTCTTATAGATTTTTCAAATTCAAACTGCAAACTACTGACACTAGTGACATGCACTACACTATGCAGTATGCACTGTACCCTGTACCGCCAAAATAAATGCGAAACGAGAAACCTAAAGATGACGATGCTCTTCTTTTGTTTTGATAAACGTGGGTAACTTGACCCTTTGCCACAATGATCTCCTGTCAACTATTCATCAATCTTGCCATCGTTGCCCTGCCCTTTATTGAATCAAATTCCTGGGAAAACTCCTACCCATTCATCTCTTATCAGTCTTATTGATAACGACCACGACTGGCACGACTACGAAATTTGATGAAAACCCTTATGAAAGAATACTTCATCATACTCATATATACTCATCATATAGTTTCTCAGTTTTGGAATTTGGAATTGGTGATGGTTTCCACAATCAAATATCAAATGGAGCGATTGAGCAAACTGGATTTTCCGTCATCAATGTCATCATTCATCACCCCATATATAATGATAAAAAATATCATTATCGATTTATCGCACAAGTGTATACTAAAAAATACTGGGTCCCCCTATTTGTCACGAGTAACTTGCAACACTGTAAGAATCTCACTTAACCAAACATTTTGTTCGTTTCAGTTTGTTTTTGTTCTACTTGTCATTTGTTTTCATGCAGGGTTTGTGTTAAAATGTTCAGTGACTTGGTTTTTTACAATTTTTTTTGTAAGTTTGGATTGAATTATTGAAAAATCAATTAACGTACATAAAATACTTACGGGTTGAAACGAAACATCCTTGTCTTTATAATGGACCAAATTAAATTCATCCATACGATCGTTGTCTAGTTTTTTTTTCATACACATTTAAAACAAAAAAAAATAGAATAATATTCTAAGTGTTTTTTTTATACCTATAAAGATAATTTCGTGGTGTTATGTGACAATGAGCATATATCGCGGAAGAAATAGAAGGGAAATCTATTTATCATCCCTCCTATATGATTCCATAGACGACAACAATTTTGGGTAAGAGACAATTTTTTTATTATTACCTTTTTAGCCTTTACCTACCACTATACAAAAATCTTGTATACAGGGTGGTCCGGTTTGTGATACAAAAAATTCAACAGTGTGTTGTACTCCTTGAAATAATAACAAAAGTTCTTATGAACATATACTTTTAAAGGCATTGTTTTCCAGATAAAGGGTGTTGAAAATAGGAGTCTGAATATTGTGCTTTGATGAAAAGTTCGAAATGGTTTGGGATAATTCCGAGATAAAACAACAAAATTTTTTACAGATACAGAACTTTTTTCGCTCTATAAGATGAAACAGTGATCATAGCACTAATGTTTTAATTACAATCAAATATTCAACTAAAAATATTATGATATTTCTGAACCGATTCAACTCGAAAACGGCGATACACATCAGAAATTCACAAGAGAGCTTTTTCACACAGAGACCTCTGTTTTTTCTGATATTGAACTACAAATTGAGAAAGAAATGCACATATAAAAATTGTGGGTAATTTTGCACTTATCATGCGATGGGTTTTTTTCGAAAATTTTTTTTGGTACATACGTATTTTTGTCTGAAAAACACGAATTTGATAAAAAAAATGTGAACAAACCATTATTCATTAAGATATTTCACTATAAAGTTACAAATTTCACCTTCTTTTTCCGCCTGTCCTCTGGATCGCATTTAGAACAATTTGCCCTTCTTTTTCCATCACTGGACAATTTATATATCACACAATATTGGACACATTTTTTTTTATTATATGAGTCAACTAGAAATATGATTTTCTTGTGATTTAACCATGTTTAGTGCAAAGAAGGAAGAATATCATTTGAAATAATGGCAAAAGTAATCTATTGACATTTGACATCTCGTATTTGGATTGCCTATGGATTAAATGACCGTCATCTGGTATGCTTGCTCACTAAATAGGAAAAACTCGCCAAAAAAATCATATTTCCTGTTGAATTTTCTGCCTTGAAATGTGTCATTGGGGTACATCATGAGTATATAAAGTGTCCAATGACAAAATAAAAAGAGCAAGTACCTACCTGTAAATGCATCCAACACAAGGGGGAAAAGAAGTCAAAATTTCGAACTTTTTCTTGAAAAATCTCGATTAATAGTGGTTTGTTCACATTTTCATTATCAAATTCGTGTTTTTCAGACAAAAATACGTAAGTAACAAAAAAAATTTTCGAAAAAAAAAATACATCGCATGATAAGTGCAAAATTACCAAATTGGGGTTCTTTTTTTTCTTCACCACCCCCAGATTCAGCCGCCACTGAATTATTTCGTGGAATTATTTTTATTACATCATATAGAGCATAAAACGTTTAGTATCTATGAGAAATTTTGTTGATTTATCTCAAACCGTTTTGGAAATTTTCAACAAAAATCAATAACCAGACTCATACTTTCAACACCCTATATCTCGAAAAAGACGTGTTTAAAAGTACATATATGTTTATGTAAACTTTTTTATTATTTCAACAAGTCCAGCACACTGTTGAATTTTCTATAATACAAACCAGACCACCCTATATAATTGCTCATATATTTTTTCCACCACTATAAAACCTTACCATTAGTTGGTATTTGATTTTTTCCGATTTTTTCACTCTACTTGGATCATGAGAAAAGAATCATGTTGAAATCTCAGTCCTTAAACATGTTTTTGGTGCGAGTTTTGGCGATTTCCGGAATGATTAAATTAACATTTCCGAGACCTGACCTTTCATGGTAACCTACTGGTAACCCGAGTGGTAACCTAGATGTTGGCAGAGTATTTTTGTATTTTTCATTCACTAATATTGATATATTCAAATAATTGATCAAAATTCAAACTATAAGTTGTACTAAACTTACCTGTAGGGTAAGGTGATACACGGGTTTTCTAAGCAGCCCATGTGTCAAAAATGTAAGAACTATTTCACAAAACATGGGACAAGACATGTAAAAAGTCCATGATGGGTCTTGGGATGCATAAAAATAAAAAAGCGATTCTCGAATTTACAGCTCGTTGGTGCCTTGAAGATGGACTTCTGTCCAAATATGATACAATAATGGAAGAAGATTTTCAAATTTTATTCATATCAAGATTTATAAAAGCTTGTGTGAATATTATCATAAATTTTCTAGATTCCAAAATTTGGTTAGCATGACTTGAAACACTTATTGAAGGTTACATATATCTCAATAAAGGGTTTTCTCCAGGGTTTTCCCTGTGGGGTTTCCGGATCCTGCGATTTCCTTGAAATAGACAAATTGTTGATGATCCTATCAGCTTATTCGTTGAGTGCATTCAGTAGACTATTGCACACTTTTTGACCTCATCCTGGATATCATTCACTAGGAAGTAATCTCGGAAGTAATTATCCAAACGTCTTCTGGAAACAACCCTGTTTGACCCCGTCATAATCTTCTAAAATGATTTTTCGATCATACTATACTCATTGGGTTTCTGTCATGGGTATTTAAAATCCTGGTCGTCAATATATTATGTTGAATGATATGCACGAGTATATGCAAAATAGGAGAATTATCATTTTCTAATCTTGTCATGTAACTTGACGCTCTTCAAAACTGACGGAAGACCAGTTGCGTAAAATGAAATATTACATAACTTGTGATGAAATATTCATTTCAACATCAGTTCTGCAATGAAAATATCTCGGAAAATATGGATAGACTAGGAGAATAGTGCATTTTGTGCTGCTTCCTTGATATCATTTGGGAAATCTGAACTTGGATCAGTTATTTTAGAAGTGCCTAAATCTTTCGAACCATTCCCATCAGGTGATATGTTGAGTTTCGTGTTTTTTTATGATTTTATGCAATTCAATGTGGAGGCTGAATTCGGTCAGGGAATTTTATTCTGGTCCACTATTAACATGGCGTCAGCCCACTGTGATCATTTGTGTAGTGGTTTAGCCTTTCAAGAATGGTTTTCCTTCCTTTCAAAACCCGGAGGAGTAGTTTATCTATGCGTTTCGTTGATAATAAAAGTTTTTGTGTGACGGGAAAAAAGTTTGAAATTTTATCTCAGTTGACAGGTTATAAAATGTCGCTTTTCATAAAATCACTTTTTTCCCGGATATAATCACATGATGTCTTTTGTTATGCCTTAGTTCCTAAAAATAAGTCAATAACACCGTCCCCGTCTTCCATTCGACTTCGTGGTTATGTAAATTACTTAACAACCACTAAATTCGCAATTTTTTAAAATCAAATCACAGAATTAGGATGACAGATTATTTCAAAAGAATGATAAAGATGCCTGCAAAAAGATGGCAGCAGCTGCATCGCAGGTGTCATTACTGTTGAAAACTTCAAATTTCACGTCGATGATTATCTGACTTTAATATTATAATGTTATATATTTTTTTAGTGAAAAACTATAATTTGAAATAGTTTTTATTCACTTCAACGCGCGCTACTGCGGTAAAGTATATCATTACGAAACTGAAATCAGTGTCGTAATGTTTCACATTCCATATTGGTATATATATATTTTCTTTAATTTTTCAATTCACAAATTACATTGAATTGTTTCAACTTTTCCATCAAATGTTTCGAATTCTTCTACGGCGTTTGCCTTTTTAACATCAATACAAGTATGATTAGGAAAGGGACATAGGCGTAGGTGAAAATAAAAATGTATATGTTTATGTAATCATGAAAATAATTTTGCCAAGACTAGGATATCTCTCGGAAAGTCTATCACACATTTTTATTATTTCAGTCAGGTCAATCCAACCTCTCCTTACTGTATTTTCCTCCACTAAAAGCTTGACTAAAAGATACAATTCACTGAAACAACAAGATTATGATAAAGATCTCTCGAAAGATCTATAAACTATGCCCTATTTATATCTATTCTTGCTATATTCTGAAGAATAATCTAGAGGTCATTGAAGTGAATGAGATATCATAAATTGTTTAGGAATCATGTCTACAGATTTTCAAAACGATGGTAAATTGATAAGCAGTGCGTAATGCACTTCTGACTGATAAAGCGAATCCTCAGTAATTGTGAAATCACAAGATCAAAGTAAATCATGAAAGAATCTCAGTAATATACGCGTTGACCGATTTAATTGAATTGAAAATTGAAAAATGCAGTAGGTACTTCGATGATTCGATCATGTTGAGATATTTGAATTATTTCAATTTTCGAATCCTGTCAAACCTACAATGTTGTAAGTAGTAAGAGACAAACACAAAATCCTCTCCACAACGTTTAATTTCCTAAAAGGGATTAGGGCAACATGTTTCGAACATCAATAGTGTCCATCATCAACCGAAAGGTATAAATTATCCTACGACAGAAGATACAATATGCTAGGTATATCAAAGAACATATCAGACATACTTACATGGGGATGAAAAATTATTTTTTAGTTTATATATTATCTCATTTTAAAAACAAACAAAATTTTAGATGGCCTTTGTCTTCGAGCTGTGCAATTGTCATAAAATTATCTCGTCTATTATCAATGACTATTTCACTCATCACATAATCTGACCAATCACATCAAGCCAGAGACAATGTGTGCTTATCGCTAAAACAGGAGCTGTCTCTCAATTCTGATTGGTCTGACAGCATTCATTATTTCAATGATCAAACCATAGATAGCAAATCGAAGTCTGGATATAACCATGGATAACGAAGCAAAGTCTGTCAGTTTGGCATAAAATAATTATGGCTGTACTTGTCAGAATGAGTATGATGAAACCAAGGATTCATTCAATCATGAGAATAGCCTAGCATTAAGTTGCACTGTTTTTTTTTTCATTTTAGCAAATTGTATCCTTACCAGTATGTTTATCAATTTCAGCATGATCAATCATGTTATTTGATTTTTACGAATTCATAATTATTATTACGACTCTCTTATATCCTGAAACCAAAACAAAAATATTTCTAATTATTTCAATATATCGCAATGTTTCTCTAAGCAAGATCACATGTAGTGTGTGATCACATGAGTATTTTTCAATCGAATATGCCTATAATTATTATTATCGAATACATTTGTTTTTTCGTGAATAAATTCGGTATCCTCGACGGTATTTGTCGGCGCCATTAGTATTTTTCAAAATATGAACATGAATAATAGTAATTAATGGTTGATTATCAAGTCATTGATCTGTGAAGAAGATAAATGTTATCATTACGCGCTTTTTTGAATAATAATTGTTTTCTTGCTGTCTGAAGTTTTCACCCATTTTTCACCCAAAAGATGAAAATTCAGCTTGATTTTTTTATGCATTGCTAGACAACAGCATGTCAGCTTGATTGACAACGTCAAAATTTGGTAGATATACAGTCTGTCCAAGATAAGGTTGCACAGCATGGGAATCTCGGAAACGGTAGGAGATACGAAGTTGGTTAAAAGGGGCAAAAGTTGCGCATTCGGAGGCTCAGACCAGGGCCTACTCTAAAGGCCCTGCTCAGATCAACTGGCTTCGAAAATTCTCGAAATTGTTTTTAGTTTTTCGGTTATATTGAAAAAAATTAATTTTTGGAATACATATCTATTTTTATTTCTCCATTATTATTAGAGATACAGGAAAACTGAAGATACTTTTTCATAGCAACTTTTGATGGCGTTCAACGTGGTGAGACCGATTTTTTTACGCGACGTTTCGTATTCGTAGAACCATCATCAACTTTTGTTTTTTAAATATGGTCCTGATAATTTTTTCACAGATTCTGAAAGCTTTTTTATTTTGAATTTAACCATGTATTATACAAGGTGGTTCGTATGTGTTTCGACCTATTTTTCGGCCATCATCAATGATTTTTCCAAATTGCAAAGGAAAAATGCATGTAGTGTAATTATTCACGCCGCAGGCCATAAACGCCTACTTTACGCTCTTGATACATTAACTATTATAAACGATTTTCATTTGAGTATCCAACTTCCTTAAATTCCCGTCAAACCATTTAGAAAAAGAAGACACCTTATATTGTTTTAAAGGGATAAATTGTCTTATTGCCAAATACAAAATTTGCTTGAGTGATTCAACAGCTGTATTAATGCATTCATTTGTTTTTGTAGTGCAATTAAATCTTTGTGCGAAAAGGGCGCTGACCCAAACGTCATTCTTCCCAGAAAAGGAATTTCTCCGTTCCATCTTGCTGTAGGATGTGATTCTGACGACTTTTCTGCCCGAGTGACTTGCCTCATTTTGCAACATGGTGGAAACCCCAATATTCGGTAAGTAAAAATTAGTTGTATAAGTGGGTAGATATGACAAGGTTAGTTTGTGATAATTTAGAAATAACTTGTCAAATACCCAGAAGTCATTGTAATACGAGTTATAATGATATTTTAGTGGATGCTCCAGGTTGATATTCTTCCAAGAATAAATCAACTTCGGATTCATTTTAACTGTTGCGTTCAAATTAATAGTACTCCTTATTATGTGGTGTATCAAGGTCTGGTGGTGTATGTAGTTAGTAACAATCAGAGTCACTGGAAGGTCCATCCAGTGACTCTAGTAACAATAAGGCCTACACCTCGGCCTACACATTACACACAATTGAGGACCTCAGTCTAGATCAATTTTTAGTTGGTATTTACACTCCATTTACACTCATACCAACAAGTTACACTAACAATTCCATTGGCATTTACACTTTCATTTCCATCGAGGGAATAAGGGTTGGTTTTATTATTTTTTTACGTTTCTGAAAATTAATTGAAACCACATGAGAGTTCAAATAATTCTACAGATCATTTCTCAAACTGATTACTAGGAGACAATGAAGAAATTCAAACAGCGTTGACAGTGAACATGTCTTCCCTTTTTGACTGTTCCAACGTAAATTGATAAACATTTTATTTTGATAACAATAAAAATTAGAAGAAATTGAGAAAAGGACCATTCTAACCTTTTTATTGAATTTAAGTTGTCATCAACATAACATTTTCATTATTTTTGAGTTGGAACTCTGGAGACAAGGACAGAAGAGGAAGACATATATTTCTTGTCTGTCAAAGCTTTCTGAATTTCTCTTCAAGTTTATAGCATATACGTATTAATAGACAATACGGATCATAACGGGTGCCAGGCATATACGTATTAATAATCAATACGGATAATCTCTATCTGTTTCCATAGCGAAATATGAAGCCGATTTTTGAAGATAAATGACTATCCATAAGGAAACCTTTTGAAACGATCAGACACATACTGCTTTGATTGAAAGGCTAGTAAACGTCATTGTCCACCGAAACGCATGTCTTTGATGACTACTATAATAGCGCATGGCGCATGCGTATATGCCACCAAATCCTTATGGATATTCATTTGTTTCATATTTTTGGCTTCATCCTGGCACCCGTTATGATCCGTATTGTTTATTAATACGTATATGGTGCCAGGATGAAGCCAAAAATATGAAACAAATGAATAACCATAAGGATTTGGTGGCATGATACGCATGCGCCATGCGCTATTATAGTAGTCATCAAAGACATGTGTTTCGGTGGACAATGACGTTTACTAGCCTTTCAATCAAAGCAGTATGTGTCTGATCGTTTCAAAACTTTTCCTTATGGATAGTCATTTGTCTTCGAAAATCGGCTTCATGTTTCGCTATGGAAACAGATAGAGATTATCCGTATTGATTATTACTACGTATATGGTTTATAGCCACTAGAGTCCTCGTTTCTATTGCCTAGCAATGAGCTTTCAAAGGTCTGTCAAATGTCATTCTCACTCTTGTGGTATTACTACATACAGTGAGGACCAAATGTCCGTCTCCCCCATTCCTAATTTGTTTAGTTTCATTATTTTCAATGTTCGTCGTGGCATATAGCCAGAAAAGTAGTTGTTTTCTGTTGAATACACCGAGAAAGAATTGATATTTTCATCACATAGATAATGCGAATTCTCAATGTATTTCTTTATATATACATCCATTTTTGTATGTTCATAATTTTATCTGAGAATATTCCTTTTCAATTGTTTAGTTTACATTACGAAAAGGGATCAAAGCTTTCTGCAAACTTGTTCAAAATTTAACAATGAAATAATGCTGTCTGTAGGTTAATAATGAATGAAATAATGATTTAAAAAATGAATTTCTAAGTCACTGCGCTTTTTTGAGACACTCTGTATAAATGAAACTTGAACCATTGAATGGATCGAATGAAACCTTACTACTACTTATTCTTGCTAAATTTTTTCGTTACAAATCAAACAAAGAAGTTACGATGGTGGTGACGGACTTTTGGTCCTCACTGTATAATGAATCATTAGAAAAACATTTGATTGAATACCTTGAAGACTTACAGGAAATATCATCAAAATCGTGACTTAGTGGAAGTGAAAACGCTGTAAGCGGCGCTCACAACCAAACTTTTTACGTTTTGCTTTTTACGTTTCGTATTCTAATTGGTGAATCAAAATCTGGAATCATCATTTTGATTCCAGATTTTGAATGTTTTCAGCTTTTTGCGTTGCAGGCCGTAAAATTGTACGTATAGACAAATACTCAATACTTAATAATAATATATGACACTGAAAAGTGTCAAACTATAAGCAGCACAACTTTCGAAGAAAAATATTTTGCATTTTCATGTTGAGAACGGGAGCAGATTCGGTCCCGAAACGTCCAAATATAAGTAAAATTCGATATTTTTTCACTGTCACTGACAAGCTACTGGATTTTTCTTTAAGACTCCCTGATAGAAAAATTTGTTAAACGCAGTGACATTTAGGGGCAGGAGAGAAAATTCCAAAGAATCAAGTAAAATTTAAAAAGTTTGGTTGTGAACGCCGCTTTATTGTGTCTCATGAAAATGCATTCAGAGACCGTTGGCTCGGTTCGGTCGTACAAAAGTTCAGTAGTTCACTACATTGAAAGATTGTGTTGAAGAAGTAATTAATCAATACAAAAATAAATCCTTATTATTTATAAATTGATGTGTTAAAAATGCAATTATGATTATTTAATCAAATCGCCACACGATTCTCGTAAATACCATCACATAGAACTGGTAGTAACCGGTTCCATATATTATTATATTGATCAATTTCAATCGCTCTCAAGCTTATCTATAATTATTCTAGGGAACATCTGAACAATGACACAGATCATAGATTCACGATTCACAACTTTTTTATCAGCTGTAGTGGATGTTATTGTATTTTGTTCTCATTCAAACAACAGTTATTACATAATTTGTGTGGAAAGTGAAATGCACTTTCCAACGAGTTTTGCACACTATTTTTCGTATGATCATATACATGAATGTGAATGTTCCTCCCTACTGATTTTTGAACCATGTGGTATATTGCAACGAAATTTGCCCAAATAGGAGATGAAAACCTACTTTTGTATGGAAAAATTACAGCTTAAAGTTTGAAAATGGTGGTTAGCCATAGTCTTGAATTATTTTTTCCAATGAAACACCCCGTATATTATTCCATTTTCGAAATTTTCTCATAATTCTTGATATAGATTTATCTCATACACTTTACTCCAAAAGTCAATATAGTTTTCGAAGTATCAACGTTTAAAAAGTGTTATTTTGGTCATATCAAACCCACGATGTGCTTTGAACATTATAGGGATTTCCTTTCATGCGCTCCAAGCGATAAAAAAAACAGAAACTTTTCAATAAAGTTTGCTTGGGAACAAATCAAGATGTAAGACCGCGACAACGATTTTTGAACATTCAATTAATTTTCAAACGTTCTTCCTGATCCTGAATTCCTATCACTTCCTATCCCACTCCTGAACTGAAACGCAAGTTTGTTCAAATTGAATAGTCCTTTTTTTTCCAATTCCTACTCAATTTTGACCATGCCGAATATAATGGTAGATATATGTATGATGCTATTGAACTCAAATTAGAACATCGAATTTCCACCGAAACTTGTAAATTCAATGCGTGTTGAAGACCCGTTAACTAGCATTTTTTAAAGTAGTGTTTTCATGTGTGAATATGGATGCAAAAAATTCAAGTCACAACGGATTGAAAATGGTTTTGTTTGACTTGCATATTTCGCTTTTACTTGCCAAATCATTTCTGTTCTAAATAAAAACCTAGTTAGTAGTACATTTTCAGTGAGCTAGTGACCTCTATTTGAACTAAGTTTGTTATCCTAACACTAGAAAATTTTCAATTTACTGTCAAGATCCACTTTTCTGTCACGTTGATAATCAGAAATCTCCCATGTCTGAACATTTCAAGTGCTTACACAAATAAGGAAATCAGGATGCATTAAGAAGAAACTGTTGTTTATGCAATGATAATATTATCTATTCATTGATGTTATTCGAATTTGAGTGGTAACTGGAAACCCATCAGTTCTATGATAAAAAATCATTGTTCACACTGTATCGAAAGGCAAAGAATAGATAGGTAATAACTGCTTATTTCATTTTATATTCTTAATATAAAAATCAATAACTTATTACATTATCTCTATTCCTGGAATATCAATTCATTATTTTTTTTTGCAATTGCATTACCTCGTTGGTCCCAGCACTGGGACCAAACGCCCAATAATTCGAAACTTGTGCGGGGTTAGGTAAGCATACATACACAAACATCCATGGCCTAACTAGGATTCGAACCTATGTCTCGGTATCATAAATAAAACCTATGTGCCTCAAGAAGAAACTCTTACCTTATGTTGTTGAAAATCATTCCATGTTGCCTCAAATTTACGTCATCTGTGAAAAAGTGTAGAAGTGCAGAATTGAACACCAAAATCAAACAAACAACAAACTAACAATGAATCAAATCAAATCCGTAATTTATCTGATGTGACGCTTTGACAACCTAAAATTTTCCATTTTGACAAATATCCTAATGAAACAAATGAGCTCTCGATGTTATAAGTGAACTAGCGTCATTGACAGGCAGACAAATTTTAGATCGCCTACCAACTAGGTTTTCAATATTTTCAGAATGAAAATGGCCTACCATTTCATACATCATCATTATTAATCGTCGATAAATAACTTCCAGGACGTAATACATTTTTTTACAATATAACTTCTAGCTCTGACGACGGATTGACTCCTGTCCATATAGCTTCAGCATGGGGCCGGCTAGTAGTCCTGCAGCTGCTTTTGAGCTGCGGAGGTGACCCTGAAGCGCGAGACAGCAACCACTTCACTCCTATCTACTATGCCAGGAAAGAGAACTTCGTCGATTGTCTCGAGCTGCTCAAATCTTACCTGCCCGATAACAGTCACTTGTTGAAGAGAGAGAAAAAAGACGTCGAATGTAATTTGAAATTAGGTAAGGTTGAACATCAGTTCGTCCGTCCATCGTTAATTCTTGAGAAAGCCATTAATCTGTGGAATTTTAGTTTTTTATAATTATTATAAACCCTGCCTATAGGGATGAAATATAAAAATATATTGAGAATGAGTAACCTAAAATACGGTCACATATTTTTTTTTATCGCTTGGAGCGCACGAAAGGGAATCCCTATAATGTTCAAGTAGGAGTTGGAGGAAAACTTTATATGCAAAATAAATAACTACATCAAACTGCATGTTTTGCTCTTGTAAGCATCATGCAAGATTGATTTATTCAAATAAGATCTAATAATAGGCAAGTGGGTTGATTTTTTTCATTTTATAAATAGAATCATTAGTCAATCACCTTTCAATTCCATATATTTTTTATATATTTTCGGTCGATTATGAGGTGCTTAAATCATCGATATTGCCATGGTAATTCTCAAACGGCTAGAAATGAATCTCGAATGAAAACAGACATCACGATTTCCTATTATGTCAAATGGAATATTTAATTTGGAAATAGTTTTATTCAACAACAGGACGCCACCATGTATCGAACCGATCCCAGAACATGGCCAAATGGCGGCATGACGGCACGTTTGAAATGAGTTCTGAAATTCAACAATTTTGAACAACACATTGACACCATAAAATTCAGGTTCCTAATGATACAGTGGAGTAATTGAATGCCAATTATTCACAATCCAATGGCCCATCAATATCACTCATCTTGTTTATTTGAGAATTCAAGTTGTTTGTTGAAAATGCCAGTCAATTAAATTATTTGAACAAAAGTAATTGGGGGTCAGTGTACATATTTGTAATCATCAATCAGTGCTTTTATGAATGAAATAATTGGTTGTAAAATTAGGATCTCTCGTTTATGATGCATTATTCATATGCTAAATCAGATTTCATTTTGTTTACTCATGATATAGTGAGGAAATTAATTGGTGAAAATTGGAATAATACTTTGTTGAAAAAGGTTCACCCCTCTAAAATTTGTATTTTCCATTCGGTTTTGACGAACTTATTTTGAATTGAAGGGCCTGGAAAACAATACTCCAGATACTAGAAATTGTCAGTTTGTTCTAGACTACAGTTTTTCATGCTCTTCAATTCAAAAAAGTTTGTCAAAATCAGACGAAAAATACAAATGTTAGAAAGGTGTCCCGTTTTCAAGTGGTTTACACAATTATCATGTTACATTTGAATCATTGCTCACAATATTCATTTGTTGCTATGTGAGATTGAAATAAATTTGAAATTTGGAATTTTTTTCAACATTTTCGTCAAGTGGATTTCCCAATTCAATTTGTTGCTGTGCTTGAATTGGAACAAATTTTTTTATATGTATAGTTTCCAAAAAGTCTCTCATTCCCTTTTAGCTACAGGAAGATAATATACTCGTCTTCATTGAAGTAATAGTATGGTATTGTGTATTGTGCATTTGAAACCTCATTCAAAAACTTCTCTCAATAGTGAATTCGATTGGTTGAACTGGTTTTGCACCAGTTTTGAGCTACTATTGCACTAATTTGACACCCTCAATATATTTTTTTCCGAGTTTAGTCCTTCATTCAACTGAGTGGCTAAATAAAAACAATTAAGCGATTATCTAACACAAATTAGTGACCTGAAATAACTATAATCTATATGAAGGCTATATTCATCTTCTTGTCGTTAATTGACGGGTAGCATACATTGTATTCGTCAACATTTATTGTTTACTAGATTGTTCTCACATCTTCTTATCCAAGATTCCTTCCTGTCATTTTAACACTGATAGGGAATTCTGCATAAACAATCAAGCATCAATGACGCACATACTCATCGCTTTCAGATAAAATCATCGTAAACAACGGTCACATCATAGGAGAGTACGGAATAATGAATGACAACAAAGACAGTATTAGCGAGAACAGTAATTTACAAAAACTACCGGAATCAAAACCCAATGAGTATGTATTGAATTGGTTCCAAAACCATGTGGAAGAAAATGCCACGAACAAATACGCCGAGTTGCCCAGGAGTACTGGTACAACTTCGGACGAAAACTTCCTTTCTTTCGAAAGTTCCATGGACGAATCTGACAACGAGAATATAAAAGACTTGGACGTGCAAAATCTGACGTTCCGAAAGATGTATCGCAAAAAACGGAAAGTGAGGAAGGACGTCAAGACCCCGACCCCCCCGAAAATCCAAGAATGTAGCCCGTTGAATCCGGATGAGGCAGCGAGGCGGCTGAGTTTCACGCCACCTAGCGGCGAAAGTGGGAGGTACTCCGGGAACGAGATATATTGCGAGCCCAGAGTTGATGTTGTATCGAGTGAGAGCGGCATTGCCAATTCCGGTAAAGAATCGGATGTGATTTACTTTGTGCCAAAAGGTATTTGAATTGTTTGCGTCCATGTCCATGAACTTCCACTAATTAGGAAACCCTGTATTTCATTCCATGTTTGGTTAGAGATTATCAAAAGTGACTAAGACTGGAATGAAAACAACCTCACTTTGATAGCTTGTATATAATGGAGGGTTGCACCGCAGGTTTTAGAGAAAAATGTATACTTGGTTGTGATATTGTTCCATCTGGTGATTAATCTATTCAGTTCTGAAAAGATATAGGTCATCTCTCAAAACTAACATGTCCTCTAGAATGTTCTTTGAGAAATGAATGAAATAAACTGCGTAATGAATAAAAAAGATTTTGCACATTTCCCTTTCGGGAATGGTGCAACTTTGCCCTAATTTAATCTATTCTGTATCTCCTAAGGTTATATCGAGATCCCCATACTTAGTCACGAATTTGTAACACCCTGTATAAGACAGCGGCAATTGCACTGCAGAGCGAAGATTGCACTGCGAAAACGTCCCGCCGCCATAACAACATATTTGAAACCGTGTCGCTAGACGCCAGTAAACAATACAAATAATTGTCAGATAGACTTCAGGATGTGAAAATATCGAGTTTTGGTGAGTGCTGCATACGATCTAAATGTTTTATTATTATATTAAAATATTTCTCAGAAAAAAACAACAATTCGTGAAATTGTCAGAAACTGTAGGCGGGGGTTGCCTAAGTTGTGTTCTAGATTCATTAGAGAATGAACTTTTAAAAGTGATAATGATAAAGAATACTCCAAAGGGTTTCAATAAAACATATACACACATTTATTCTTTGTTTTATGATTAACAAAAAATAAAAACTTAACTTACCCTATATGTACATTGAAAGCTAATATTGCTGGGACCTTAGAGGAAGGGCATCTTCTGTTCTGCCCTGAACTCCGACGGTCCGGGCACCGTGGTAAATTATCGAATCAAAATATCGAATTGACCGAATACTTCAATGATTGAATGATCGAATGATACCTGGCTTCCTCGCGCCTTTTATATGTTCAATCTATATTTTGGAAACGTGACAGTGAGGAAGTCAGGTGAATATTCCTGGTTCGTTGAAGTCAATGCCATGCCTGTGTTTATGTTCTACAACTAATCGAAAGTTCGTGGTTTAATGATTTTGGAAATGATAAACACAGACGTGACCATTCAATGACTTCGAACCGATATAATTTTATAAGAATTTTGGAATTTGGCTTCAAATATCTCCTCATTTGTGACGCGTTTTGGTGAGTGCTGCTTACGATCTAAATGTTTTATTATTATATTATATATTATAATATTTCTCAGGAAAAAACAACAATTCGTGAAATATTCTAATGAATTACATTCGTGCATTAAAATGACCAAATAATATTTTGTATTCAAACGTGTTATATTATCTTTCGCCAAAATATGAAAATGAATTCTTATGCACTCGTGCAATCATAACCGAAAATGCCCCAGCACTGACCGCAATCCAAACAATTCCCAAATCGTACCCAAAATCCATCATTCTCATTCCTCCGCGCAGGTATATCAGGCATGGGCGTAACGGGCCGCTTCACCTACTCCGACGTCCTACCAGCCCCGAGGAACGTGGCCATCTTGGACGTGGACAGCATGCGCGAGGCTGCCCACAGCGACTACCTGACGTGCTCCGACGCCAGCACAAACGTGCTCGACAAGAGCTTCTGGCCCGGCCACGGCGGCCTCGAGGACAGCCTGATGACGTCAGACGCTTCGGGCGGCTGCGGGCAGGCCTCAAGCAGGGGGCAAGGGTTGGGCAGTCCCGAGCTGAGCTTCGTGAGCGTGTCGGAGATCTACAAATACGAGGACGTGGAGAGGGGGGTGGTGTTGTACGAGCGGAGGGTGATGAGAGCGCCTAGGTGAGCGGAAGTAGGGTTAGACCAGTGCTGAAGCCTTTGAAAACGGTATAATGTGAAGAGAAATCATAGTAGGATGAAACCACAGCCGTCTTCAACTAACAAGCCGTGCTGAGATACTGGCAACGTCGCACGAACGGAAACCGTCGGTCCCATTCGAGGCTAGCAATACAATGGTTTTTATATGAGCGCGAGCTTTGAATGTTTGGTTTAACGTAATAATAGGTAAAAAATACAGGAGAGTGAACTTACAGAGTGAAGAACGAGTAATAATGTGGTTGAATAATTCCCTTGGTCATGAACTGAAGCCGTAATTTTGAACATTTTGTTAAAATAAAACTTATGGAGATATCGAATTTTTCATTCATATCTGAGTGTTTGTCAGTTTGATCTGAGATGTTTTTGAATCTAGCTAGAATATTTTCAAGTTGTGACCATCTATTCAATTTCATATCATGAGTAAGAATCCATTTCAATTCATTGAATCCAAGTTTATTATCACCAAGAAAAACTTGGACCTCCATCTCATTGGATATTATAACTTGAGAAACAATTTGTAAAGTATTTACATCATTGGGATAAAAAACATTTGCTTGCAAATCTAATTCATAAAAATACAATTTATCATCAGTCTTATGGATTTTCCAAGTATCAATTTCAACTTTCTCAACATATTCCCTAACTAACTGTTCATAGTTGTGGATGAGGTCTGATTTTTCAAACTGTTCTATTATATTACTTTGAATATCTGAATATTACTGACGTCTTTCATTTGGATCAGTTCTTGATGGTTTGGCTGGTTTTGAAAAATATTTTGGTAAATTTGGAAAAAATTGAAGGAACTGCTGTTTTGACTAACTTTGGTGCTCGTAACAAATTTTTTCCAATTGATCCATCTGGCAGAGGGAATGTATCATACCCGATGATATCTTTTTCAATAAAATAAATTGCACATACTGTAGAACGTTGAGATGGTGTTCAGTTTTTTCGAGGTATTGCTGTTATCCACTTACTTCGCAATTCTTCCCCTTTTGTGAATAAAAAAACTGAGACATGATCCTTTCCTTTCCCAGCTTTTTTTCAGAGCTGTAATTTGACTCACATCCTGGCACACAACAATGAGAAGGCATATTTTATAAGGAATAATGAATAACCTACTTATTTCCAGGAGTAAATTGAAAAAACAACACAAATTCCCTGGCAAATACACCAGCACTAGTCACTTCACTATAACCTCCAATTTAACACAATTTTGAATGCACTTGCCACACACTTTCAGTCTCGAGTCGATTCCTAGATTGTTGCTAATACTTTTAAAATTATTTGATCTCAATATCACACCAATTAATAATTGAAAACTTTAAAAAAACCTTCCATAAACTCCTTGTTTACTTCCTACACAATACACTTCGAATGGCCGACAGGTGCAAGTTCGGTCGTTCGGACAATGTTGCCAGACTGCTTCTTCACGGCTTGTTAGTTGAAGACGGCTGTGATGAAACTCATTGAAAAAGAAAGAGAATACAATAAAGATGAAAGGAAATAGTTACATTATCAAACTTTAATTTGTAGTTTCATTCTATTCTGACTGATTGTGATAGTACAAACAATATTCACAAACAGATAAAAACACATTATCAGGAAAGAATTGCACATTTTCATGAAATAAACAACGATTTGATCATTGTAAAATTGTAAATCTAATGTTTTTTGCGCATTTGTATCCACAAATATTCATCAGTTATCGAAAATTAAAAAATATCTGTGAATAGCTTGTTCTCGGAAAAATCGAACAGAATGGGATAATGAATGTGACAATCAGCTTATCTAAAATAATCTACAGTGAGTAATCAGATAGAATATGTTTATACATTTCCAGCGAATGCAATGGCAGTATTAAAGCAGGATCTCTTGCTTCCAAGATGTCTTCCATACCTGAAGGATTTGATTATGACATTGAGTCTCTCAGGAAGGAGCTCACTTCTCTGGGTTATGTTCCGGGGCCTATAACATTCTCCACGAAACGTGTTTATCTGAGGAAGCTCTATCAAATGAAGAAGTATCCTCATTTGACAGTCGATAGTCAACAGACTAGCCCAAAACGAAGTAAGTAATGGTTGTTTCATATTTAATTTTTCTCTTATTCACAATTTTAGAGAATATTATTTAAAAAAATACAGAATTTTAGTAATGATGAATAGAAATAGTTATCTACTGTAATAATCTATGAAAGTAAATTGAACCAAATCAGATACTTTCATCTGAAGGTAATAACAATCGAAAATGCAGAATGAGATTCAAGATATCATTATTGAGATCATTATAATATTCTTTGATAGATCTATATATCTTATTGAAGTGTTGTTTATTATATACATTCAAGTTTTTATTAAAATGATTTCAAATATCGACAAAATGTAAGAAGAAACATTTTTGTCATCGAATTTGAAACATTATCCTGAATATTCCTAACACCATATTATAAAGATATCCCTAAGTAACTTCCTTCTTTGAACTCTTTGATTATCGAACATTATATCCTTTCAAAATGCCAATCACACTTTTTTTATGAAAGTTCTGACAATTCCTTATATGTTCGGTCAGGTTCTTTCCAAGGCTATTTTCTTCTTATTTGTATTATATCCATAAGCGGTACATATTTCAGATTCCTCTTATCTACTTCCACTTCGAAAATTATGGGAATTTCCTTTCGTGCGCTCCAAGAGGTAATATATATATATACATCAACTCCTTCTGTTCTACTCAGATGTCGTTGCTTTCATATTGTCGATGAAAGACGCCTCTGGGGGAATATAATGCCGACTTGATTTTTGTTTGGCTATAGGCTACGCTTAGTCGGCGGTCTTAGGACTGCTGGCTGGGTACTGCCCTGCACTGATGAGAGTCAAAGAGCTCGAAACCGAGCTGTAGGTGTCTAGTCACTTGTATCAGTATTCATTTATACGAGTCGATGCATAGATTTCGGGAGGATGTAATTCAATGTTCTGCGTGGCATTAGCTAGGAAAGTAGTTGTTTTTCTCCCGAAATCTACCATTGTCCTTGATTTCATGAACATTCTGTGGAAATGACGTTGAGCTTTTTGTATTTATATATATATATAAATATATTTACGAAATAACTTTCCTCTTCAATCTACCCTAGTGATTTTTTTATATAATAAGCACCATATTTTCATTGATCAGTAATGATACATTTACAAAAAATGTCTCCTACTGCGTCAAACAAGCTCAAAAATACCGTCCCTGGTCACATTTTCACCTACAGAGCAATGACCAAAAGCCGGAAGATGTACAGTCGTATTCAATTAAAAAGAAAGGTTTACGGCATCATAGTTCTAGTTGTGTAAAACTGGCTCAGCCAATGCTTTGTCAACAATCATCCCCGATAGCCCGTTTTACGCAAATAAGATTACGTTAATTTCTCTCTGTAATATATTTGTTCGCTTTTTTTTAATACGACTGTACAGTCTTCAGAGAACATATCGCACATGGATGGTGTCAGCTCTCCTGATCACGGCTGCAATAAGACCGCTCATACCGTCCAACCGCGACATGTTCACTGAAGACGAGTGTACATCTCACCCTATAGTGATATTCTATCAGTTTGAACAAAATTCTAGCTTCAAAATCATTTGTGGTTATGTCTAATTGTCACTACATGGAATGCGTGCAAGAACTGTCAGATGATCGATCCTGGAGGTGAAAAATTGAAAGACAGAAATAGTTTTTCACAATCATTTTGGCATACGAATCGTGTTTCTCGACTATTAATTAATTCACGCATGCCTTCACATTGTGCTGTTGTACAATGCTTGTACAATGCACAAAAGATGCAGCGAGAGACGAAGGAATCCGGTTGGTACATTAAAATTTAAGACTAAGTAGGTACATACTATAGTCACTCACATATTGTTTTCATTTTGAAATTTCTGGTAATTTGTCTGATTTCTCATCGGAATTCTTCTGCAATAGAAGCTAATAGAAATACTCGTGAAATTTATAAAAGAACGCAAGAAAGATTGGATTCATGTAAACAAACGGGAGGACTGGTCTGATATATGCTGACGAAATATGATCGTGTGTGTTGTAGACAATCTATTAGCAGTATTATAGCTTCTATAGCACAAGTGGCAGAAGGAATATTAAAAAGAAATGACAAAATTTCATAATGAAAACTATGTGAGATTACTATTTACCTGAAAAATCATATCCCTTCGTCTCTCGCTGCATGTTTTATGCATTGTACAACAGCACAATCAGAAGGCATGCTTGAATTAATGAATAGCCCAAAAACACGATTCGTATGCCTATATATTGTGAAAAACTATTCCAATCCTTTGATTCCTCTGTGAACAAATAAAAAAGTGAGGTTGTTTTTCAATGTATTACATGAAAGTGAGGTTGTGTTTCAATGTTTTGCCTCCAGGGTCGGTCATCGTGCACGCGTCCTATACTCTAATGTTTCCATACTCCACCCTATAGAATATGCCAAAGTATTGGCACTGACATCCTATTTTTTTTTAATATGTCAATTTTAACCACCAAATCTCTCAACCAAACCCCACTAAATGCCTTGAAACGTCTGTGTCTTGCAGCCTATTCCTCCGAACTCGAAAAAACCCTGCAGAACCCCAACTGGACCTCCGACCTGGAACGCTACAAAACCCTCGAGGAAATGGTGACCAAGGAATTCTCCAACCCGGACCCCTCGAGAAAATGGCGCGAGGGCGTCAGCAAATCCTCCTTCACCTACCTCCTGTTGGACCCCAGCAAAACCAACAATTTGCCTTGCCGGGCAGATTCTCTCAAACCCGAAGACGTCTGGGAAACTTTTCTGTCAGCCATTTTCTACGTCGGCAAGGGAAAACGGTCGAGACCCTTCTCGCACTTGTACGAAGCCGTGGGGCTGTGGAAATCCGGGAAAACCACCTCGGAAAGCGAAAAGCTGCGTAACATCCTGGAGATCTGGAAAAACGACGGCGGAGTCATCTGCCTGCATATCTTCCAGAACATCATTCCCGTGGAGGCTTATACGCGCGAGGCGGCCATGATCAGCGCCCTGAAGACGGACAACGTTTCGAACGTGAGACAGGGGGAGTTTTACGGCGTGGCGGCCACGTGGCCGCAGAAGCAGAAGAGGATGTTCGGGAGCTACTTGCTGTACAGGGCGATGATGATTTTCTTGAACGAGGGCGAAAGGCAGCTGTATCCTACGGATATCGATTGAAATGAGGGGTGTGGGAATGTTGGATTTGATTGAGAGTCGCGTTGAGGACGGGATGTTGAGGATTTTGGCCATCTTTTGGAGGGTTTGACATTTTGTATTGTTTGGCTACAAAGGTGTCAAGTTTCGAATTTGATTGAAATCGGGGTCTCTGGCAAAATTATTGTATTCAAAACATATTGAAAACTTCTAAATTATTTGATTATTGAGAGCTGACGTTGACAAAACAAAATCTGACGAATGACACTCAATTCGACAGTAGTTGTTGCCAACAAATAGCAGGAAATGCCTGACCTATTCCAAGTGGAATGTGGTCAATTGTGGAGGCTTAAACATACAATTTGTGTAGTTTCTTAGAACTGAAGTACTGGTCATCTGAAACGATAAATTTGTTTCAGAACATCTTTGAAATGAAATAGGTTGTTGAATTGTTATTTTTTGCAGATGATTGTGAATACAGGATGCTGCAAAATTTGATCAACAAGCTTCACAGGTTCTCTTGATTGAATGACGACCAAGACTGGGACATAAGGTTTTCAAGTGCTCAGTTCTCGAGATACAGGGTGTTTGAGTTGAGAAAAATATGGCTTTTGCACAAAATCTGATGAATTATTGCATTTTTTGCATTTTGAGCCCTAATTTTTTTTAACAGTGCTATTCGATAGTACACGTCGAGCTTTCTCAGTGTTTGAAATATTAGCACAGATTTCAATGCTACCCTGTATATATATGTATATGGTTTATATATATATATACAATGATATATGGTTAAACATTTTTTGACAAAGTATTTTCAGACATTTCGTCGAGTCACTACAGGTAGTTGTGGTATTTACCTATTCCTCTCATTATATACAACACTGGAACACTAATATTGTTTCTGACTTATCGAATTCTCTGTTCAATTTCAATAGAAAAACACAAATCCTTCAACTATGCTTAAACCAGTATGTGGTTTTATTTTTATTTCATGCAGGAAGGAAAAATAAATATTCTTGTAATTTCTACTATCGAACATGATGTAGAATGCCTATGCAAGCTTCAATAATTATGGATCAAATAACTCGAAAATGGTTCATTTCAGCTCAGTTGAGGTCATACATTTTTTCACCTTATAATTACACGAGAGCTCTTTTTTTGTCGAAGTAAACTTGACATGTATCAATAAGAATTTTGTTGCCTGCCAGTTTGACGAAAAAAATTGCCTCTGAATGAAAAATTACCAGTCCCTAGGATGGGTAATTTTTTCTGTCAGTTTTTTGAGTTGAATTGCCTAATGGCAACAAAATCGAATTATAAATGCCAAGTTTACCTCTACTAAAAAAAAGCTAGAGTGTAATTCGGTAAGACAATTCAATTCATCAAACATTTGTCTATGGCTGGTTGTGATGCTTTCAAAAGTTAGGTTCCGTTATTGTGTTTCAATGCTAAGCAATGTGCCATCTGACGGCATATATCACGTGATCATCAAGTGTGATTATTTGGTAGTAGTATGAAGATTATAATAATTGTTCATTCAATTGTGTGGCTGGTTATTATTAGATTACTGGTCAGATTATTTGTTTATACAACTGAATATGGTAGAAACATATCTTCCGAGTCGTTCTAGCAAAATTATTATTTCGATATATCACACTTGGCGTCAAAAACATATCATTTTTGACAGAATGACAGCGCGGGAAAATGAAGGTTAAAATCCCAATTGTCGCTGGAAAAGTTAGGGCAACCTTTTTTCGCTGTCATAATGACATAATCACGCGGCTTGTGGGATTTTTCGTACATGAATTAGATTGTCAATAAAATTGAACAGGGAATTGAAAAAATTAATCTGTGGTGTAGAACATATAGGAGAAAAATTTGCCACAATCAACTATGTAGTTAATTCTTCATCAAAGCACGAGGACCGGTAGTTGTGGATAGTGTTGTCGGTCGAATTTCGCATCGACTTGTATAATATAATCACATTCACAATAAGCAATTCAATAACTCTCCTTTTTGAATAAGAATGATTCATTTCAGTTGATCAGCAGTTCATTTTTGTTTGACGAAAGAAAACAATTCCGGATGAATCTGGTCTAAAAGTATTTCGATCGGATTGATTTATTTTCAGAGGTATTTTGAATCTGAGAAGAAAAACGAATTAACTGGTAATTAGCGAAATGACATTGAAAATTACTGAAACATATTGAGTGATATCATCCATCGCCTTGGAATGGAAATGGCGGCTAAAATAATGTTTGTTCAATTATTCCATGTCAAAACAATTTTGGATTTTGATATAAAATCGAAGGAATGTGTTTCTCCAAGAATTCAGGATATTCAAAGCAGACCTATTGAAAGTTATGGGATAATTTTGGGTCATTATCAGAATCTGTTTTTGATCAAAGATGGAAAAATTATTGCCATAATATCATTTATATCTAGAAAATTTTTACTATTCTGGAAGTATTGAAATAAAACATTGAACCCGTCTTGTGCCGATTCGTAATGAATAATTCAATTTCTACATGGGTCTTACCTTAAAATTTACCTTCGTATGAAGCATGTTTCAAAAACTTATTCCTAGCAGTTTTTTCTTTATTTTTCTTGAATGTCAGCTTTAATCCTTGGAACAATCAATTTGGTCTCTGTTGAATGATGGAAATATGAGAAATTTCATCCAAAGATTTTTTTTATAGTTATTGACTTGTGGCGGGACAAACTTTCCTTTTAATAATTCGGGAAAAAATTATTACATTTCCAATAATTTGCATTTAGAAAGATCAGATGCTTTCAAATATATCTGGAAAACTTTCGGAATTTTAAAAAATTTTGAGATTTTAGAATTTAAATGAAATTACGAAACGACATATAAATTACAGAAGTTTTCAATCATTCAATTAATATAGAAAAAAGGTATACTGTATGATGTTGATGAGGGACTTCATTGCCAATATTTCGAGTTATTGTGAAAATTGTCCGTGATATTCATTATATGATGAACGAAGAGAGTCTAACATAATAATTGACACAATCTAGTCTTGTAGATTCTGATATACAACAATTTTTTGTTGCTGTTTTGTTTTGAATATAAGAAGATAGAGATTATTGAGAGAGCATATATATCTATGTGATTTAATATAATATATTTTTTATAATAAATATTTTTATGGACCCTGATCGTTTTTCTCGATACAAAATCCGAAATATTTTTATCTTACAGCAGCTTTATACACTGTTTCACGATCGATGCATCGGTACTTATTACAGCTTGTCAACTTTGATGATTCTGGGATCTTATTTTGAAAGGAATGTTCATTATCGACTTGGATCTGTGCCTTCTGCTTTTCCGGAAATACGAAAGCATGGTCGTTGCATCCTGCATTCTTTTGTTTCAGGGGAATTCGCCATATCTAAGTTATATATGGTAATATTTTTAGAAATATGGCAAAACCACATAGTACACAAAATATAAATGAGTTGATATTAGTTTCTGATAAAACAAGGCAACCTTTGACATCTCCGTGATTTATTTCAATCCAAATAATAATAAGTAGGTATGGAAATTCCAAATGATATGAGCATCTCGAATCATGCTAATATATTATTCTATGTGATCTTGAAGTTTTAGATGTGTGTGCTTCATGAACGATTTAAGGTAATTGCTCTCATTTCAATTTTAATGAATTTACTTTACACCTAATGTACTTCATTCCTTGAACATAATATAGGTCACAAATGCATATTTCTATAACATTTGTATACTGGACAAAATCGACAAAAATCATCAAGAATGATGGTGAATGAAATTTGAAATTAACGTCACCAACTGATTTTTAATTCAACACTCAAATTTGGGACTCGATCCAGTGGATGAATGAGGATTTATGTCATTGTCTAGCCCTTACTCTCCCGAGAATAATTTGGAAAGTATTGCCGGTAATTTTCTAGCTGGTGTGACTCAGAAACTTCTTGAATTTTTTTCGAATTTTATCAGGATGATGTAATATTATTTTCAGGACCCTCACAATCGTGTTATTTGGTAGTGAAATGGGATTTCTACTCGAAATGAAGAAATATGCATTTATTGTTTATGCTTTGTTATAGAAGTGAAGAATGCATTGCATTTTCAACATCTCGTCCTTGAACGGCTACCGCAAATATTCCTCCGGCACTTCTACCTGTTCATGTGCATTCAACTCCCACTGGTCATCTTTATCGGAATAGATTTCCAGATCTAATTCTAACTGATCCAACTAATCGTAAATTTCATCTTGATCTTTTTGCAATTAAAAATTCTTGGAATGGAGGACAGTTTTGACACACTGGAATGTTTAAATCGAAATCGATAATGATCATTGATCCGTAGCGGTCCGCTTCCGGAGCACACAAATGTGATGGTACACAAATATGTCCTGAAATCTGATCCCGAAAAAAATTTTGGAAACAGCAACTGTGAACCACCATGTTCAATCATGTTTTCATTTGCCATTCAATGCATAAAATCATTCACAATATCATATACAGTTGATGTTTTTGATTCACTCACCTTCAGGAAACATTTATCAGTCGAGACCAATTGCACCACACAATGTTTTTTTTTTACGCCGCCTGAGAAGAAAATAAGCAGCAATTGCAGTTTGTTCCGTGCAAATAGAACACTCACAATCATAATGGCTGGTTCTCAATCCAGCAAAATGATATTTCGAACCTTATAAACCACTTAGATGATGCCCGTACAATTGTGAGGGTATGGAGCGTAAGGGCTAGATATTTTGATTTTTCAGTGGAAGAAGGTTTCTTTGTACATGACTTTTTTGGTATAGATTCCATTCTATTTACTCTGCCGATGGAAATCCATAGTAAATGTAAAAAAACTTCACAAACGATAAGATTCCCAATCAAACGACAGATTTCGCTGACACATTAGCTTCTTCAGGTGAAATAGTGGTACAATAAAACTTCGCTTAACGGGTTGCACTGTATATAGATATATTGGGTCCTGGATGAGAAGAAATTCCGCAAATTCCAGAAGACTCATTCCGATTTCACATGTCATAATTTGGTTTTAGTTACAGGCATGGATATTTATTATTTAGCTTCCACAATACTAATACTTTTTCAATGTCTACCCTCGTATCAATGGGAGCTAGTAGTATCCAAATACGATGTTGCTCATAAAACATTCAAAAGAGTAAGGTGATATTTGAGCAATGCCCAAACATTTTCACAGATGAACTCACATTTCAGGACACATCCTCAGCTTCTGCTCCGAGAATAAGGGAATTCCTAGTGAAAACTAATGTAGCAAACCGTTTTGCAGAGACGAGTGTTGTTAGTAAAGTAGAAAATGCCGATACTGTTGCCAAGCAAACTGCATTTTCGGTTGTACTACCAGAAAGAGCGTACATTTCCGGATTCTATATGGATATTGATGGAAAATATTACAATGCCTTCGTGAAAGAAAAAGAAGAAGCAAAAAAAATTTTCGATCAGGTAAGAAAAATGCGAATATTTTTTCAATAATATACCTGTGATGGGATTTATATTTTTCTCGAATGATCTTTATGTTGAGTCCACAATAATATTTCATAATACCGGGTGATCTAGAATCTGGAAGATCTGACGTTTAATGCACATGTCTTGAACCATTCAAAAATAATAATATGAGACACAAATGCTTTCTATAAGAGATAGAATTAGTTTTTGTGTACTCCTTCATTGAAAGAGAGCAGACATATTGCTCACGGGGTCGTATCAGTGAAGGCATATTATTTGCTTATATTATTTTGTTTGATGAATTTGAAGAAAAACAATACTTGCTATTTTTCGATAACTGACAAAATAAGGAAAGTATTCTTTGAAGGAAATTGTGCACTGGACAGGGTGTGTCTCTTAAAATGGAACCTCCCTTAACTCATTCGTTTTCAGAGATGAGAAAAAATGTTAAATAAAAAAGTTGTGTGAAACGACTCAAACTTTCATTTCGTGAAGTTGCTTCATTGGTCAGTAGATAGCAAATCAAAAGTCAAGATGAGGACATGTGAGCCATTTTGACATATAATGAATAGTTTCAACAAAAAAAAATCCTAAAGTTGAAAAATCTCGATTTTGAACACCCTATATCTCTGTAATTATTCCTGCTAGACCCCAAGTGTGAATAATCGATGAAATCAGCTTTTCAGGGAGAATCTGAAAATTCATTAAAATACAGGGGGTTCTATTTGAAATAAGGAAGTTGATAATATTTCCGTAATAACTGAAGAAGTGGCAACATTGGCGATAACATTTTCAAATCCGACACGTTTTGAAATCATCCTGTATATAAATTCAAAAAAATCTAACTAACGGTTACCGAGATATTTACTTGGTTCCATACTTTCTCCCGACCCTGTATTATTATTTTTTATTGTAGTCGGTGTCGAATGGTCAAACGGCAGCACATGTAGCAGTCAGCACAAGAAATTCCAATAGGTTCACCATACACGTAAACGTGGAGCCAGAAAGTAAGGTGGTTTTTCACTTGGCTTACGAAGAATTGTTGCAGAGAGAAAACGGCCAGTACGAAATCATTGCCAATATTCAACCGGGTCAGATCGTCAAAAAATTGGAAGTGCAGGTAAGGAAATCACTTCAGCACGAATTAGAATTCTCTCTGTCAAGGTTACTTTGCGGAGGGTTGATAGAGAGTACCAAAATATTGTTTGTACTTCATATAAAAAAATTTCTATCGAACTTCGTTACGGAGTTGTTGACCTTGAAAGTTTGAATAAAAAAATATATTTCATGTATAACTTTTGAACGGTTGCCATGATATCAATGATAAATATGGACTTGGCGACAATTCTCGAATGGGGATCCAATAACTTGGTAGATTTCAATGCGAACAAAACATAACCATGCCTTTTCTCTAGAAAAGCCGATCTCACTGTGCCCAATACTTTTCAATAGTTACCATACCATTTCGATGCTTGGTATTACTATCAACAATAACCTTTCTTGGGAAAATCACGTGAGATCAATACCTAAAAGTGCATCCCAAAAACTTGGTTTCGGGCCAGGAGCTATTTCACTTCCAGTCAGCTGCTTATGATCTATAAGGCACAGATTCGACCTGTCCTGGAATACAGTTCCCATATTTGGAGTGCAGCACCCAAACATACCCTAAAACTGTTGGATTCTGTCCAAAAAAGGGCAATTCGTCTCGATTCGTCTCGTGGGTGATGCCTCGCTCACAAACTCACTCACTTCTCTGGAACACCGCAGAAAAGTTGACGATCCAGCTCTGTTTTAGAGATATTTTCATGGACGATGCCCTTCTGAAATATCAACAATTGTTCCCCCCTTGGCAGTCCCCGCGAGATTGACCCTTTCGAGTTGAGGCCTCGCACCCCTTCGTGGTCACTTTGGAAACCTGCAGAACATCTCTTTCTGAAGACTCGTTCATCCAACGAACAGCGAGGCTCTGGAACACATTGCCAAGGGAGCTGTCCCCCGAGGCATATAGCCTCCAGGATTTTGAGAACATCAATTCCTACCTTATTTCCCTTGGTTCTCACGATGTTCTCTGAACATTACAGGAGATCCCTCTTCGTGGGAACCAGAACATAAAAAAAAGTCACTCTATCAGCCCTATCATTCACGACATGACCTTTCCGGACACCCTGTATATCAAAAACTGAAATTTGCAATAGATCGTTCACATTTGAGAAACATGACAGTGAAAATCGGAATAGAAACGTAAACGTATTGGAACTCAAACAAATGAGCCTATTTTCAGCAATTAATTTGAAAAAATGTGACAGGCTATTTTTAATCTTTTTTAAAGCAAAACTCAACGCCTAAGTCGAATTTCAGAATATATAATTATTGAAAGTTTTTCCCATATGATGCCTTTCTGACACTGACACTGTATATGTACAGATCTGGAAGAAAATTGCTAGCGTATAGAATTTTCAATGCGTTTTGAAGTGAGATATCGTAGCCAGTCGAACAGCACAAAATATAAAAGATATACAAGGTGGATAATAAGAATATTTAACTGGACTACTGTCCCCCTTCCCTCTAGCAGAATAAATGCACCACCTAGAATTTAAGTCATACATTAGAATTACATTTTCTCTTTTACTTACTAAATGTATAGTATTCTATTGACAGGTTTTGATTTTGCATTATTCCTTATATTTAAAGAAGTTATATTAACTGATATACATAGAATGTCTATCATTGGGAACTCGGAAGAGATGCGAAGATGGTTAAATTACAGAAAACTTGCGCATTTTCAAGCCTAAAAATATGCCGTTTAGGAACTTTTGAAATTCCGAGTGGTTCTGGAGATGTGCATAAAAAACCAAAATTTGTCCATATCGTTATTATTTTTTCTCATGTTATTTAAAGATATACAGGAAAACAAAAGACACTCATTGCCACTTTTTAAGCTCTACAAAACAGCGTTGAGATTTTCCGTATGACGTTTTGTTTCGGAGTGTTCAGTAATGTATATTTACATGTACATACAGAAGGACTAATTTAGTGATCAGTGTAACTGAAATTGAAAAAAAAGGCAGTCAAACGTATACAGGCAGGTGACATCTCCATTTGGTCACAACCAGGGAAGGTTCAGCTCGGTAGTTCTCGCAAATTTTCTTCCATTGCATCTCGGAAGGGCTGAAAATCGCTTTGGACCTCAAGTTTCCCTTCACAATTTCCAAATCGTTGATGATTGATCTGTTCCTTATTTTCGCATCTTGGAATGCTAAGCACTCCTCGTATTTGGAACTTTTCAATTGGATGTTTCGTTCCGATATGTCTGTACAAGTTTTTTTCAACTTGTCGTTGATGATTTGTTCTTCTTTGTCGAATTTTTCAACAATTTCTTGTACCTCCGGTATCGGCATGGTTGTTTTTTCAGTGTCTGTTGCGAAACTTAAACATTATAATATGCGGGACTGCTGATATTGATTTGACGGTTCATCCTTGTTTCTTGTTTGTTTATTTGTCGACGGGGCGTTACTATGGCGATGGACTTCAGTGTCAACAAAACAAATACTATGCGTCATCTGAATAGCCATGTTCTTTTATTTGATTTAATGATCAACATTAGTTTTTCATCGTCCTTTTTCAAAATATCGTTTCTAAAAACTGGACCATCCTTACTCCGAATAGAAGATTGTCATACATAATACATTCTTATAAATTGCATGCTATTTCTGCACGTTCTGTATAAATAAATTTTACAAAATAAGTAATACATTTACATATACATAGATATTATAATGATATGTATAAACCAAAAAAGGACAATACTTTTACTTTATTTGATTCAGATCAAATTAATTCTTTTATATACCTCTGTTATTAACAGTTTGTTTCTTACTTTTAATTTTTCTATTTGTTTTGTATTTTTGTTGTCCATTTCCACTATTCGTTCCTTTTTTTATATACTCAAGTACCTATGTAACTGTATTTTGTGATATTTGTGAGTATTTTTGAATTGAGAATTAGGAATATAATAGACAGTGTTTCGTCCTTGGTACATTATAGTTATTTGTTTTACTAGGCAGAAAAGTACAAGATTTAATGCCGCGGCTGGCGTTTCATAGCCTACATTACATCTTCTTTCCTGCAATGTGAAACATATAATTTTTTTCTCCAAATTCTTTTCGATTTCACGCAGTCGAAATAATCCATCATTTTTTGTTCACCCAAAGTCATTGTCAATTTTGATTGCCAATTTGATTCAAATTACTTGGAACGTTGCATAGCAACAAACTTTTTCTCCCTAGGCAGTAAAAGTACACCTTTTCTGCCTGTTAAGTGTCATTTAAAATCCACTTTTAATGTCATTTGGAGAAAAAATAGTACCTATATTGTTTTATTAGGAACAAATGTCACTTTTGATCCGAATAAAACATGCTATTTTTTCTGCAACCGAAACAATTAACACAAATAAATATGTGAAGAAACCACCAATGCCGTGCCATTTGTATGCAATGCAACAAATCAAAATCAATGCAAAATCCCTGTGGTGAGAATATTCTACCAGCAGGTTTATTCAATTTTCAAGGATGTTCGAATTGTAGTCAACATAAATACAACTACAGAGTGACATATTTGTGTATGGACCAGGTGCTCTAATGGCAAATACCTCGCCAGTGCCAGGTATAGGAAGAAGACGTGGAAAATGTTAGGTTATTGAGCATGTCAACAATAATAATAGCGATTATTAATTCCTCTCCATAGTACGCTGTGTTTGACTTGATAATCAAATAGAGGTAAACAATATTGTTTGAGACAAAAAACTATTGCTTGCCGTGAGAAATTGAAAAAAGAACTGAAAAAATATTTATTTCTTTGATTCTCTTATATCATCCTAAATCAATTCAAGAACCAACATTCAACAGTCTCTAGAAGAAACAACATTATATATGTACTATGTTTATTATTTAAAAATGATAATCTGATTATCTAATTTTTTTTAGTTGCTCTTTCATAATTTTCCCTGCTATAAACATACAGGGTGATTCAAAAGTAAGCGGCATCCTTTCAGAGGCGTATTCCTTGCATGAAAATAAGGCAAAAAGTTCCTATTGATAAGGATCCGAAAATGCTTCCTAAGGGAGCTACGGCCCTTTGAATAGGACACCTCAAAGACGGTTTTTTCTCTATAACTTTAAAATCCTTCACAACAAATTTTTAAAAATTGGTGTACGGCATAAACATTCGATGGTAAATAGGACTCCGTATTCGAAATAATTTCCAAACGAAATCACAGTAACCTGAATATCCGGAGAAGAAGGGATATTTTTACACTTACCCTCTCCCGCATGTGACGCCCCTGAATGAAATTCTGAAATTTCGAATACGGAGTCCTATTTACCATCGAATGTTTATGCCGTACACCAATTTTTAAAAATTTGTTGTGAAGGATTTTAAAGTTATAGAGAAAAAACCGTCTTTGAGGTGTCCTATTCAAAGGGCCGTAGCTCCCTTAGGAAGCATTTTCGGATCCTTATCAATAGGAACTTTTTGCCTTATTTTCAAGCAAGGAATACGCCTCTGAAAGGATGCCGCTTACTTTTGAATCACCCTGTATATGTTTCTTGGGAATAATAAAGATTATTATTATTATCATTATTCAAAAACAATTTATCCATCCGAGAATAACGAATGAAATACAGATCAAGCAAGTATGTGAATCTTGAAGCCTTTCCTGATCAAAACAAAAATACTAATAATTCCTAATGATAAGGTGGCGACCTTTCACTTTTCTATCGATACTTCCACGGGAAATGTTCTTCGGAAATCTCTGCAATCATCCCTTCACTAGCAATACCAATCAGACGAACTAGACAAGCCCAGTCAGCACATCCTTTCGTCGTCAACCTCGAAAGATGTCGAACAGCACTTAATCAAGACTCCTTCATCCATAGAACGGCTAGGCTCTGGAATTCATTGCCTGTGGAAGTATTCCCAACAACATATAATCTCCAAAAATTCAAAAAGGATTCCAATACCTACCTCCTGTCCCTATCCTCCCTAGGAACGCACGATGTTCTTTGAACATTATAGGGATTCCCTTTCGTGCGCTCCAATCGATAAAAAAAAAAAATATCTCCAGCATGGGTATGAAATGCCATATCTGCCGAAATCGCGGAAACAAATCAGGTATGCGTCCCAACCCAAATAACCAACCATAACAGTGTTGTTTATTCTTGATATATTGTACATCCTTTTCAGTTCCTAGCAGGGTTGGCATGAATTAATTCACATGATTTAAATCAGTGATTTAATTCGTGAATTAATTCCATTGACTTTTTTCGAAAAAGTCATGAATTCATTCAAATTTTTAAAAATGAGACGAATTGCCCTATTACCTCTGATTTTAACTAGTTTAAACTGAAAAATTCGATCGTATTTTAGTAAGACTTTGTTATTTCAAGCATGACAGAGATTTTTACTAACAGATATAAGTATCATCCATAAAGTCCATAACATATGAGAACAGGTTTATTATCACAGCATCGCATTTTTTTCTCTCGGTGATCCATTATGCATATCCGATAACTTGAAAATCGATTTTGACACATGTCACGTGATCACTGGTATGGTGATAAATAAAAATAATACTATAAAGCGATGAAAAGTGAGGTTAGATAACAAAATATCCATGAAAATTTCTTATTAAGTTGCTATTCCACATTCAGTTTCGAGCAATCTTTGGAGGAGAATTGGAAATAGCTATATTTTTTCGAATATTCTTCAATTTTGTTACAATTCTCTTTTTTTTTCTGACAGTAGTGATGTTGAAATAGAATTCAATTTTATGCTCACATATGGAGTTTCCAGCCATTATTTGTGAAAACTGAAAATAGCTATTTCTATTTCTTTAAAATAACTTCATCTTCCCATCTAACCACACTTTTAGCCATCGTAATTTTTTGAATTTACCGCCATACCAGTGATCAAGTGACATGTGTCAAAATCGACTTTCAAGTAGTCAGACATGTATATAATAGATCCCCGAGAAAAAATGTTTCGATATTCTACTAATAAACTTTTTCTCCATGTGTTACGAACTTTATGGATGATACTGGATCTATATATGTATCTATTATTTTGTATTCTATCATCACTTTTAATTTTGTTTCGAAAAAATGACATGTTATATTATGATGTTATTCTACAACATTTCTGAAGGGAATGAAAACATAATTTTTTTGTTTCTTTTTTTCTATTTCGCTTTGGGTAAATGACATTTGTTTGATTTTTTTTTCAAATGAATTAATTCAAAAAAGTCTGACTTAATCCAAAAAGTCGGACTTTTATGACTTTTTTATAAAAGTCATGACTTATTCCAACCCTGGTTTCTAGGAGCTAAAGTTCAACTTTAGCTCCTAGGAACTAAATATGTTGCCTAGCAACATACCTTTTTATGTGTCAGTAATAGAAACGTCTATTCAAGAGCTAATTTTGGTATCAAAATGGACGACTTCTGTGTCGGTTGCATAAAATAACTATTTTTAGGTGACGATAAACGAGACACACCCGTTGGTGTCCATCAGAACCCCGTATCTCCGATCTGGAAGCAACACGCTCGTCCAACATAACACAGCCCTGGACCCCCATTCGAATGTCACGTTGGTTGGAAACTCATCTGTCATCGTCCACTTTCAACCGGACATCAACAGACAGCTGGAATTTGCATGCGCCGGATTGGGTAACGAAGAGTTCGATGGGTTTGCTGGACAGTTCGTTGTCAAATACGACATCGAAAGGACCAATGAAGGGGGAGAGGTAATTTAATATTACTTTTTCGCACAGAAATCAGAAATCAGCAAAATATCAAAAATGAGCAAATTTCTAACATTCAAAGTTTCGTTCCATTGTATAGTAAGTTTGAGTTCAGAAAAGGTTCGTGAAGTTGTACTTAGAGCCCTCCACCATTTTGCGAACTGTTTTACGACAGTACAGCGTTGAAAGATTTTTTCTACAAGCGTGCATGATTCACCCTATACCCGCACGCAAATTAGTTTGGGCAGTGTCATTTTCCCGCAACAGTGCGGGAAAATTTGTCCCACACTAGTGCGGGAAATAGAATGATTCGAAATTAGCGCAAAATATAAGTGGTTGGTGATGGAATATGAAAGTTTTAGCTTTGTAACCAAACCCACCCGGGTCTTGTCTAAATATGGAACTATAAAACCATATTTCATGTGATCGTCTAGTATTTATCATGTTCGAGAAGTATCGAGATTCAACTTCGACACCTCTCAAACATTATCCCACGTTGTGTATTTTTTTTGTATAAGTTCGTGGATACAGAGTTCTGTGAAGGTAGAAAAGAAATGAAAATCGAGTATGAATCAAGAGTATTTATTGGCCACGCATCTTTTTACAATGCAAATGGTACGATGTGAAGTTGAGTGAATTAGCAAAAGCAATCAAACCCTCTTCGCTGCGCCAACCAAGACTCAGTATCAAAAGTTTAGGTTGGTATTAGCTGATCAACTGCTCAGATGGACTATGCTTGCATTCCTCTCGGTTTGCCTAATGGCTTTTTTCAGTAGAAGGATCGTCTCCTGCCGGGATAAAATAAGAGTGGTTGCAAGCCACCTCCGCGGTGTACACCAACTACAGGGACGTCCAAATCAGTATGCCTACTGTTAATATGAAAGTAAGGAGAGGACGCTCCCACAGTACCATCGAGCAATTTGACCACTCATGGTCATCTATAAGCACTTCGAGTTACATAGATAAACTGGTCAAGGCTGAGCAACAGCGGAGTATACAATACTACCCAAAACAGATCATGTGATGACTTTACTCTATTTGAAATTGATTATGTGGCAAAGTCTGATAGGTGATAAGATATTATACTGGGACCTGGTTCTTCAACCCGTTCCTTAGGGCTAATAGAGAGGGACGTCTGGTAATCATCCATGTTTCCTATTATTTCTGGAGGTGTTGCTTCTTCGAAGGTTGGAAATGTTCTGTTGAGATCGCGGCTCGGGCTGCTATTTATAGGGAAACCGTTTGTTGTGATTGTCACTAGGACCATGGTTACTGATGTTCTTTTATTGAAACAAACCTGGATTTGGCCCCTTTTTGGCCCCATTTCAGGGTGCTCCCTTGCATTATGAGGCTTCTAGCTGTGAACATACGATGTCCAAAGATCAGGTAGCTGTTTTCACATACTTATAAGTCTGTCCCTGTGGTTCTACTTCAGATTTGAAGTGAATTTATGAACATCTGACAGCTTCAAACGTTCGTGAATTGGTAGAGTTTTTTCCACAAAACAGACTCTTCCTGCCTTTGTAGCTGGAATAAATCGATACAAATCGAAGTCCAGATTAGTCACCAAGCTTCCTGATGTTGTAACAAAGCACAACACTGTAGAATCGAGTATCCAACAAGGTCTTACCATTCCTGGGATACAATCCAAAGTTGAAGTGATAGAATTTATGATCTCGTGATGATTTGCTACTTATTTCTCTGATAAAAAATGCAACTACTCATAGAAATTGAACCCTCATTAATGGAGTCATGAACTGAATCACTAACTATGATCCTCAAATAAGAAAATTACTTCCAAAATGAATCAATACTCTTGATCATGATGAAATATTTTACCAAGCGAACTGGCTTGGGTAGTTACAGCTTGTTTGTTGCAGTATTGAATAAGTTTGTTCAGAATCATCCATCAAATTTCACTATTTACTGTGGAAATTAAGTAATATCGATAAATAAAAACTGTTATTAAAATCCTGCTTTAGACTTGGATTGATCTGATGTGGGAAACAATTATTGTTGCCATGCCAATCAAAACACAAATAAGTTTGTAATTGTTAAAGTGACTCACACAGATGCGATACAGATGCGTTGTTGCCAACGACTGATGATGAATTATTGGCATTCAATTACTCCACTGTGTAGTAAGGAACCTAAATTAATCTTGGCAACACTTCTCACGCTTTTTTATACAGGGTGTTTCAAAAAAACCTGACCCCCTTGCTAGGTTCGGTAGAACACTGCCAATTAAGTTGGGTTTGCTCAGTGAAGAAATGTCGTAACGGCATCCGTTTTCATGATACAAGGTGTTGAAAAAATTATTTTTTTACACATTTTTCACGATTATCTCGAAACTACTGGCAACGTTGTAATGAAATTTTATGTGTATGTTTCTTGAAATCTGACACATCGCATGAATTTGTTTTTATATCTGACTCTCATAGAGGGCGCTAGTTACACGGTTCGTACCGAGTAGTTATGAACATAACTTTTTTGAGGTTAGATTTTTCAATACAGATATGCTATGAACTTGAACATCATTCAATTTTACACCAAAAAGGTACTCTTGGTGAAACTCGATACTATGTTCCGTTTTCGGAATATTTCGATTTGAAAATAATGGAGTAGTAATGATGCTGGTATAAAATGAATTTTATTGAGTTCAATTACCTATTTATTCAGGTCTAAAAACAATAAAATTATCCTTGTGCTGAAGTTATTGATGGAACAAAGAATCATAAGTAGAAAATTGAGAAATATTTGACTAGAAACATGAAATATTGAATGAGTTAGAGTAAATGTTCAAAATGTCCTACGTTTCGAGGAATACACGATTCAATATTCTTTTCTTAAGAATGTATTATTCTTCTAAACAGTTGAGGATCAGCTGTTAGGTCATTCAAGTGATGTTCAATATTGTCTCACAACTCTTGACGTGAATTTACCTATGTAGCTTAGACTTTCTGCTCAAGATACAACAAAACTGTGTAATCCATGTTCTCAGTCAAATCTGTTTCGATGTTATTCTTGTGATTCATTGTTAAACCAATGAGTTTTGCATCAGAAATGTATTTTTGTTTTCGGTTTTCAATAAATAAGTGATAATTTTCATAATACTCACTCTATTACATAGCTTTATACCAGCAACAGTTACCACTTCATCATTTTCAAATCGAAATATTCCGAAAACGGAACACAGTATCGAGTTTTACCAATAGTACCTTTTTGGTGTGAAATTGAATGATGTTCAAGTTCACATCAAAATCGTATTTAAAAATCTAACCTCAAAAAAGTTATGTTCAAAACTACTCGCTACGAACCGCGTAACTAGCGCCCTCTATGAGAGTCAGATATAAAAACAAATGCATGCGATGTGTCAGATTCTAAGAAACTTCCATACAAAATTTCATCACGATGTTGCCAGTAGTTTCGACATAATCTTGAAAAATGTGTAAAAAAATCATTTTTTCAACACCTTGTATCTTGATAACGGATGCCGTTGCGGAATTTTTTTACTAAGTAAACCCAACTTATTTTGTAGTGTTCTACCAACCCTAGTAAGGGGATCAGGTTTTTTTGAAACACCCTGTATAAATAATGAGTCTATGTGTTGTTCGAAATTGTTGAATTTCAGAGCTCATTTCAACCGAACTATCATGGCCGCCATTTGGCGATATGTCGAATTCAGTTTTTATGCTGTTTCGTTAGTGGTCAGATAATCTTCCATGACCACTCATGAAGCAAGGTTGTCAAGTCACCTATTATAATCAGAAAGATGTGACGAGTCATGTCGTTGAATAAAACATAATAGGAGGAACCCATAATGTTATAGTTCATTCTTGACTCCTTCCAGCAACCAGCATGTCCAAATATTTCTTATTCTCCATAAGAACATATCATGTGAATGTTGGAGACTTGACAACATTGTGCTGAGTGCTGAGAACTGACAAGACCACGCCCACAAGTCGTGCGCCGTGGTTGTCACTTTCACCGATTCAAATTAATATAATTATTATTTACACAAATTTATTATAAGCAATAAACCACAGATCATAACGGAACATTTTTTGAATTGACTCGGCCTTTACTTTTTGGAAATCCATGACAAATGTGAAAACTTCACAAACTATAAGATTTCCACAAAATTAGTAGCTTCGTCAGGTGATATACTGGTACAATGAACTTCATTGTACCAGTATATCACCTGACGAAGCTACTGTGTTAGCGAAACATGTCGTGTGTTTGAGAATTTTGTGGAAATCTTATCGTTTGTGAAGTTTTTACATAACGGAACATTTTGAGAAAATTGAATTTTTATTTCTAATTAGGAATATCAGCAATATTTGATTGTGAATTTATGAATTATTGAATAACTATTATATATTTCTAAAGTTCCCAATCGTATTTCAACACATTGCAACTGTGGTACGGTCTGCCCCTACTTACAAACTCCTAACGTCAGTTTTTACTGGCGGGAAATTTCTAGCCGTTTGAAAATTAAAAATCGACCGAAACATTCTTAAAAAATATGAAATTGGAAGGTATTTGAATGATTATTTTATTCAGGAAATAAAAAAAATAGTACACACATCTGTTCATCCGCAAGGCGCACTAATAATCCTACGGTATTTTGCAGACATTATTCCAAGACGGATTTTTCCTAAATTTTTTCGCCCCCAAAAACTTGGATCCCATACCGAAACACATCGTCTTCGTTCTGGACACGAGTGGTAGCATGTCGGGACAAAAAATCATCCAACTAAAAGATGCCATGACTAAGATTTTGCCACAATTGAACAAAGAAGACCTTTTCAGTATAGTCCAATTTGAGAGCATGGTGTACGTTTGGGATTTGGATTCTACTCGGCATTCAGCTATTACTTGGACCGATCCTGAATATGCGGAATATGGTCGATTGAAAGAAAAATTGGTGGTATGTTACTTTTAGTTAGGTAACTGTTATTGTTCTTCAAGACGATCGACTGATCTTTAGTTATTGATAGAAGGCATTACTTCCGCTCTTGATATAGAGAGTAGCGAATAAAAGTTGTATTATCAATGTTCAAAAATAATATTCAAATTACCACCTATACCATTATATTGAAACTAAGGGTATTAATTTTCATTATTTTTTCAGAATATCAACTTGCCCAGTGCACATTCTGCCTCCAAAGAGAACATAGATAAAGCAATCAACATTATCAACCTGTTGCAAGATGACGGACTAACTAACAGCATTGGTGCACTAGAAGTTGGCTTGTTTCTGATTGGACAAATACAAGAGCAAAACAAAAAGGATTCGTATCAACCGATTCTCGTGTTCCTCACTGACGGCCTACCAAATGTCGGAAGTAGTTCAACTGCAAATATAATATCTAAGGTAAACTTTTGGTTGTTGCAGTCAAACACGTCAGTCTCATCCCTATTCGTCAATAAATTATTTTTCTTTGTGAATACTGTGAGTGCGTTGCATTTAAAACCTTCACTTCCAAGGTGCAAAGGTTTCGTGACATTGTTGACAGTTCCCAGTTAAGAAAGTTACCGATGCATTTCATTATTATCAATGTCATCTCGAGAAGTTATGGGTTGCGTGCAAGAACTGTCAGATGACCGACCCTGGAGGCACAACATTGAAACACAACCTCACTTTTCTTATTTGTTAACAAGTGTTTGTAATAGTTTTTCACAATGATTTTGGCATACGAATCGTATATTTCGTCTATTCATTAATTCGCTCATGCCATCACATTGTGCTGTTGTACAATGCACAAAAATTGCAGCAGAAGACGAAGGAATCCTGTTGGTACATTATGATTTAATGGTAAGTACCCACTATAGTCACTCACATAATTATAGTTTTCATTTTTGAAATTTGGTAATTTCTCTGATTTCTCATCGGAATTCCTTCTGCAATAGGAGCTAATAGACACTTGAAATTTCTAAAATAATGCAAGAAGATTGGATTCATGCAATCAAACGGGAGGACTGGTCTGACGTGCTCACGAAATATGATCGTGTGTGTTGTAGACATTTTCAATCTATTAGCAGTATTAGCTTGTATTGCAGAAGTGGCAAAAGGAATTTTAATAAGGAATGACAACACTTCATAATGATAACTATATGAGATTACTATTTACCTGAAAAATCATATCCCTTCGTCTCTCGCTGCATTTTTTGTGCATTGTACAACAGCACAATGCGATGGCATGCATGCTTTGAAGAATCTCGATTTTGAACACCCTATATCTCTGCCATTCCTGCCTGTGATACATTGATAAAATCTGCTCTTTAGGAAGAATCTGAAAATGCAATAAAATACAGGGTGCCCCATATAAAATAACGAAGTTGCTAGTTGTTTCTGATAGAAGTGGCAACACTGTATCGCTGTAAATATTTTAGACGGATAGAGAATGTTCAATTATTATCAAAGCATCCCAATTTCAAGAATGTTCTGTCTTTTCGTTCTCCAGATACTTCTAATAGGCCATCCACCGTGCACATTTGTGATTTCGGTCAGCAGACCCTGAGGTCTCAGAGAAACAGCTAACGTCACCACAGAGGCACCTATCGGTATATCAATTAAGCATTTTGGCCGAGCACCATTTTTTGAGTGTGGTTTTATTATGTTCTCCAACTTACAATATTCTCTATAGTCTCAGGATTTGATTTTGAAATTACCAATGTATACCTGTGTCAAGTTTTTTTGCCAATGTCTTCTATGGTTCCTTCAACATTTTCATTAGGATTTACTTTAGAGATAACCATAACCTGCCATAACTATAACATTCCCACTTAGTTTTTCTTGTTCATTCTAATTTACCTGCAGATTTAGCTTATTTGTGACCAGCTTCAACTCACTCCTGAGCTCCTCATTGACCTTGCTTTGGGCCTCAAATTTTTAAAGCAATGACACGTAATTTTGCTCGATATCAACCAATGTATGCATAATATTATTCATAGTATATTCATTCGTGTCCCTTTGTTTAGCTTTGTTACTTTTCGGTTGATTTTTAGTTACCATCATAACCCCACATTCGCATTTTTGGCAAAATCATTGATCGCCTATTCGTTTCTTATTTTCAGCGGCGTAATAGTTGAGCCTAGCTGTTATAAGATCCACACACTTGGTATGATACCAAATTGAACATTGATTTCATGCGATTGAATACGAATTTTTACAAGACTCATCACACTAACCAGACGTGCCCGCCATCTTTTAATTTAATTTAAGTACCTCATATGACGCCAATCAAATAAACATAACTTGTGATTTGTTCCTATGTCCCTATTATAAACGAATATGTTTATAACAACAACAAGAAATCTTCTAATTTTCCTTGATACACTTTATAATAAAATAATTTATAATAATAAGTCTTTCGGTTACATAAATTGTTGCCATGAATTTGAGAGAAGTACCTCATATGACGCAAATCAAATAAACGTAACTTGTGATTTGTAGACGAAATGTGATTTTTAAGTACTTTTGAAGATTTTAGACTTCCAGAAAAAAAATATTCCTTTCCTCTTAATAATAATAATAATGATAATGGATTTTATTGACAGGTATAGGTAATTACAAAATAAATGAAAAATGATAGAGAGCTGAGAACTGTATACCTATCAAACGGCAGAATTCAAGTTCAGATCATTTCACCAGTGAGAGTGACGTAATCAGAACTTGCTCTTCCATTCTTGGAACCATTTATACCCCAAAATATTTGATCCATCATGATATGATTTCGTTGTCACACAATACTGTTTCTAGACAGGTGTGCTGAATAGAGCGGGATTCAATACTCCCATTTACTCTCTCAGTTTTGGAGATGATGCTGATTGGGACTTCTTGGAGAAATTGAGTCTACAGAATCATGCCAAGCCGACAAGAATCCAGATTGCCAAAGACTTGTCTAAGCAGCTTCAAGATTTTTACTCCAAAATTTCGGTACCACTTCTGAGTAATGTGAGCTACGGTAACTTGCCGAAGGAAGCGCAAATAACACAGACGAATTTCGTGCTTTTCTTCAATGGATCAGAAATTGTGGTTGCAGGAAAAGGTGAGAGTTATTATTCAGGGAATCCTACTCCGCTAAGACGATATTACTCGATAATCACTGTACCTGAAGGTTCCTTCTTGGGGCCACTATTTTGTCAATTGATTGTAAAAAATATTGTCTCAATGTTGAACCATATAACCACCGACTTATTACTCTATCTAGGCTGCTAGTAGTCATATCGCAGCAATCCGAAAATGTATAGGGTCAGTTGCTCGCCTGAAAACGCTTCTGCTCAATACGCAGGAAACTCCAAGCTGCCCTTCATGACTTTGACGTGGTATGGAAATCAACCTAGCATCCATTTTCTTTGTAGGCTGCGGCAAGGTGGATGGCGTCGGCCTAAGTGTTTTGTTTATGTCATCAGGGGTCGGCTTTATAAAATCAATATTAAAATTGGTAGTGATATTAATTTTTTTCGTTTTATTTTCGCCAATCCTAGGAAATATGAAGTGCTTTGTTCTTCGGTGTGAGTATTCCACGATTAATAATACTAAATATGTTTCTTTCCATCGGTGAGTTTGTGGGTAATGAATAATTTATTATTTTAAATTTGCTTTCATCAGTTGAGCAAGTATTTGAATCAAATGGAATCATGCATATTTTGTATATTCATTCAGCTGTGAAGAATTTGAGTTCAGGCGTGAGGTGGTGCCATACCCCAGCCAACCATCGTGTGACATCAACATCTGTGTGATGTAACAACCTTGCATAAATGCAATATCTCGTTAACACATCTTATCGACGTAGATTTGATATCAACGTCGCAAGGTGTCATCGCAACCAGGAAACTATGTAATGTAGCAGCGACTTCTTCAAACTACATCTCTTCGACGTTAACTAAATAATTCACATTGATATCCTCATGAGATATCTTTGTGACCTGTGAGTGTGACGCAGACATGCGCAAAACGAACGCACACGCCAGACGCCATGTTGAGCTGTGCATGGCCATGTCAGTCAGTCAGTGAGTGAGTCCGACTCCGTACAGACTATTTCCTTCCAAATTCTTTGTTGAAATATCTGAGATGAATTATAGCAGCTTCAAATTGGAGGTATACAATCATTTAGGAACGACGGTGAGTTCAATCACAATAGGTAATATTGTAATTATCTCTGAGATAGGAATATTGCAATCTGAAACAAGGTGGATGAAAGATCCCAAGATAATGTTAGTGTATTTGATATGTATCATTTATGAATAATGTATATTTGTATTGCTATATATATGTGTCATGTTTTACTTCAATAAGATTACTAATTAGGGTGATTGTCATGATAAGTTTTGTATCATCTGTTTTTACTTTCGAAAAATAAACATTTTCTTCATAAAGTTGAATAATTATTATTATTATACAGTGTGTCCCACTTACCATGCTCACCATGGGTATCTTTTTAACGGTGAGAGATACGAGGTCGGTTAAATGACACCAAATGTGGAGTTTGTCAAGGCCAACTATAATGTGAAAAAAAAAAAATTGATAAAATCTATTCGTTTTTGTTTTATACGCAAAAAACAGATTTTGATCATTTTCATGTCTCCTCTGTAACTTCTTTATTTATGAAAATAATCAAATAGGAATTTCACATTCTCATGGCAGTTTTTCAAAGTGATTTCGAAAAAAATATGAAATTTATACCAACTCTTCTAGAATTTGAGATATCAGCACCAACTTTAGTTTTTCAAATGTAGGTCATAGCTCACTGTGACTTAGTTACAAATATTTTTTTTTCTCTCACAGATGATATGTCGCAGTAATAGTTTTGTGTTGATAACAACGGAGTTATCGTCATTTATACATTTCACATTATAGTTGGCCTTGACAAACTCCACATTTGGTGTCATTTAACCGACCTCGTATCTCTCACCGTTAAAAAGATAACAATGGTGAGCATGGTAAGTGGGACACACTGTATATCCCACGATTATCACAGGTTCGGCGACCACATCATCGATGTTGCAGTGTGATGTATTTGTAATATGAAATGTACACTTGTATGTGACCTGGTAGTGATTTTTCATGTGTCGCATTTCATGTCTGAACGACGTCATAGTGATGTTGCTTGAATCGGACATTTTCACATCGCCATGTTGTATCGGTAACATGTTTGTGACTTCACATGCGATATGGCATGTCACAAAGAGACGATTTTCAATTGAAAGTATTTATTTAATAATGATTCTAGAATTCCTAAGAAGAAGATAAATTAATGGTTTTAGGCTATTAGGAGACCATTGAACCTTAGCCACTTAGGAAGGATAATTATGTTTAGACCATTTTTCGCCAGACAGCTTCCTGATGATTCCATGCAAATCCAGGACAATGAAACAACAAATATGAGTATTTGGAAGTTATGAGACCATATAGGTATTAATAAACAATACGGATCATAACGGGTGCCAGGATGAAGCCAAAAATATGAAACAAATGAATATCCATAAGGATTTGGTGGCATGATACGCATGCGCCATGCGCTATTATGGTAGTCATCAAAGACATGCGTTTCGGTGGACAATGACGTTTACTAGCCTTTCAATCAAAGCAGTATGTGTCTGATCGTTTCAAAACTTTTCCTTATGGATAGTCATTTGTCTTCAAAAATCGGCTTCATGTTTCGCTATGGAAACAGATAGTGATTATCCGTATTGATTATTAATACGTATATGTATGAGACCTGAATACGGCATATTTCATTCGTTTCTCACTACTTTATGGATGATTTATCATACCTCCCAACCTTTTTCCTTCGATACGCCTATATTCCTCGGATTCATGAGTGTAACATGACAGATCCTAAATGTGCATGACTCAGTTTCACCAGTTCGATCTCCTGAGTGGCTCACATTTCTCCTTATAGAACTGGCGGTCTAGATTAGTATATAAGTCGGTGCATATAACACGGTGGTTCTGATGATATTCAAAAAATCGTTTTCAACCTTTAATACCGAGAGAATGAAGGAGAATACGACTGTTTTTGGTTTTATATTGCTTTTGAAGGTGAACCATACGTTTTAATGTTTGTTTCGATCAAATAAACTTGAATTTTAATTTTCTTGCTATTGACCATAATTGATGAATCAGATTGACCAATGAGCCAATGTTCACGTTGACATGTGAAGTCAAATATTGTTTTATTGAAACATAATAAAATACAGCCACTTTTGTCAGTACTCGATGCAAATTGAATTTAAAGCCACGTTTTAAGGTAAACTGTACATAATATGTGATGATCTTTTATGAGTGAAACCGGATTCTTCAAGTAGTATTTTAGCTAGAAATTGAACAATAAAAATTATATCCATCTCGTTAACAGTCCAATCTGTGGTTGAATATAAAAAAAAATGAATTATTTGATACAGAATGTAATTACACTATTAGTGCAGACGATACGGTACTTTTATATGAAAATAAAAATCCTATCATTTTAGAAAATACAGAGTGTCAATTTGAAAACTTTACACCCTCAATATCTCCCTCCAAGTCGATAATATGGAAAAACGAAAAGACAGGTCGATTTTATTTTCGAGGGGGACATGGTTCTAAAATATTTTCAGCCCCGCGGCGTTGCCGCTTCTAACGAAAAGAAGCAACAACTTTGTTATTTCAAATGGAACACCCTGTATTTTATTGCATTTTTAGATTCTCACTGAAAAGCTGATTTCATCAATGTATCACACTTGGGGTCTAGCAGGAATGATTACAGAGATATAGGGTGTTCAAAATCGAGATTTTACAACTTTAGGATTTTTTTGAGTCGAAACTATTCATTATTGGTCAAAACGGCTTTTATATCCCTATCTCAACTTTTGATTTACTATCTACTGACATTTATTTGAAACAAATACAGGGTGATCAAAAGTCTGAATCTTGAACCACCCTGTATTTGTTTCAAATAAATGTCAGTAGATAGTAAATCAAAAGTTGAGATAGGGACATAAAAGCCGTTTTGACCAATAATGAATAGTTTCGACTCAAAAAAATCCTAAAGTTGTAAAATCTCAATTTTGAACACCCTATATCTCTGTAATCATTCCTGCTAGACCCCAAGTGTGATAAATTGATGAAATCAGCTTTTCAGTGAGAATCTAAAAATGCAATAAAATACAGGGTGTTCCATTCGAAATAACAAAGTTGTTGCTTCTTTTCGTTAGAAGCGGCAACGCCGCGGGGCTGAAAATATTTTAGAACCATGTCCCCCTCGAAAATAAAATCGACCTGTCTTTTCGTTTTTCCATATTATCGACTTGGAGGGAGATATTGAGGGTGGGAAGTTTTCAAATTGACACCCTGTATAATACCTAAACAGAGACTTGATGAAATTTGAAAATTGGCTGCATTCAAACCTCTTATCAATAAATACTGATAAAACTGAATATATGATTTTTCAACAAAAAAATAAACAAAATATAAATTTAAATCTCAGAATTAAAAATGAATCTTTGAAACAAACTAATGAGAAAAAGTATCTTGGGATTTGGTTTGATGATAAATTGAAGTGGGACAAACATATAAATGTTTTGAAGAAAATAATATCTCCTATTATTGGAGCCCTGAGAAGATGTCCCAAGCTGAATAAAAAAGTTGCAAATATAATTCTATATTCTCATATACTCAGTCGTATTAACTATTTGATAAATGTTTGGGGATACTGTTCAAAAAACAATTTTAATAAAATATTTGCATTATATAAAAAGACATTGAAAGTACTGTATCGTTTACCATATGATACACCAACAAATCAATTATATAAAAAAACTGAATCATTCTCATTAGAAGAAATGTTCAAAATTGAAAGATTGAAAATCACATACAATATCATAAATAAAAGATTGAAATCTAATTTTATTTTAACACGAAACAATGAAATTCATAATCACCAAACTAGACAACATGGTTTATTTCATCTTGATATGGCTAATTCTTCTATAGGCCAAAAAAGATTCACCCACGCTGCTCTCTCGGAATATAACAAATTACCAGATAATATAAAAAATTGCATAAATTCAATAAAATTCAAATACCAACTTGAAAAATTTATCATTTCTGAACGAAATAGATGATTTTTTTTTCGTCAACTTTTGATTCATATTCAAATTGATTTCTGCTCAACAATATGAAATGATATGTCAAAATTCAATACTCAATGTTTTCAAATATTATATTATTCATTAGTTTATCATAATTGTATAGTTTTAGGTATTATTGTTAACTATACTTCCTTATACCAGAACTTGATTCTGACTGGAAGTAACATTTTCAATAAATAAATAAATAAATAAATAAAATAAATATACTCAGAATTGAGTAGGCACTGTTATTTGGAAAATCTGAGCATATGTCATCTGAAATGAGTAGAAGAACGAAAGAAAAATTCCGTTGGTTATAAAGAAACGTCAAACGTCACATACATTCGGAAACAGGATACATCACCCTTTATTCCAGGAATTTCCTTCAACACTACCGCCCCTATATCCATATCAGCCAAGGGCAAGAACGGGACTGTGGAACTGGAAGCGACCGTGGGCATCCCCCTGACCCGTTTGGAAAAGGTGTGGGCGTACTTGACGGTGAAACAATTGGCCGACCAATACCATGCCACCGGAAACGCGACCATTCACAAGATGGCTCTCGATCTGGCGCTGAACTATTCGTTGGTGACCGAATTCACTTCGCTGGTCGTGGTCAAGCCTGACAGCACCAATAATTATGTCGATACTCAAGATGCTACCAAGGGGATATTCCCCGTGGAGCCCAATGAGCTGCCCATGTGCAATAATATAACCGGTAAGTGCATTCCCACTAACCATGAAAACATAACTTAAACTAGTTGAAAATACGCCAGTCGGGCAACCAGCCACTCCCATTTCACCTGAAATGGAATTTTGTTTTGGAGTGTTTCTTTCCTTGCCAGGTGGCGTTCGGCGTTCGCGTTTTCATTTCGCGGACTTCGAACGCCTCGTACGGTATAAATGCTGAGATGTGTTTACGTTGGGTCAGGTTCGCACCAGATAGCGGTCAAGAAGCTATCTGGGACAGCCCTGAACTGATGAGAGCCAACAGCTCGAAACCGGTTTGCAGGTAGTCAGCGTTCCTGAACCACTTAAGCGCAGCTCAGCGTTTAGGAAGGAAACACTTGCGATTTTATTCGTTTATACGAACTATCGCATAGATTTCGGGAGGATGTAATGCCATGTTCTGCGTGGCATATAGCCAGGAAAGTAGTTGTTTTTCTCTCGTTATCTACCATTATCGTTCATTGTATGAACAGTATGTGGTAATGACTTTGAGTTTCTCTCTCTTTGTTAAACATAAATGTTATATTACATTGTTACTTTGTGATGTTACTCAGAGAGATGCCTAATGTCACAGATACGTTGCGGGAATAGGCCTTTGTGCCTATTTTAAATATTACAATGTAATGTTGATGGTATATAAATATTATATAAATATAAGGTACACCGGGGTAAGTGGAACAGCGAATTTCAATAGCTCCGCTATAAACTAAAATAATAATAATAATAATAATGGGTCATTCTTGTTCCAATCACGTCAGCTTACTGATGGATAGTTATTCAAAGGATCTGGAAATGTACAACGAGATAAGTGCTCAAATCTTTGATCTACATTTTTTTTAATTATAGCGGTACGTAAGTTACTATTAGGTCACTGGATGGTTTTGGTTAATAGATAAGAGTTCGGACACAGCTGAACTTTTGTCGTTTTCTATTTTCTATATTAAAATGGTTTGAGTGAATAAAAGAATAAGACATATATTCTGCTCTTTGTCTTTCAATTCCCCTAGTAGCGCCTGATTATCAGATACGCTTTTACAGGTTAAATTTTCTGTTGTTTTTGCTTTTACACATTTTGCTGCATTCTTTTCTTACTGATTCATTTCGTATTTTACCATCTGAGTCGATCCATCTTGCAGCAGAGTGAAGATAATAGGGCAGGAAGAAAATCTTACAGTCAACTCCACCAAAACTATCCTTTATTTAAATTGGAAATTGGGACATGTTTCGAAGCTTCAAAGCTTCATCATCAGCAATATTGTTACAGGAAGTACTGTTCTGGGGAAAATTCACATGTTGAAAACAAAAAATTATGGTTTACATATTATTACAAATTGAAATATGAAACATTTAACAAAACAGGGACCGCAATTAACTGCGGATCACCTTCGTCAAAAAATTAGTATGAAAATCATCGAAGAAATCTTATAATCTTTTATATCAAAAGAATTCCAACATTGCTGGACATTGAACCAGGAAAGCGAGGCAAAGGGTGGCAAATATTGTATATTTTGTATTTGGTCCGTATTGAAAACGCCATTCAATGATATATCACGTTGCAATTTACTTGATTTCCCCAGATTCGTTCTCAAATTTTCAATTTCATTATACGTAGTTTCATTCCAATCTGCTGTTATGAGAAGTGAATTTTAATGTACCAACCTCACAAATTTTCCTTGTCTTCAAACTAATTTTCCATCCAGGCCGTTTCAAACATTATCCCTCTGTAAGGAAATGGTTGACATTTCCTTTGGAATATTAAAGAAATGAAATCATCATTTCCTTCAGAAGTCTCGCAATTCATTACACAGCAGGACATTTTCATTTATGCTTCTTTCTCAATAGTTTATGAAATAATAATATTTCAATTCTGACGTTCATAATATTTATTGTCAAATTCAAACAATTTTGAATGAAAAAGCGCGGAACGACTATGATGCTTATCTAATAATACCATCCAGTGCCAGTGCCCCATATCCATGGGCATGTCATTTCCTCCATGTGAACGAATATACGTCCTTTCTACATTCAAAATACAAAGTAGTATTGTTTTTGAGCCACCCACTTCAAAAACTTTGAATATATTCACAAATTTTTGAGGTTCACGTACACAAACAACGAACACGAGCTAGCTCGGTATGCGACGTAAACGGACACTATTTGAAATATCGGCAAGGTCGAACCGTAATTCTTGGGCTATTTGCTTGATATATCACTGAGCATTCAAATTTACACTTACCCTCTGGTGTACCTAGAAGAAATATATAGAATTGAACCTCTTAAAATTTCATATATCACATTTAAAAAATTGTCGAATATTATTTTGAAACGGAATTCTGAAATTCATAATCATGAAACTAGACAATAGTTGTTTCACCTTGGCGTCGCTAGCTCCACACTCGGACAAAAAAAAAATAATTCATTTAGCCTTAACTGAGTTCAATAAACTATCTGTCAATATAAAAAACTGCAGAAATATGGGTACATTCAAAAATAAAGTAAAAAACTAATTATCACTGAGCGAACTTGTCATAAGTCATGTTATTTTACTATGTTTTTTCTACAAATATTCTTCTTTGTTTGCCAATTCATTGTTGTTGATGTATTTTGAATGATGAAATGTTTACCTATAGGTATATAATGTACTTCCTTATACCAGATCCTATTCTGTCTGGAAGTTATTTGTAATAAATAAGTAATCCCTATAAAATTATATGTGGTGTTGAATAATTTGTCTATTACAGAATGGATTATGAAGAACTACGATGACTTCGATCTGGAAACAACTACAGAGCTGACCACAACAACTACCACCGAATTGACAACTATTACCTACCCTATCACCTACCCTGTCACCTACCCTAACATAGTCGAACTAGATTTCACTGAGTCATCCGTAGTGCCACAGATCACCACTGAAACATCAACAACCACTGAAGCACCAACAACCACTGAAACACCAACAACCACTGAGGCACCAACAACCACTGAAACACCGACCACCACTGAAACACCGACCACCACTGAAACACCAACAACCACTGAGAAGATCATCACGTGCAACGAATCAGAATTCGGTTGTTGCTTTGACGGGGTGACTTTTTCGCCTAGACCGAACCAGAACGGATGCGATCCAATTCCCAGACCAGGTAATAAGTCAATCTTGTTCATCTATGTGTGCGTGGGAACAATTATCCCACACTTCAAATAATCTTCTGAAAATAATTCAACTTAGGAGATCCATTGTCATCATCAAGACTACTCTATGACCACGTAGAAAACTGTTCACTATTGCAAGTCTCAGTTTGCTAGGGAACAAGCTTGTATCATTACCTGTACTAATTTTATTTTTATTTTTTCGAAATTAAGAATGTCAGCTTCCGGTTTGACCGGAATTGACCCAAATTTTCTTATTTTATATTGGACACCCGGTATATTTTTACTTTTTTCGATGAAGAAAAACATTGTGAGTACAATGACACCTCATTTGCTACTTTTTGACATTTACCATCCTGAAATTTTCATTGATACTGGATATTGATCCAAAATATCTATTATGTGGTAACAACGTGTGAAATACCCTTTCCAGATATATATGGTTATGGGCCACCCTTGTTCTGTTGGGAAAAATTTAGTTAACATCATAATAATTCCGATATTGTATATTTTGAATGAACCTGTGAAACAAATGAGAAAAGAAACTTCATCCAAACTATTTTTCCTAGGCAACATGATTCAAAATCAACTGTTCAACTCATTTATGGCACAAAATGAAAATTTCTGGATGATAAATGTCAAAAAATGGCAAATGGGGTGTCATAGTACTCACAATGTTGGGTCATTTAATGTCAAACCGGAAGTGACCGAAAACAATTCATGTACTATACTTACACACTGAATTTCATTTGCTTATCTGAATGAACAACAAAAGTTATAGGGGTGAGCCAATTTTGAGAAACACCTGGTATACTACTACTGTTAGGTTAAGTGAATCCGAAAATAATCAGAAACGCTAGAGAAAACCATGAGCAAGATATTGTTTGGTTCGCACGGTATCGGCCACATTACTTTTCCTATAATTTAATTTGGAGGAACTGATGTCATTATTTTTTTGTAGAAAGTTGTTCACTCAGTTTTGCAAGAGGGCCTTGTACGAACATAACAGTGAAATGGTTCTATAATACCGCCAGAGGGCAGTGCACCAAATTCAGGTATGGTGGATGCGATGGAAATGGTAATCGGTTTGGAAGCAAAGAATCCTGTGAATCGACATGTGTCAATGTCAGTGGACCAGGTAAACAAAATTTACCATAATTTCGAGGGTGAAACATTTCATATTGTGAGGTTGTGGAAAGTTAAAGAAATCATATAATCGGGTCGACCTTTTTTTGAAATAGCTATATGGTCGTGGGGAAGATACTCGATTCTGTTCGGATCTTGTTATATGATTGCTAAGATAATAATATTGTATTGATCATAACATATAACAATATTGCTATGGAGTTCTGTTTTCTGTTTGCAGAATAACTGCAAGATTGGTTATAAGTTCAAGTGATAGCAATATTGTTGAAAAATTGAGAGTTTTAGAGCTGACAACACTGTTTTCAACTCATTGTTTAAGCAAAGAGGAGAGGGGGACTCCCTACTATTCTTTGGTTTAAGTGTTAGGTATCGATTTTGCCATTATTTCATGAAGAAGAATAGTTCATGATTATCTAACCTCTCAAATTACTCTGTCCTGCAGTTCAAATTGAGAGATTTTGTATTTGCTGAATCTGGTTGTCGTTGTGCGACTGGTGCAAGTAATCAATCATGTCCCCGAAATGAGAAAACAACTAAAAGCCGGATGGAAATGATCGTGATTTTTTTTAATATTCTAGCAAAATAGCTCGATAAACTATCCATCAGGCAACTGAAATGGTTTTCTGGTTTCTCTGATGTGCCAAAACTGTAGTGTCATATTCCCTCTACAAATTGGAACTTCATGAAAAGGTTTTCAAGTAGTTGGTCACAGTAGTGAACCTATCCTATATGTTTTTAATCACCATTCTAAGTTTTTCAATAATTCTTCTACAAATTGAAACTTTGAGCAAGTATGATCTTTGCTTTGAGGAAAGGTTTTCGAGTAGTCAGTGACACAAGTGAACTCTCATATGTATTTAATCCACTATTTTTTGAATTTTCATACACTTGGAAGAAATTGTAGTGCAAAAACAAAGAATCCACTACCTTGTTATAAGATAGCAAGCACAAAATTGATGTTGCCGAGATAGCAAGAAAGCTGACCAGATGTCATTGAAATTGACAGATCATATTACCAAAAATCGATGATTAGAATTCCACTTTTTCGAATCTTGCTATGATAGCAATTGTGTTTTAATGCTAAGCAATGTGCCATCTGACGGCATATATCACGTGATCATCAAGTGTGATTATTTAGTAGTAATATTGAAGGTTATAATATTTGTTCATTCAATTGTGTGACTGCTTATCATAATATTATTTGTTTATACAGCCGAATATGGTAGAAACATATCTTCCGAGTCGTTCTGGCAAAATTATTATTTTGATATATCACACTTGGCGTCAAAAACATATCATTTTTGACAGAATGACAATGAAGGTTAAAATCCCAATATCTTCTCTACAACCATATTGCTATTTGCAAACATCGACCCGATGAGTTTGGGCAATATGATCTGTCAATTTCGATGACATCTTATTAGTTTTCTTGCTATCTTGGCAACATCAATTTTGTGCTTGCTATCCCATAACAAAGGTTGAAAATGGCAGTGAATCCTTTGTTTTTGCGCTACCATTTCTTCCATATTTATTAAACAGGTGATTATCAACATATAAGAAGTTCACTTGTGTGTTTTTATTGTTATGAGAATCGGGTTCTCCTCTAAAAAATTCACGATAAATTTCATCTGGCTTTTGGTTGTTTTCTTATTTAGAGACATGATTGATTATTGCACCACTTGAACGACGATCGAATTGACCATATACATACAATTTGTCAATTCGAACAATCTCATTTTAAAATTAAAAAAGTGTCTGCAAGAAGTTGAATAAATATAAAGTCTTCTTGTTCATAAAATAATGGCACTAACGGTATCTAATACTTAACAAACGAGTTGAAAAATGTCGCCATTTTTCAACAATATTGCATCAATTGAACTTATAACAGCTAACCCTGCAGTTGCTGTCCACACAGAATACAGAATAATATTGTTTTCCGCAAATCGCTAGGAAATTTTGACATTCCTGTCAAAATTTCTTGAAGAAAAAGTCAGGACTTCCTTACTGTAAGGAAATGTCATTTCCTTATTGTAAGGAAATGATATTTCCGTACAGTTGTTAGTGTTCTACATAAATGATTGAAAACACATTGCTTATAAGGAATTAATTTATATTTTGAAAACATCAAGTCATTGCTGAAAACATTTTTAAGATCAATTTGTTATATTCACAGTAATTTGACAGTAAGTACAATTATTGAACATTGGAGGAACACTGTCAGAACTATGAGAAACATTTTGGACAACATGCGGGGTGGTAGGGTTATTTTGTTGAATATTTTGTACTGTGAAAATTTTATTTGCCACCTCAACCTTATTGTTAAGCGATTCTTCGATATATCCTTCAGCAACCTTTGATGACTTCCATCCGCCATGCCTCTTTAAACTAGTTATGTCGGCACCAGAGTCAACCAATATTGTTGCAGAAGACCGACGAAAGCAGTGACCAGTATATTCTGTCGGATTTACCAAGTTCAAATAAGTAGCAACTATTTTGGGCATTTTTCTAAATTGATGAATTGATGACCAAGTTCAAATAAGTAGCAACTATTTTGGGCATTTTTCTAAATTGATGAATTCCTACCACTTGTCTACAACCCTTTCCGCTTTGATATATGAAGAAAAATCGGTCACTGTTCATATTTTCTGGTCTTAACGAAACATACTTTCGATAAACATTCAAGTAGATCTGATTAATTACAAATGATCTTGGATTGTTGGTTTTCGAATCAGGTATGCTGATTAAAAGCTTAGATTCTAGGTCTTCTATATCGTGTACAGTCATTCGGACTAACTCATCCATTCTACAGGCCCCAGAAATACCAAATATTACAGCCACCTAAAAAATAAATAAAGGTATAATCTAAATAGAAATTAAAACCATATAAATTACCTTAATCATTAAATTTTCTTTATCTGGAGCTTCCTGGATACATTTTTCAATTTCTTCCTTCGTTAAAATCTTAGATTTCTTTGCCCTATAACCTTGAGCTTGCCGTTTCAATAAAGAACGAAGTTTTGAGTATGTAGATATATCTACATTGTGTTTAATTGCAAGGGTTGACTTCAGCATTGAATAATTGGCCCATAATGTTGAAGATTTCATCTTTAAACAAAGGTCTAGGAAGTATGCCATTACAACATTTTCTGAGAAAGAACTCGTATTTTTACTCATGCGATAATCCATAAAACGTCTGTATGCATTTTCGTACTTTTCTCTTGATTTCTTTGGCAATAATTCTAATGAAGCAGTATTCACTGCCTCAACCAGCTCTGGAGGAGTCCCAGGAATGGAAATTTCATCATCACTTATCATTTCACTTTCGAGAACACCAGCAATTAAATTTATAAGCGTCAAGTTTGACAGTTCAACCTCAATACGTTTCCATAGTAACCCAAGTAATTGTATCAGGAATTTCAATGCACCATTTATTTGGGAATAAAATTATCGCGTTTTTTTTTAAATCAATCAATACCTGTCGAATTTTAAACGATTTGCGGAAAAATAGTATGTTTACCTCGTAGGAAAAGCCACATTCCTGGACTCTGTGTTGAATTTCCTTTTTTCTTTTTTCACTGTTTTTATTTTTCCCCTTCTTGTTCACTATAATATGACTGTATCTTAATGATATGTAAGTTTTGTTCACTATTTATAATTTCAATTATACAACAGTCGATAATACTTCATGAATGATCTTATACCAGGAATTACTGTCTGATCATTCATGTCATTCCTACTCGAAAATTTATTATACTTTATGTATTATTTGTATAAAATGTATCAATGAAGAAAAGAACGTAATGCAATAACTAAAATAAATAAATAAATAAGTCTCGGCTTGCGCCTCGACTAGCAATCTTCACAGTCGCCCAGGAATGTTAAGCTTTTCCTACCCGGTAAACAATGTACTATAATTTAGCATTGTTTTAACAAGATCCGAACAGAATCGACCCTATAGTGGATTGTTGATCATTAGAGATCAGAACAATATCAGATTCTTGGACTCTTCGTTTTTCAAATTACTTATACTTAATATTGACAAACGACAAGTTACACTGCATAAGACAGAACTTGCTGCCAAGACAATATTGCAAAATCTCTATCCCTACTCAGGGGCAAAATTGTCATTAGGCGAGTGGACCAATTTTTTTTTATTTCTCAAATATAATCATCACCCAAATACCTTTCAATTTCATATTTTTTTAGAATTCTTCTGTCGATTTTTAGGTGCTAAAATCATCAATAATGCCACGGTAATTTTCACGATTTCGTAAGTAGGGGCAGACCATAGCACACAGCAGTCAGAGCACAGTTGCCATGTGTTGAAATATGATTGGGAATTTCAGAATAATTATTTTATCAAGCAATACAAAATCAATTGTCCCAAAATGTTTCCTTATGATTTGTGGCTTACTGCTTATAATACATTTTTGTAAATAGAAATTATAATAATTCACACTAGAGGACATTTGAAGCGGTAAACGTGACAACACTGCGCGAACGGCTTGTGGGCGTGGCCTTGTCCCATCTCAACATTCAGCACTATGTTGCCAAGTCTCCAATATTTCATGCAATTTTGTTATGGACACTCGACAACCTTACTTCGTGAGTGGGAATGGAAGATCATCTGACCAATAACGAAACAGCATAAAACCTGACGTCACCATTACACTCATTATTCACTTAAAAAAGTGTGAGAAGTGACGCAAAAATTAATTTAGGTCTCTAACGACACAGTGTAGTAATTGAATGCTAATAATTCAATATAAGTCCACTCGCCCATTGCAAAGTCAATCTCTTCAGAGTATACCGATTAAAATGTAGTGTACTCTTGTTTTCTTGAATAGAGGAGTTGATATTAATGGCTGCTTTTTTGTTTCAGATCAATGCAAACTTCCAATTTACTTAGGTTCATGCTACAGGTACAATTTGACGTGGTTTTATGATGCAAATAACGACGAATGCATCAAGTACATGTACCGAGGTTGCTTTGGAAATTCTAATAGGTTTCCAAGCAAACAGGATTGCCTAAGATTATGTAGCCCTAAAAAATTGGTACAAACTATCCATGGTAAAAATGAGAGTTGTTTGGAAAATCAAAATTCTCTTCTTCTTCTTTTTTTGTAGATTCATGTCTTCAACCCAAGGATAAAGGAAACCTGCGTTGTAACAGATTCGAGATTAAATTCTATTATAATACCGAAACGGGGCAGTGCCACAAATTCTGGTTCAGCGGTTGCGGCGGTAATGACAATCGATTTAACTCCAGAGATGAGTGCCAAAGATTGTGCTCGAATGGTGAGTGATAACTATTTCACAAAGAGAGAAACTCGGAGTTATTACCACAATTGTTCATAAAATGAACGAAAATGGTAGATAACGAGCTATATGCCACGCAGAACATTGTATTACATCCTCCCGAAAACTATGCAATAATTCGTATAGACTATAGACGAATAAAATCGCATGTGTTTCCTTCCTAAACGTTTAAGGCCCGTATTTATACACACACTGGCACAATTAGGGGAACGGGCAAAATATACACTATGTTTGACATCAATTTTCTCTCGAACCGAACGCTCGATTTGAATTTCTTTTTCATGAATTGTAGATTTATTCTTCACGAATACATCTGAGAAATAACCACCTTCAAACGATTCGTCTCTATATCATATACAGGGGTGTGAAGAAAGTACTGATTTTTCGGTATTTTTTAAGACATCCTGTGGAGTGAACCACTGATAATTGAAGCGATTTCTCAACACCATATGTAGCCCAATCTATTCCGAATATTTTCGTTTTGTATTCATCTTGATATCTCAATTATTCAAAAAAATGCAGAGTTTCAAAGAAAAGGTGGATATTGGTATTAATTTTACCACCTCGAAACTCGAATTGGATCTTATCTTATATATTTATGAATATTTGAAAAATTTTTGATTATTTTCTTCCTGAAATTATATCACAACTAATTTTTTTCTGGAAAATACCCAAGTATAAAGAACCTTTGAAACCGATTCTCTCTCGCATATGTGAAAAAATCAAAAGATAAATCACGAATAGACGTAGGTATTTTGAACAATGGCGATATTATGGAAAATTGCTATATTCAGTTACTTATTATGAATTTGTCGTTGTGTATTTTTATTTCAAACATGAAATTGGTAGTCATTATTGCAGTTTTCACGACTTTGTAGAAGAATTTCATGAAATCATATTCTGAATGTAAAAATAATCCGACAGTTAGTATCTCTTATCACAATAAGTGAGTGGTGCATTGATTTAGGGCCTACTGATTATGGTGTTTTCTGTAGCTAAAAAATTTTGATGGAATCTTACAGTTTTTACTTACGCTAACTAATAACTAATTGGTATCTTTTTGAAATATTTTCTCCTCTTTTCTACAGTTACAGTGTCGTTCATAAAGTCGGCATCATATGGAGAAAACTTTTAATAAGAATCCATTTGGAAAGTCGACTTGGAAGTGAGGTTTTGTTTTAAAAAGGTCCATTTTTTCAAATTAATATCTGACAATAGGCTCATTTGTTTGAATTTCGAAAATGTTTACTGGGAGCGTTGTTTCTATTGGTAGTTTTGTATTTATCATCCGATATTTTTTTTTTCAAAAAATTTGTCTGTTAATAACCTACGTATTTTTGTCTGAAAAACACGAATTTGATAATTTATGGAAATATTTCAAGAAAAAGTTCAAAATTTCGCATTTTTTTCTTGTCTTGGGTGCATTTATGGCAACTTGCTCTTCTTATTTTGTCATTGGACAATTTATAAATCACGATCTTTTATCACGATGTACTACAAGGACACATTTCTTTTATATATGGAAGTCAAGTAGAAATATAATTTTTATGGCGAATTTTTCATATTTAGTGAACAATCATACCAGATGACGGCCATTTATTCAATAATCAATCCAAATATTATATTCTCCTTTTTTTTTGCTAAATATCAATAAATCGCAAGAAAATCATATTTCGAGTTGACTTTCATATATAAAAGAAATGTACCCTTGAAGTACCCTGTGATTTATAAATTGTCCATTGATGAAAAAAGAAGGGCCAATCGTTCTAAATGCGATCCAGAAGACAGGTGGAAAAGAAGGTGAAATTTGTAACTCTATAGTGAAATATCTTAATAAATGATGGTTTGTTCACATTTTCATTATCAAATTCGTGTTTTTCAGACAAAAATACGTCACTACAAAAAAAAAATTCGAAAAAAAAATGTTCAATATTAACTTTTAGTTTTTGATATTTTTTCAATTTCTATGAAATGTCTGTAGTATTGAAAAAAAAAATAACACCGATAAAACTATTCCATTCTAGTTGCTTTATCATGCTACTATAACTTTCATTGCTTTCAATCACTTATTATCGAGAAAAATGTGATTTTCTTCAGAAAATAATAATCTCCGCTCCAAATTTCTGTTATGTTTGATGCCAAGTTGATGTATCGTCTATCATTCAGGAGCGAAATTTATTCAAATTGATCATTTCAGTACTGAAATGATGCCAGAGTTATCATAATATCATCAAACTATTGAAAAGGAATATTCTCAGATATATTGTATATGAAGATATACCTTGAGAATTCGCATTCTCTATGTGATGAAAATATCAATTCTTTATCGGTTCATTCAACAGAAAACAACTACTTTCCTGGCTATATGCCACGACAAATTCAATCGATAGTCAGTGACACGTTGTTTAAACAAATTTTTGGGAAAATGGAACAGAAGATAGCAATACTTATGTAACACTATTTCCATTTTTTTTTGTACAGATATATGTGGGGCCCCCGCGATTAAAGGACCATGCAAAGGAATATATCAGCAGTGGTATTTCGACAGATCAACGGATTCATGTAAAACTTTCATTTTTGGCGGTTGTGGAGGCAATAAAAATAAATTCAATTCAATGACAGAATGCCAGAATGCTTGTGGTAAATCTAGGGGAGCGTGAATGTCAAAAATAAGAAATGAGTATTGAAAATAATCTGTCATACAATGTTTATCAATAAAATCATCCAGGAATGTTGGCATCTAGAGAATCCATTTTCTGGGTGTATAAATTCTGAGTTTGATATTCATATTATTTATTTATCATGTAGATAGTTTTATTTCATAACAAATAGTGTTTCAAGTCATTCTCAATTGTTAAATGGGCTGATATATTAAGAGTGTAAATATCGCGCCACGGCTTCATCAATTCACTAATATTATAATAAAAATAAAACTTTTTTTGTTTTGTAATTTATATTATTCCTTCATCATTTTGGTGTGACTCCTAACCAGCTAAGATAACTCGAAACTCTGGTATAGACACCAGGAAAACCAACTCCACATCCGAAATCGGTACCATAAGACGCTATTCCAACCTAAAATTAAGACATATTATACTTGTGAATGGATCGAGAATTAGAAAGCCTCAAAATACAGGGTTGAGGGTAGCTCACTTTGAACCAAAAACATATCAAAATGTTAAAAGTGCTGCTTTATTCAACAAAGGCACAGATTCATCAATTGAGCGAAATAATTTCATCGCAACTATGCTACACCAACTGAATGATCCAACTGGTCGGTCGCTTTGATTGAACCTAGTACCATTTGGCCTAAATAGAGATCACGCTGAATCCAACATTGAATGAAATGTTGAGACCTTCGTTATTTCGCAATTTCTTTAAAGGCGATATTTGGTGAAATGGTTTATTTTAATGATTTCTACATCCTGTTGAAAAAAAAAATGATTCATCTTTGAAGTACTTATAATTCAGGGGGGGCGAAACCTCTCTGGAGGGCGTCATTTTGCATTTTGATGCATTATACAGTGTGACCACGTAGCAGAGGGCATTAAACATACATGGGAGGAAATGAACGTTTGCTCCCAAGATATACACTGTGTCCAAGATAAGGATGTCTATCATGGGGATCTCAGAAACCATAAGAGATACGAAGATGGTTGAATTAGAGAAAAGTTGCGCATTTTTGAGCCTAACAATATGACGTTTGAAAAATTTCAAATCGAAATATGCCGATTTATTTTATATTTTTTTCTGTCGTTATTTGAAGATGAATAGAAAAACAAGAGACACTTTATGATTGCCACTTTTTGAGCTCTACAAAACAACGTTAAGAGATTTTCCGTACGACGTTTCGTTTCGGAGAAACCATCATCAACTTTATTTTTTTATATAGCCCGTAAAAAAAGTATACCCGGTAGAAAATAGCATATTTTATTACAAATACAGCGATGTATTACACATAATGATTCTGCAATATTTGAATCAGAAAAAATGGTTTTTATTATTATTTCGAACGTTTTGGTGTAGTAGGCGGTGAACTGACGGCGCTGAAAGAATGTCAAAATAATTTTATTGACATATTATTGACACATAGTGTTTTTGAACTTCTTTCTTGCTAGATATTTCTTTTTGTTACAAAATGGAACGTGTTTTTTCACCTGAGGAAAAGTTCGATATGTTGAAATGTTATATCTTATGCCATAGCAACGCCGTTGAAGCTGAACGTTTGTATTTAAATAACTATCCAGAGAGAAGACAACCCAGTTCAAAAATTTTCGGTCGATTGGTTTCGAATCTGAAGCAGTATGGTGCATTTATGAAACCAGTATAATAATACTATAATAATAATAGAAAATAATGTAATATTAGCTGTAACTGAAAACCCAGAAATATCTGTTAGAGAAATTGACAATACCATTGGTATAGCGAAATCTACTGCCCATTTTATTTTGAGAAAGCAGAAATTCCACCCGTTCAAATTCAGAATCTGTCAAGGTCTCAGACCTGGTGACGAGGAAAGGCGAAGAACATTTTGTGAATGGTACACCAGGGAGTGTCAGGAAGATGAAACATTTCCACATAAGATTATCTAGTCGGACGAGAGTATGGTAACAAATAATGGAATTTTCAACCGAAGAAATACCCATTATTGGTCAAGGGATAATCCCCGAGTACACCGAATGGCTAGACATCAGCACCGTTTTGGTTTTAATATGTGGGTTGGGATTTTTGGAACAGATTTGATAGGCCCCTTTTTCTACAACAATTCCCTTACCTCAGAGCATTACCGTAACTTATTGGAACGCGATTTGGAAGGAGCTTTGGACAACTTACCGCTTGCAAAAGTAAGAAACTGTTGGTTTCAGCAGGATGGTGCGCCCGCGCACAATGCCCTAATCGTGCGCGACTATTTATCGAACAGGTTTCCGGGAAAATGGATAGGTACACATTCAACAGTTCCTTGGCCCCCTCGTTCGCCGGACATCACTCCGCTCGATTTTTTTCTCTGGGGATATTGCAAAAACTATGTTTACCGTCGTGTTTTTGAATCTGAGGACCAGCTTAGGAGACTAGTTCTTGAGGCGTTCGAGAGCATTACACCTGATATGTTGATAAGTGTTTTGAATTCGTCAGTTAGAAGATGTTATCTGTGTTTGGAGAATAATGGTAATTTGTTTGAACATTGTCAATAATTTTAATTTGTTTTTTGAATTTCTAGTAAGTAGTTCTTAACTAATTTGTTAAATTAATTAACATATGACATGACCTACCTACGTATATTATGTTATGTATAAAGTTTTTGAAATTTCAATAACGTGATTTTAATTCAATATTTCGAAACACGTATAATAATAACCTACTACACCATATACTGCGCGGTCATTTCACCGCCTACTACACCAAAACGTTCGAAATAATAATAAAAACCATGTTTTCCTATCGAAAAATTGCAGAATCATTATGTGCCATACATCATTGTATTCGTAATACAATATGCTATTCAATACAGGGTGTACTTTTTTTACGGGCCATATAAAAAAATAATGTTGATGATGGTTTCTCCAAAACGAAACGTCGTACGGAAAATCTCTCAACGTTGTTTTGTAGAGCTCAAAAAGTGGCAATGAGAAAGTTCCTTTTGTTTTTCTATCTATCTTTAAATAACGTAAAAAAAAAATAAAAACGACATCGGCATATTTCGGTTTTTCAGGCATATCTCCGGAAATACCCAACATTTCGAAATTTTTCAAACGGCATATTGTTAATCTCAAAAATGCGCAACTTTTCTCTAATTTAACAATCTTCGTATCTCTTATGGTTTCCGAGATCCCCATGATAGACATTCTTATCTAGGACACAGTGTATATAGGAAGGAAGCATGCTGAAGCCAATTTATTTTACTTTCCACGGGAGTCAGTGAGTAGATAAATAGCTATACCTGTATTTCGTCGACTACCAAAGGACTGCCAGCATCTCCTAGACAAATATTCTTCTTAGACACTCCCGAGGTGCACATTTGGTCCGAATTGATTTGGAAAGCATGGGATATCCCGCATATCATTACTGGTATGATGGTGAGATTGGCAGCACGCAGCACATCGCTTTTCCTATTGTTAGTATCGCTCGTTTTTCCCCAACCTGCTACCATGCCTTCTTGTTCATCGTAGTTGTTCCCGTCAGAAGGTAATGGTAGTTCAATAGGTGAAATATAGTCTAAGAAAAATAAGGTAATCACCTCTTAGCCCAGTAAAACGGTAACGATTAGGATTTTCTCAGAATTTTTCGGTGCTAAAATTATCAATGATGCCACGATAATTTTCAAACGGCTAGAAATTTACCGCGAGTAAAAACTGACGTCACGATTTCGTAGGTGGGGGCAGACCATAGCACAGTTGCCATGTTTTGAAATACGATTGGGAACTTCAGAAATGTTAGTTATTCCATAATTCAGCAATTCTCATGTATTGGTAATATTCCCAATTAGCAATAAAAAATCGATTGTCCCAGAAAGTTACCTTATGATTTGTGGATTATTGCTGATAACAAATTTGTGTAAATAATAATTTTATTGATTCACACTAGAAGACATTCGAAGCGGTAAACGTGACTACACGGCGCTCGAATTGTGGGCATGGTCTTGTCAGTTCTCAGCATTCAGCACAATGTTGCCAAGTCAAGAATTTACCATAATATCATGAGTTCCTCCTATTACATTTTATTCAACGAAAGGACTCGTAACATCTTTTTGATGAATTTTTGTTTAGCCGGTTTTTTTGCCAGTGGGTGTAGTTTTAGCCAATCAAAATATTTTAGATTTTGAAGATGATCTCACCATTGAGTTGAGGAGCCCATGGTAAACTTATCAGTGCTATGTCATGAGTCTTACTCTCATTTGTATATTTCTCGTGAATGATAAACTCTGATGACTTCATCGATACCTGGGTATTTTCCTTCTCGGTCAAGTTGTGAGCACCCAATATAACTTCTGCTTCTGATGCTCTGAAATTACGAATAAGCATCACTCCATCAAAATACTCTATTTTCATACCCATATAGGCAGGTTGCTGCTGTCAAAACGGAAGTACGGGATATCAGAGATCCACCACAGAGAACTGGTCTGCCGTCTATGTTGGTTCGTATCGCTACCTATCATAAAACATATATGAACATATTATATCGTCTTAAAAAATTGTGTCAATAAAGCGACCTCTTATAGTTAATTTCTGAACGGGTGGGATTTTTTGATTTTTTTTCCGATGAAAAATATTTCTTTAAATGGGAGGGGAGGTCTAGTGATACCTCATTTGATACTTCTTTCAATTCTCTAGATATACAACATCAGAATTTCAGACAAAAATATTCATCCAGACCAAAATGGCGTCTGTAAATTTTCGAATATCATATCAGGATCCTTTTGACTTGATTGTATTAACGTACGGAGCCATCTTGGAGAAAATAACAATAAACATTGTTCTCAATTTTTGGATAGATATTTTCTCAAGTTTTCTGGAAAGGGAACTCTTCTAGATGCCAATAGAGAGTGAGATGAAGATCACACGACAGCACGTAGATAGCCATCATGCAAACTTATTATCATCTGCCATTTTGTTTTGGGTGAATATTTTTTGTATGGTGAAGTAAAAAAGTCCTTGTACAATCATTGTCCTGATCAATAACAGAAAATTGATAATCCTGATCTGAATATACCATGAAAAATGTTCTCAGTGAAATAAAGATACCGTCACATTATCTAAAAAAACAAAAACCGATAAACAATTGTGATATATAATACGACGTGTATCTAAACAACACGGAAAAAATTCAAGGGGTGATTACTTTTTTAGGAAATAAAGTTCATATACACATGTGTCCTAACTTGCTTCGTTTTTGAGATAAAGAGTTTTCTTTATTCATTACTCAATTGTCTCTTTATCAATTTCAATAAAACTTTGTGGTTTTGTTAATAGTAATATGGAGCTTCTTCTGGTGCAATTAGATGCGAAATAATATTTCCAGTGGCGTCACAGCGGTTTTTTTGAAATTCATATTTTCATTAGATTGAACCATTGAAAGAACAACTTTTTCATCCTCT